TGGCCAAAAATGTATCATGCATCCATGTGTTCTTGTGTCTTATGCGGTATGCGCAGTTTTGTTGATTCAAGTTTCAGGAATGCCTTCAGGCCTACCCATCTTAGGCCATGTTTAATTTTGTAGGGCGCGGCTTGGGGTTTTTCCAAGGACATGCGGGACTGGCTATCCCTACAGCGCAACTTGGAGTCATAATTGGCAGTCGTAGTTGATGATTATAGCCATAGCCTCAAGAGCTGCCAAATGGACATCCACAGGGTTGAAACAACATGAACGACATCATGATCATGATCATGATGGTTGTGTTCTCAGTGCCTGGCTTATGGCTTGGGGCCAGCCATCAGAACACAGTGTGACATCGTTTTGCCCAGATCCATTTTGCTTGGCTTGGTGGATGGACTATCACGAGCACTCTCAGCATCTCGGCATATCGCCGGCCAAATCCCAGCAAGAAGAACTTGAGCTCCACTATGAGAAAGTAACTGGTTCAACAGATTCTAAGGCCTGTCAACGTAGTTTAAATGATTATTGACAGATGGAGATGTGTTTCTTTGAATGCTGGGCTGATTTGGTGATCTTTGCCCAGCTGCTATAGACATGTGTTTGATACACGCTGCGGATGATTGAGTGCTGCCACTGAGGCACACACACACGCACACACACGCATCCTCCAAATATTGATCCTTCCCAATATCATCCAACATCCACATAACATCAGGTGTTTTAGTGGGTGCCTGTTTTGTGCAGTTATTGTACTTATAAGTCTTGTGATTCTTCCAGGTAAAATGCACCTATGCATTTCCAGCGTTTTGTGCACAATGTATAGTGCAATTTTGTCACTAAAAGATACTCTTAGAATACAGTATCATATTTGTAAATATTTGTGTGATGCCCATCAGTATTCCTGGATTGCTGAAGGTGATTTGGGCCATTCCACAATGGAAATCAACTGGGAGATGTGGCCCCCTTATGCAAATCCAAGTATGTCAAGTATGTCAAGTTATATAAAGCATTATAAAGCGATGTGTGAGCATGATGTTTGGGCACACACAATCACACACAAATATAATATATGTATAGTATCGTATGTGATACATGAATCCACATATATATATATATATTATGATTATATATATATGTATATATGTATAATGATACATCATTTGTAGATATGTTTGACATATATACATATAGTGACTATAGTCTATAGATGTCTATAGTGTTTTTGTGTTTGTGTGTTCTTATTTTTCATGGCTCTCTCCTTGCACGACTTCCCCAGGCAATGGTTTCATTTTCTTGGAGGCACGGATTACTGTCCCCTCAGTGGGCCTTAGTGGGCGGAACTCTTCAGGTTGGTGAACATTTGGGGATTTCCTTAGCTATGGGGGTACCCCACTATGGATGATATGGATGGTTTATGTCATGGAAAATCCTATGCTCAAGTGGATGATTTGGGGATACCCCTATTATCCCCTATTTTAGGAAACCCGAATTATTGTTCGAATCATGTCGTTATAACTGTTATCTATATCCAGAGCACTGCTGTTTTTTTCCAAGTCTGAGTCTAGGCTCTTCAAACTGATGATCTTCAGATATCCTCAGATCGAAGGTCACATCAAGCGATTTCACAGGGCCAAAGGTGTCACAGCGCTAGGCTTTGAAAGTCGACAAGGTGGCCGTGCAGGCGAGCTGGGGCATCGTGGTCAACAGCTCAGTGCTGTATTTTGCTGCCAAACTTCTGACCCACCAATTTTTTTAACATGTATTTTATAACATATTTGTACTTCACGTTGTTGTGATATATATATATAAGAATTTTTGGAAACAGGGACTGGTCCAGTGGTACAGTTGCTCTTATTGAACTTTAAACATCACCTGCGCATTTTCCGGGGGTTTTGGCATGTTTGGGTGGTGATTCCACCAGGAGTTCATGGGCCGCTTTAGTTTCTCGTTGTTGCTGCGCTTTTTCTTCGCCTTCGTGAGCGTCACGGATCTCTATCAGGACGGGGTCATGGGATGATGGAATATGGAGGTCGATCTAAAGGTCCTTGTAATTTATAAGGAGTTTTAATTGCGAAAGCTGTGCATGTTATGTTGGAAACCCTCGCGAAAGTTTGTTTTCGAGTTCGCGAAAGTAACATTTTCGTTCGCGAAAGTTTCGCGAAAGTTGGACAATTATCATGGTTGCCTAACATAGTAGGTTCCGCGAAAGATAAACATAGAGTTCGCAAAAGTTTCGCGAAAGTAACATTTTTATTCGCGAAGAATGGCCGTTCCCGGATAAAGGAATTTTGATCAACAACCATATATATATATATTATTATTATTCTTCTTATTATTCTTATTATTATTATACAGTATGAAGGGTACCAATCAAACTCCATATGCACATTAATATACATGTATGCAATATTTACAGTATACGAACATATATCCAAAATACACGCATTGCAACAAATACGTAAGATGTACGTGCGACACGTGTGTTTCTACATTCCTAAGCCTGAATCAGGATGTCACATTCCCTGTGATCAGCTACAGGCGGGGTTGCGGTGGCATCCTTTTTTCTCCAGCTCCGTTGCGCGGTTCAATGGAAATTCCTTTGTGAATTGATGATTTCCCATGTCAGTCATGTCATTGCGCATTGATAGTGGATTTCCATGGATTTCCCAGCTAGCCATGTTTGACTACCAGAGGGTTTGTCGTTGCTTCAGGGGAATGATGCATTGTATTTGTGCATGTGACGATGTCCCATATGCAACGTGTGTCACAGGTGTGGCTTTGACCTTTGGTTCGTATCGACGTGGTTGGTGATTTTGGGAGTGCCCGGCTCAATACAACCTCAGCGGCAACAGTGGACAGAGAAGGCACGCTGAAATGCGGAACTCACTGTCAATATATCAATCTGGTCATCCTGGAAGTTGCTATTCTGAGCTATAGAGAAAAGATTCCGAAAGCACAATGCAACTTGTGACAAGAAACATTGAGATCTGGCTGGGAAAGAGGATAGCAGCAGCATTCCGCACAAACATGCGCAAACGATCCTTTGTCCGGCTCAAGCCAGATGTGCGGTTTCTGGGGTGTGGGCTCTTTGCTGGGGGGGGTGCAGTTTTCTGAAGCAACAAATGCCAATATGTCCAAAAAAAATGAAACGGTAGTATTACTGTAGTGGTATCAGGCTTACATGAAAATCATATAGAATCATAAACTGACCCTAAATTTTGCTGCATGTCAACTGTCATCCTAGGGTCAGCTTCGAACCAGGATGATCCCCGAAATTTGGGTCTTGAAGAGGCGCCATCTCTACCGATGTATGATCACTCCTGAACATGTTTATGGATGCTGTTGGTGTTTGTGTTTTTTTTTAAGAACAAAAACTTAATTCAAGTATGAGGTAAATCAACATAAAAATCAACTATAAATGGACATATAATCAACCAAAAAAAAATCGATAAATGATAAATGGAACATTTTCTATAGAGTAAACTCTTAGTTTACCAATGGATACCTAGCGTTTTTCACTTCAAAACGGCAGAACAGATCTTGGCCACAGTTCTCCCGGCATCGAAGCCGATCATGGACACGCCACTCGGCCGAAGATGACTTAGATGACTTCGTTCGGCTTGGCGCTTGGGTTTATATGGGGAAATTCCCAAGGTCCCAAGGCACTGGAAGTTCAGAGATTAGCTTTTCATGGAATTTCCTGCTGTCTTTGGATTTCTGGTATGGAAACTGCGACCCAAAAAGTAAAGTAACAGGTTGCGACGGAAGCTAACTTTGATGATTTATTTATGAACATGGTAATTTCCATAGCCATGTCAAATTGTCTGATGGTATTTTTTGCGGCATCCGAAAATCATGGGTACCCAAAAAAACCATGGGTTTTCCATGTTTTTCCCCATTGATAATCAAATATCATAAGCAGTGACTTGGATGATACCTTGGCATACCTTGGCCCCGATGAAAAATGATGAAAAATGGACACCTCCACTGGGCTGCGACAAACTTCAGGCCCTTCAGGCGGGATTCTGTTCATCGCTTGAACAATGCTCTCGCGCCCAACCCGGTCGCGGAGAGGCTTCACGAGGTGGCCAGCTGTAGTGGAACTCCCTGCTGTCGATGGAAAAGTTGCCGGATAAAACTGTAAAACTCAGAGATGTGGAAAACCGATGGTTTGTTTCAAATTGGAAAATGATCTACACATGGCGTTTGTTTTTCCACATCTACGTTAGTTTAGCCCAGAGTAAATCCAACTTACGTAAGTTGTTTTTGTTAAAAAATAACGGGTCGCTAATCCATTTTTGCCAACGTGCTGCATGCACACTGACAAATCATATCAATTCTGTGTAGGTGCATACCTACATCATAAAATTGGAACACTGAGTAAACCAACATTTTTCAAGCATTTACATACATGTGTCCTTCCATCTTCATTTCAGAGTTCCACTTTTTTGCGGACCTTTGTCGGTTTTTGTCACGTTCCGGCGAGGATCAGAGAAGGAAGCACATAGAAAAGGGCCTGGCGGTCCGTTGCCCCAGATCATCTGATGAGATTGTTGATAAAGAGAGGAGCAACCGACCAACCAAAAAACATGAATAACTAACGTTGAACAACATTGATTGGTTGATAAATCAATATAAATCAATATAAATCAATATAAATCAATATAAATCAATATAAATCAATATAAATCAATATAAATCAATATAAATCAATATCACTAGATGAATTGGTGTTTACTGTGGGCCCTGCGTTTTTTTTGCAATTGTCATTCAACCGATGATTGGATCAAGTGGGCAACCAGACACTTCAACAAGTTGCTGTCACTGTTCTGTATGAAGAACTAGCTCATTTTTTGGGAGCCGTTTGGATTATCAGGCGACATGTAAGCAGGATAAGGGTTCAGTCAATTGTAGAATCCAGTCTTTAAATATCGGCTGATGCGGCACTCTTTCATGCCGAGGCTCCAACGTCGCCACTGCTGAGTCAAAACGTGAAGAACATGAACACAGAGGAAAAAAAACAGCAGCCTGTCGTGACAAGATGTTGGAACCTTTGTTGGCTTGTGATCTTTGGAAAACTTTGGAAACAATTAATATATATATATATATAATATAATATATATATATATATGTAATTATATATATGCTTATAGTTATAATATTAATATATATATATATTAATATATACATATATATATATTTATATTAATATATATATATATTAGTATATATATATATTAATATATACGTTATTTTATTTTATATTATATTATGTTATATTATGCTTTGTATTATGTTATATTATTTATATATCTATACGTAGCTGATTTTTTGTGATGCTCCGCTCCAGCTTGCCGGTTTTTGCACTTACCAGCGATGCAACGGAACTTGGCCATGAATTTCAGGTATGTTGCCCAACTGTGGAAGCATTTCGACAAGACCTGGTGGGACACCTGAGCGGGAGGGATGAAGATTTGGTCTTTATCGTTTGGCAATCAAACATGGCAATGGAAAAGTTCCATTTAAATACTGTATAAATATAGCTATATAAATGAATGAATAAATACACACATATATATATATTTATTGTAAACTTAAATGCACATACACACACATAATATATATATATACATACGTATCATTTCCATGAAATTGCCCCTTTACATCCCTTTGTAGCGTACTTCTATGTATTTCCCCCTTTCCATGTTTGATTACCGGTGGGCAGTTAGATTCATTTTGCTGCATTTTGGGGTCTCTAGGACTTTGCTGCAGGCTCCAAATTATCGGTTCAATCAGCTGTTGAAGCTTCACATTGCCCGTGGGGATTTGCTCCGAATCCCAGAAAAAAAAAAAACTTTTGGGGGTGCCCCAATTTTGATATTTCCAAATTGCATTTTTTTCTGACCCACTTTCAATTCAAAGTCGAACATGATGAAATCGTGCCGAGGGAGAACGTGGCGGTCGTGGCCAAGGTCAGTTGCACCCAAAATTATCCCAAATGATTGAGCGATTTCACATATTTCACCAGCCAAGCAGCCAAGCAACCACTGAATTCTGCAGCTGCTATCCTTCTTGGCAGTGGGCCTCATTCCTTGGTGGGTTGCCCCATTTTTTCGATGCGTTTGTGCGCAGTTCATGAGTTTATAATCCAACCAACATCATGGTGGGCCTCAGTTCCCTCCTGTCCCTGGTGGGCTCCCTCAAAAAAAACCTTGAAATGACGCCAGGAATTGCAAGCCATGGGGTACCTGAAGGACTATGCCTTGGCTCCCCCGTCCGTGTGGGGTCGCCAGCTTCCTGCGGTTGGGATGGTAAGCAATGGTCACCTAGGGGATCCTAGGGGTCAAGACGTGACAGTCCAGAGGCAGCTTCTATAGATACATGTAAACACATTGCAAGGCCAAAAGCTTATGGGCAAATCCGACCTGATTTTTTTCTGCTGCATATTTGTAGGCAAAAACGTACGCCACCAGTTTGTAGGCATGCAGAACACATGGGTAAGTGTCCTAAATTTGAACCGCCAACGTCCAACATGGTTTATCATCCTTTAACATCAATTAACTAGATGTTTTATGATGTTTTCATTTGTTACCATTTTTTTATCTTTCCCTGTAGCTGTTTGGTTCAAGGCCCATCCACCATGCCTTCCGGAGCCATGGCTCTTCGCCCCCTCCGCTGTGTGCGGCCTTTGAAGGCCCTGTCAGCTCTAGGCCGAGCGGCGCGGCCAATCTCGGTCGAGGCCATGCAGTTGAACGCGCCTTTGAAGGTGACTGGCAGTTGGGTGGGCTTTGCAGAAAGAAACATGGGAAACGCGTGGAAGATTCATGAGAAACTTGCTAAGCATTCATAATCATGGATTTTCCATGTGGTTTACTACCTGAACATGTGGGAAACAAATGATGCAAAAGAATCCAAAAGAATGATCTAAAATCGACCATGTTGGCCGATGTTTTGAGGCTCACTACACACCAGCCGGGAGATCTGTGCTAAAAAAGCCAGGAGATGGACCCAGACGTTCACGGAATCATTGAAGCAGAAAAGCAGCGCCAGAAGCGTTGCGTGAATCTCATCGCGTCCGTTGCTCGGAAAGTGGTGGGAGGGCCATGTTTTTTGCGGATTTCAGTGATTTCAGCACTTTGTGGCTGGCACCTTTGGATATTTTGGATGAATAGCATCTTTTGACAGCAAACCCAACACCATACACTATCCATCACTATCCTCAATATTCCCGGATGGCTTACCAGACATGGATGGTAGTAGGCGGCCTGGCCGCGGCTAAGGAGAACTTTGCTCCAGTGCCAGTCTTGGAAGCTGTCGGTTCGGCCACTCTGATGCGCTTTTGGCCGTGTCCACAGTGCGCACAATGACCAGCGGGAACATGTTAGACCCCTGGAGCCAATAGGTTTGATACTGGTATAGAGTTTGATCATGTGTATGTCTTTCTTGAGCTCCGGATTTCAGTTCAGACTATGCCCATGTGACAAGCAGGTTCATGCATGGTTTTGGCATGTTTGTGTCATGACCCACCATGAGTATCATGGGTGAGAAATTAGTACCCTCTGGTAATTTAACATAGCTATGGAAAATCACCATTTTTGATGGGTAAATCAACAATAAATGGAAATTTTCAATAGCTATGTTAAATTACCAGGGGTAATTAGTATACATAAATATATGTCACTAAGGTGTTTCTCTCAGTGGTTATCGCTACCTCCAACAACCTGGGCGCCTTTGATTTGACATGCCGACCATCGGCAATTGGACTGAACAGCCTTTGATCCCATCCCCCAAATATTAAACACTCCCTGAATGGTCCCAAGTGGGTGTAAATCCCTTACTACACTATGGTTTCTAGAGGCGGTGGTTAATATTAATAATATTAGGGGGAAGGGCTTTACATAGCCTTCTACTGTATCTCCTAGTTATCCTAGTTGTACAGGAACCTATTGATGGTGAATTTATATTCATTTTTTAGATCCTGGATACGGAGAGTTTCCTTTGAGCGAGGTGATGGTGAACAAGTACTCAGAGGGCTACCCTGGAGCCCGCTACTACGGTGGCAATGAGTTCATTGATCAGGCCCTTCGAAGCTCGCGAAGGAATGGATGAATCCCACCCCATGAAGCCCATGAAGTCCTAATAGTTACCATGGCTACCATTGGAGATTGCCAAAAAATGCCATGGTTACTATCGTTACTCCATATGGAAACAATATGATTTGTTCATTGTTACCACATTAACCATTACAACAATTTTGCTTAACAACATTAAAAACACATTAACCACATATTACAATCACTAATCACTGGAATCTTCATCACAATCACTCCATATTAACCAGCAGGACCCGCCACTACAGGCCGAGAAACTGTGTCAACAGCGAGCGTTGGAAGCATGCAGATTGGATCCTGCACAGTGACTTGAAGTCACAATCAATGGATTGGTTTGAGGGAAACTTTGCAGGAAACCATGGTTTTTACATGTTGTTACCATCAAATGTAATAGAACATAGAATGATACGGAGGTTTCCGGCAGATTTTCCATTCAATTCTGGCTTATAAGTTGTGATAAGTGGGGTCATGGGATTCAACGAGCAAAAACACACCACCCCAAAACCAGCGTTTTATACGCCCTTAGTGGTGGTGAATAAGCCCTGAATAAAGCCTGATGATTGGGGGGGCTTACATTTGGGTGGCTGATTCTCCATGATTCCACGGTGATGATGGGGCAACACCCTCCCGCTATATGTGACCAAATCATTGGGTTGTGTTCGTTGGGTGTTCGTTGGAACGCTTAATTCAGTGGGCTTCAACGAACATCACCATGTCCCATAGGATCCATGTATGCTATATATGGGTGAGGCGTTCGCTTGTGCCGCTTTTTTTTGCGTCGCTTGTTATATATGCTAACATGGATCCCATCAATATACCCCCATATATTGATCGCATATATACCAGCACCATGGATCCATGTTGGCTGCAGATAGCTGCAGATGCTCTGAGGTGGGGCGTCAATGTGCAATCTCTCAGCGGTTCCCCGGCGAATTTTCAGGTCTTCACTGCTCTGTGCGATGTCCACGACCGCATCATGGGATTGGACCTGCCCCATGGGGGGCACTTGTCCCATGGCTACCAGACAGACACCAAGAAGCGGCTCGGCCAGGGGATCCAGGGGCAGCTACCTTAGCCTAAATCACGGGCAATTGGACCAGTTGATTAAAGGATACTAAAAAGCATCGCAATAACTGCCATGTCTCAGTCCACATGATGGCCATGGCTGCCATGTGAACATTATCCTAAGCATTCCTGAACAACAAACTGAGGATTTCGATGGTGTCCAAGTACTTCGAGTCAATCCCATATCGTTTGAATGAAGAAACTGGGCTCATTGACTACGACGAGTGCGAGAAATTTGCTCTCAGAAGCGCGGTGAAAATGAGGATGATTTATCACAGGGCCATAGGGCAACCCTTTGATTTGGGGGACCTTTCCAGTACTTGTAAGATGTGTCACTTGTTTTTCCATATTGGGGGATGGCCATCAATCCATGTTCATAGATTTCATTGGCGTTCATAGGTATGTAACGTATATAATGTCAATTACAATTACATACATTTACAACATCGGTAATACGTTTTGAAAAACATGGCTTGCATTCCTGGTTGGACTTCTAGACTGACAAGCTTTGCAGATCGCCAAGGAATCCGTCCCAAGATCTTGATCGCCGGGACCAGCGCCTACTCGCGATTGATTGACTACAGCCGCATGCGTCAGATCGCTGACAAGTGCGGGGCATATTTGCTGGCAGACATGGCGCATATTTCAGGCTTGGTGGTTGGTGGAGTCATCCCCTCACCCTTTGAATATGCAGATGTGGTCACCACCACAACCCACAAGTCCTTACGAGGGCCCAGAGGCGCCATGATCTTCTTTAGGAAAGGACAACGAGGTGCTGACAAGAAGGGCAATCCGATTATGTATGACTTGGAGGACTGGAGTTCTGCGCAGAAGGGAGGCAAGTGCCAATTTTATTACCTGTTGCTGGGCAGAAGATGTGTTCACGATTCACGATTGTCAGGAGGATTTGGTTAAACCAAGTGTCAATCGAACAATTGTGTTCGGTGTGTACAGTGCACTTTGTGTTTGCTGCCTTTTCCCACCAGGGTTTCCGGCTACTACAGCCCCAAACAGTATTCCAGTTTCATCAAGAGTTCAGGCCTGCTCAGCTATTTATATGTATTCAATGTATTCATTATTTGCATCCATGTCTACTCCACTTACTTGGATGTTGAATTTCATTAGTTTTCTTTCCAAGATCAATACCTGGCATATATATATATTATATAATATATATATATATATATGCTGTACATATACACGCATATACACGCACGGGTTCGCATCATACATTTGTGTCTGATGTCCCGAGGCATTGGCTGTTGAATTGCATGTCTAGTTTCACGCTAAAACACCACAATACGCCCCAAGTTTTTCATCATGTTGGGCTTCCATGACAACATATGACAACATACCTAAAGCCTAGAATATCCTAATGATGGCTACATGCATTTTTTGTTTTTCGATTCCATAAACTGGTCCGGTTTTACATATCGATCGATGCGGCCGTTCCGCAGCAGCTCGGCGGAACCCGGTCCCAGGAGCGGATCAATGCTGCGGTCTTTCCAGGGCTACAGGGTGGCCCCCACAATCAGAGCATCACTGCTGGGAGCCCAGGACCATCCAGGACCAATCTCCAAGAGGTGCCAGCCATAGGTGTATTGTATTAACCAAGCAGACATAGTATATACATATATACACATGATTGTGTATGTATATATATATATATATGTGTATGTACATGATTAGGAATTAAGTATTTAATTATATTTATGTATATATATATATATACAAAATTAATAATAATAATAATAATAATAACAATAATGTTTATTTATATGTCTCATATTTTTCATTGCATTTGACATATATCATATATTATATTTACAGAGTACAAAACCAGATATATGTGACATGTTCGGGAACTCCACCAAGGCACTAGCCGTGGCCCTGAAGCAGGCGATGGCACCCGAGTTCAAAACCTACACGCAGCAGGTGGGAAAGAACAGTTTTCCTATGTTTTCATATATATATATATTATGGGGATCTAATGGGATAGAATAGAATACATATGAATACATAGTATTTATGATGTGGAAGCTAAGTGGTCAGGGATCAGATATGATCGGGGCAAAGTACTTTACTCATCTTTACTCCGCTGTTAAATCTTTTCAGATGGTTTGTCTTGTTGAGAGATGTCCCAATCAGGATTGCTCATGAGATACCCTTTGGCTATCAAACATGGCAATGTCGAATCTGGCGAATCCCCCCATGTCCGTCGATGAGTTTGCCATAGATGCCCCATTTTTTATCATTTTTTCGGATGTTCAATCGCCATCTTGGTATCTCCATTCAATGGATTGGTTTAAGGGACATTTTACAGGAAAGCCCCATGATCTTCATGGGAAAATTCCTCTGGTTTCCGGGTCTCAGATTTTCCCCATACAACCAATCCATTGATCCATGGACGGTTTCTCCATCGATGGCAGGTTATGAAGAACGCCAAGGCTTTGGGTGAATCATTGCAGAGTTGCAACTTCGGTGTTTGAAAGTCCCGAGCCACGGTGGGTTACCCTCTGGTAATGACTAACGTAGCTATTGAAAATGACCATTAATAGTGGATTTTCCCATTAAAAATGGTGGATCTTTCAATAGCTATGTTAAATTACCAGAGGGTACAACATATGTTGTAAAAACCCTCAAGAAACAATGGTGTTTTTTAGTGTGTGAAAAAAGGACATGAAGTGATGTCTATGGGGACCATAGGGCTGTTAAAAATTATTAATTAGGGGGATGGGGTTATTATATTGATCAAGTTTGGAACTGTTGAACTGTTAGACCCTACAAAGTGATAGGCGTCACAATCCAATCATATCCAACCAAAGCTGTTTATTCTTAGTTCCCACCCCACCAAAGTCTTGCGTACTTAGCATATTAACTCCTGTACCATCATATATGCTCTATATCACATTTGGCCAAGTATGGTTTGCTGTGGTTTGGTTGTACCATTTCAGATGCGCAGTGAACACTTTCCTGGCGATCACCAGTCCGACCAGTCCGAGGCAAGTTCAACTTGGTGTCTGGCGGCACTGACAACCACCTCCTGCTGCTGGATTTGCGCTCCAAAGGTGTCAATGGATCCAAGGCAATCCGCAGATTTTTTTTCAATGAAACCGATGCGAAAATGACTTCCGGGAACAGAACTTCTGGAACAACATCATTTGCTATAATTTGGCGAGACAGCATCCTAAACAGGCCATAAAATGGCCTGTTTTTTTCCCTCATGTTCTGTCCAAGATGACCTGATCTGCCCTGATCATTTCATCATCGTGGATCATGTCCAAGCAGCGCAGGCAGAAGCTGTTTGCGAACAGGCCTCCATCGTTCTGAACAAGAACACCATTCCTGGAGACAAGAGCCGTGGCTGAACCAAAAACACCCTGGCTTGTCATGTGCAATTGTAGCGCAGCAATGCTGATTTTTTTTGTTTGAAATGGATTGGACAAGGGGGGGACAATGATGACTCACTGATGCTTTTGTTGTTTCATGTCATGTTCCTTGTCATCCCATTGTCATCCTCGTCATCGCAGCAGCAGCGGAAAGAGACGGTAAACATGTGGTTCTGTTTGCATCCCTGCAACCCTTGGGCATTTGACAATATTTCAACCCATCCTGGCCTATTGTTACTACTTTGCAGCTGGAAAATGATGGAACATGGTCTGTGTTTCACATGAGATCACCCTAGGCAAATCACATGGCAGAATCAAATAGCCTAGCTGGACTGAGAACTTTCAGTAGATTTCTTGCAAAACATTTCAGTAGATCACCTTGTGCACACTGAGCCATGGCCTGCGTGTCTTGATGACTTGGAAGTCTCGCGGCGCTCTGGTTCGCTGTGCCCCCGTGGTGCGATTCAAGATGAAAGTCTTCTGCCCAGAGTGCAATTTACGCGTGCTGCCCAAAGATGTGGGGGAAATCAAAGAGATGCGAGATGTTTGCAAGACAATGTGGAGGAAATTCATGCAGTTGGATGATCGACACTGTCCTTTGTTTCGAACGTGTGAAGTGAAAGATGTGAAAGACCGATCAATCGGTGATCAGAACTGCGATGGCGACCGTCGTGATGCTGGACCCAGCCTTTGGCGACCTATGCCACGCCTCAAGGGCCGATCCTAAGACTGACGTCGCTGCGAGTTGACTCCATTGACCTTGGCAAATTGCTTAGGAAGTCTCTGCAGTGGCGGTGGCAGATTTGAACCTGACTTTGCCTCGAGTGATTGCAGCGTGATCAGTGTGAAAAAAAACATAGCCCGGACTGAGAGAAGCTGTAGCCAGGGATGGTTAATTCTATATATCCACCCATACCCTAAATGTGGAGCCAAGGAGCTGAGGTGCCCCCCAGAATCTCAGTGAGTAACAAACCACATGATCCCCAAATTGGATAGACGTTGTAAGGAGCGCTATGAACCCCAACGGCTTGCGCGTGGGCACTCCTGCCATGACGTCGCGGGGATTAATGGAGGAGGACTTTGTGAAGATCGGTCAGTACCTTGTTGACCACCTGGGGCAGGTTCTTCGGGAAACCATTCCTGGTTGGTAGTTACCGTATGGCTATTTAATCAAGAAACCTGGGGAGCTAACCATAAAATATCATAAAATGATGGGGATTGACTGTGATGAGGTGTCTTTCTCAGAATTGGACGATTATCATTTTTATCTGGCTGGTTGCAAATCTTTAAAGGGTGTTTCGATATTCAACCATATTTGGGATGATGATCCGTATTGACTAATTATGTTTTGGGGGGTTGAAACCAACACACAGAAATGCATTGAATATGTATGAATCCAGTTGCTAGGTGATGGTAGGTTCTAGTATACATATTATATATATAATTATATATTATATGCATTTATTTAATTTTATTTATTTACAAAAAAATAAAACGTTGCAGATGGGCATGATGATTTTTTAGTTGAAATTTCTGAACGAACTGTGTTGACATTGCTTGGTGCACCAGTGGGTTTCCCATCAGGTTCATCGGTAGCGCGGTGGATGTAGCGGTGGAGGTGCAAAAACAAAGCGGCCCAAAGATCGTTGACTTCAAGAAGGTCTTGAAGGAAAGCCCACCAGGTTCCTTGAGTTGGTTGAATTGAAGCTGAACATTGGGGGACCAATGGCGGCCAATTGAGGGGTTTTAAATCTTTCAAACCTGATTTTCCCAACAGAAACAGTGGCAGATGTGGCAGATACTTTCACCAAAACACCGCGGGAATAGGTGCTACATTCCCGTGGCAAGAGCTGCAAACCCAACCCAAAAATACAGGAATAGATGGTGCGATGGCGCAACCCCCAACTTGGAGACATTTCAAAGGTTTTGCATGGTGGCCAGTGGGAGCAACATTAAAAACAAACATCATCAAACATCAAACATCTCGATTTCAGGTTTGCGAGATTCTTGGCATAGATGGCGTAACCAACTATGAAACGGGGCAATGAGATATCAGGCCCTGAGGTGTCAAATTTCCAAAAGTCGGCGCCATCTTTACACTTTTGGGAAATGGCAGAACCATATTATTTTGCTACGGTGTAATGGCAGTGTTTGGGTGCCGTGTTGCCCCATATTTTTTTTATCAATTTTTGACATAAACATATACTTTTTTGATCTTTTTTGGGGTGTGAAATAAAGATGAGTTTAGTTGGCTGATAGCTGTGGTTATCTGTATTTATCTGTTCTTGGTGCATGCTGACCATTGTTTGTTTGATTGCACATAGTGCTTTTGAGGATGCTGCTTCGAAACCCAAGAAGATTGGTATGTACTGTAGGACATCGGCAGGTAAGTTTCCAGTATGTTTCTCTCAAGAGAAAATACTATTGGCAAAGGCAAAAGAACACACAACCCTACCTACACATGAATAGAATGTGAGATTCATATCCATTCATCACAAATTTCAAACGGATTGCAACATCATATCAAGAGCACAGTAACACCATTTCTATCATGTTCTATCCATTTCTTCCGTACATGTTTTTTTTTTCACGGACCACGTGAGCGTCACCTCTGGTCGAGGCCAACTGTTCGAGCTGAAGCAGCAAGTGGAAGACTTTGCAAGTGCGTCGGCATATGAATAAATATGAATAAATGGACACCGATGCGTTCTGATGTCCACAACCATCATTGCTTATGAAATATACAATGATGCTATATCATGATATGAAATATAATATACGAATATATATATATGTATGTATGTATGTATGTATGTATGTATGTATGTATGTATGTACATGTATGTATGTGTATATATATATATAGTTTTTTTTGTGGGTTGTTGAAGCCTTGTTGTTAAAGGACCTGTTAGGAGGATGCAGTGTCCAAGCGGGTTCAAGATGTTGTTTTATTTTGGGTTCAAGATGCAGTTTGTCGCTTCGAAGAAACACTGTACCTATGATGGTCAGATTGGACACAAGCCACAGTATCATATAGCATCATGAGGTCTGACGTCTTATGCATCAGTTATTGCATTGTGTAGTTTCGATGCTGCGGTTCCCGCACCAGTTTCCTCGCTCACTGCCAGGTAGTTTCCCAACGGTTGGCTTCTGAGCTTGAAAGATCCTCACCACACTGGCTTGTCCTACCAGTAGACTGAGGAGATGTCAAAAAAGAACACGGGCACATGTATTTAACCTATGTATAGCTATATATATATGTGTAATAGCTGTTTTTTTTAGCCATATTACTACTAAATAAAGATCATAAAACCAAAAATGCAATACGCACACATATATTACATAAAGATGCTGGCCATGGAACCCCAAAATCCAAAGTTCTGCTAACGTTTATCATTCGCATTTCTGGCCAATACCTTTTGAACAAATGTGTTGATGCGCGATGTGTCGTCACATCATGCGTCCACAAATAGCTGTCCTTCACAATGCTGTGTAGCCCTTCCCGGGCTGTGGCAACATCAAGTTGCATCCAGCCTGCGTGTAGCGTGCAAGCATCAGTGGAGCGCGGAAAACAATAGTGCCGGTGGTTGTGTGATCTCTATATTGTATTAATTGTATTTACCTATCATGTATATTTCAACAGGTCAACAGTCAACAGATGTGAAATATTTATAATGTTCTGCTCTCAATACCCCAGTTGACCGCATCAAAGTCTAATTAATTATGGGTGATGGCACGAATCCACCAGCCAGACTGCAGAGGCTGCCAATATCAAGAGGTATCGGTCAAGTCTAAGTCTAGGTCCAAAGGTTTTTCAACAACTTGGCTAAGACATGTTGGACGGGGCATCCTCCAGCCACTTCAGGCCGGACCTTGCCCTTACAAACAGGAAGACATCGGAGGAGCCTTGGTGGTGCAGGTGGTTCTGATAAATTCTGAGGACCAAACTGACCATATCCAGATATATCCAGCATGTACTGTATGACCCAGGTATTCCAGGCTTCGGTATTTGAGACATGGGACATGGATGGAGGGATTGACCTTTCAGCTTCTGTGGGGAGGGCTATGGCACCCCATCTGGAAGCACCCAGACCGTCGCAGTCACACAGGCACGGTCTCACTGCTCGAGGTGGCCTTTGGAGAACCGAAAATTCAGAATTTTTTTTTTCCCCTTGATGGTTCCTAATAGAACATCATACTGTAAAACAGATGCTGGGTACGGGCTACCCCAATTTTGGATATAGGAAACCTCCATCTTCCAGATATCTCCAAATGACCAGAGAGATCCAAATCTGTAGGTCCATGAGTACCCGTACCCGAATGTTTATGGTTTCTTTGCCAACATTGCCAACGTTGTTTGCTCCATGTTGCGCGTAGCTTGCAATGAATAATGGTCAAATTCAAACATCTCTGGCCAAGGCTGTTTGGTGACAGTAGGTTCGATGTCTATCATTTTTCAGCACATCGCTTCTACTTGAGCGGTTTGAAAGAAAGATACGTGAAGGATCGTGACAGACAATCTTGATCTAGTAAGTGCTTTCAAACATTTCTACCCCTGCCATTTTGTGATGGCAATCCCCAACGACTGAAGTATTCTTCAGGGGATTTGTAGGCACCAATCAGTTGTGTTCCCCATCACCCTTTGCAGGGCAGAAAAGGGCGCCAGAAAAAATCACGGCAACGTCCTGAGGCGGGGCTCCAGAATGCTCCAGACCTCTTTGAAGTTGATTGATCTTAGCAGATGTTGTTTCGAAGCCTATGTCATGTCACATATAGCTTGGCTCAAGGCGACTTACTTTGTCACTTTCGAGTGACTGTGAGGAGATCTCTCCATTTGCAGACCGATTTCTCATCGATCCACAGGGATTTGTTTCTGTGTACTCATTGACTAGTAGGAAGCATGTTTTTGCTTGATCTTCATTCTCGATGGTACTGGGTTATACTGGGTTTCTTGATGTTGCCAACCCCTCTGAGTCAGGCCAGGATCAAAGCCTTCAAGGTTGCAAACAGCCTAGCGGGTGAAAGCTCGAGCATTGGTGAAACTACCCAAGGAACATCCCATGACATGCCGCAGAATCTCCATTATCGATACCCCAGCCTTCAGGTCAGTGTGACATTCCATGGCAGCCATGGCACCAGATACGTCAAGCAGCGAAGACAGCGACGGTGACGTCGGTGACGTCTCCGACTTCGAAGCCCGAATGGCTGCCTGGGAAGCCGACCAGGAGCGGCTGAAAACCATGGTTTTTGCGGTCATCAAACCTGGCAATTGGACATCCCAAAAATGGAGGTTTTAATGGGAAAATCATGGAAAATCATCATCAGTGGGGGATTTTCCATTGCCTTGTTTGATTGCCGGAGGCTACCCGCATTTTATGGCATCAAAATGGGAAACATATTGATTGATACGATGAACCATGGAAAAGTTGGAGCACCATACTTTTTTTCCTGGATACATTATATCAAGGTTGCGACCTCACTGTGACGACATGGGTATGGAAACCCGCTGGTTTCCAAAAGAGCACGATCTACAACTGATCGATTCATATCGATTCTATTTCCCGCTATTTCCCTCGCACCCGGGATACAGTAATGATGATTTCAATTTCGTGAAGATGTTTTTGCCATCAAAATTGATGATCCCCAAAATCTTCCACATCTCATTTTGACCAACCAGCCCAGCCCAGGATCAAAGTGACCTCGAAGTGGTCTTCGACAGGGCCAGCGAAGATCAAGCGGAAGCCACCTGCCAGCGCCAGCAGCGCGTTTGGGCCTTGTTGGCAGAACGTTGGGCGAGCCCGGAGGAGGTGGAGGACTTGAAAAGGATGAAGGACAGGTGGTTCATCCTTTTCCAAACTCATGGAGTTGTTGAAAATGGACGTGGATGTTTCATGCATTTCCATGTTGCATACACAAAAAGGATCGCTCCCAAGTGATTAATGTCTTGGGGGGCAGTCCTTCTTGACATAGTTGATATTTCTAGTCTTGGGTGGTTCCGCGATGTTTAAGCTCCCAGAGGATATCATTGATTCAGCGGCCACAAGCTGCGAGCTGGATGACTTTGGAGAACTGGCGCGCAGGCCTGCTGCAGTTGGGCCCAAACTTTGGATTGGAAGTAAAGCAGATGCAGCTGATGAGCATTGGCTGGCGGAACAGCAGATCCAGGCCGTGCTGAATTGCACTGAAGAGGCACTATCTCCACGGCGCCAGCAGATTTATGAAAGGCTGGGACTGGAATATATGCATCTTGCCATGCATGATGATCCGAGTGAAAATCTGGCAGAGGCAGTTGAAGCTGCACGGCCCTGGCTGCAGCGGATGAAGGATCAACGGACACTGGTGCATTGCTTTGTAGGAGGCAACTGGCTGACTCGGAACTAGTTCGAACCCATTGTTTCAATTTTACACTCCATCCATCTCCATCCGTAAAACCTATAGGAATGATAATCCCCATTGACCCAAAGACACATGGGGGAACTGCTCCGTGGCCCTCAGGCAATCGTTCAGTGGCAGTAGTCATCTCGCACTTAGTGCTGGATCAAGCTATGGATTTTTGGGAAGCGCTTGAAATCGTGGCCGCAGCGCGCGGCCGAGTGCTAGGGAGCGGATCCTTCCCACTGCAGTTGCTGCGGCTGTTGGTTCCCCAGCCTGAAGCTGACCTTCAAAAAAGGAGCGTGGCAGAGATCAGCTGAGCTGAGCTGAACAATCCGCGGAAACATTACGGAAACATTATGAAATGTTAATATGCCCCCGGTAATTTCATCCAGGCTTTACGTGGGTTCGCAACTACATGGTAATTGTATGTACTAGTATATAATTGTATCATGATACCGAATGATGCATCCACTATGCATCCACTATGCATCCACTATCATCCACGTATGCCACATGCCACACTTGGCAGAAAAGAATCCCGCACAATCAAAAACGATCTGGCACTGTCAGGCCGGACATTCGCCAAATTTCGGGGCCAAGTCTTCAACTTGGCATTCGCTGCCTGGCTAATTTAGAACATGGAGAACCTTTGGTGCTGACCGCTGACCTGGCTAGCTACTGCCACCATCCTGGGGGAGATCGGGAGATCTGTCGTGATTTTTTGCCCTTTATTTTCCCACATTTTCTCACTTTCCCCCACTTGTGAGGTGTTAGGAGTCAATGACCGGCTACAGGTATGGCAGGGTGCAATGACACAGGGGCTCCATTCAGGCCGAAGGATGTGGTGATAGTGGCTGAAGCCATACAGTAGACTAAAATTGAGCGTGATCAAGACCCTGGTTGATAAGGTATTTCAGGATTTTCAGGTGGGATATAAACAAAAGGTTGGTCGCATCAAAGTATCACATGGGAATTCCAATGGACCAGCCAGTGGACGACATTTCGGGTTTTGAACGCTGTTTAATTGGAAGTTGCGAGTGCCCCAGTCCCCCACAAGTAAAGGTCTTGGAGGCACAGCGATTTGCGATTTTGACCATCCGGCAGTCAGTGTTGATTGTAATTTTCAAAGTTCAGCAGTTCGAAACGATCGTTTTCTCCATTTATGCCATAAGTTTTTCTGTAAAACACCCGAGTTTTGGTAAGGCACCCCTGGTTTTTTTGCTGGAAAACCCATCCACTTCGCTGTGCAGGAAAGATCTGGATTCGAAGCACGTTCTGTTCGCGAAATGATGTTTGGTTTAAAGGCACATCATATGACTCATATGGCTGGCATTCACTGGCTTAAAAAGGTTATACGTGCATATATGTGCAAGCTTTTTGTTTGAAAGAAAACCATACAAAACCGGGAAAAATATCAGTTGCAATGGTAAAACAGCTGGAGTTGTTCAATGAACTGTATTGGTTTTGCGGCCGAGACCTCGTAGGCTCGGAAATGGTTTCATCCGAATTTGTTTCCTGGCTTCAATAGCGGAATTGTTTGGAATTGTCCAATCCACTATGTCACTAAATGCTTCTCAGATTTCTCAGCCATGGGAATGTTTGTAATTTACGAGCCGGATCTTGACAGATGAGAGGGCACACCATTTGTTTTGCCTACGCAAGACCATGGAATTTGGGAGCCAGCGCTGCAAGGCCTATATGGTTCTTCATCACTAATCTTTTTATGTTTTTTTTAAATGATGATGAGATATTGTTGTATCAAAAAGAGGAACAAAAAAGACGCGAATGACGTTTGAAGCCAGCAGTTGCTAGCAGCAAATGCTAGCGGAAACACTCTTATGTTGCTGTTGGTCCTGCTGGGATGTTGATCAAAACATGAGAACAAAAAAAGCCGAGAGAACTTCGTGTATTACTGGTTGGTGGTTTGGAACAAGCCGTGGGCTCAACACCTACCAGCAGGTGCGGCTGTGCGCGCCGATCGTTGAGGGTCCTGGGTCGCCTGGTTGCCATGGACCCCATCATGGACATCGGTTCGACTGATGCTGGAGGTGTTGTGAGTGTGGTGGTCGATGTGATGGTCTTCGACCCGAATCACGAGAGACATTTGGTGAGGCTCCTACATACTGGTGGTGTTGCACAGGTCTGTGGACTGTTGGAAGGTGACTGTGCCGTCTGACTTTGCTGGATGTGACGGTGGTTAGACAATTTCCTGTGCCTGTTTTGGAGGTTGGGAAGGAAACCAAAGTCCTGTGCCACACAAAGCATACGTGGTATGACTTCTACAAGCTCATCTACGCTTGCAGTGGGATAGGAGGAGTGTCTCATGGGGCACTAGCAACTGGTGTGCAGACGACAGTGGCTGTCGACAGAAATCCCCGCATGACAAAGCTCCATCAGGTCCATTCCAATGCAGAGGTAGTCACTGGTGAGGTAGGACATCCGCAGGTCATTTCCGAACTGTGGAAGAAAAGTGAGCATGCAGCCATGATGAGTGCAGGCTACTCATGTCAGCCGTTTTCGCAACTAGGCGACCAAAGGGGGGGATGTGACCCTTGTGCTCAAACGCTTCCGCATGTGCTCCGAGCTGCATTTTTCTTGCAGATTCGTGTTTTGGTCCTAGAGTGTGTAGTCCCGGCTCGTAGTGACAGCTTTGTACAGCAGCAGATCGATCAGTTTGCCCAACTGATGCAATATCGAGTTGAGGTGGCGAACTTAGACTTGCAAACCGTCTGGCCATGCAGACGCCATAGGACTTGGTGGGTAATCTACGATCCTAGCCTGGGAAAGTTGGTATCACTGAATGGTTGACTCACAAGGGTTTGCCGAAGGTCCAATGTCTCATTCCTTACATTTGGATCCAAGGGATGAAATGGCGTTGTGTTTGGATCAGAGGGAATGCCAAGCTTTTGGGGTCAATGATGGGGCTTACCCCAAGCACATGTTAACAGCCAATGGTGTGGCGCCTACTGCACTCCATGCCTGGGGATCGCAGTTGAGAGCATGTCCTTGTGGTTGTAGGGATTTCGGTTTGTCAGCACAGCGACTCCATGAAAAGGGACTCTTTGGCTTGTTGGTGTCTAGTTGCTCTGAATGTTTGGCATCCCAACCCATCAGACATGTGCACCCTTCTGAAGCACTTGCGCTCAATGGCATGGATCCGACACTGGATTTTGGCCTTGATGTACGCCTCACTCTGTCAGGTATTGGCCAGATCGCTAGTCCGTTGCAAGCTGCATGGATATTTGCCATTATCATGTCCAGGGTTGAAGTTTTGTCCAAGGACTCGGTGATCTTCAGTCCATTGTCACAACTTGTGGCATTCCGGTCCTGGTTGGTCATGAAATGTCAGGAGGTATGGCCTTGTACCACGCGCATGATTGAAGATCACCAACTCAACGAAATGGTTGCTTTCTGGAAACCAATCAAGGGTCTGTCTCTTGAACAAGTTGTTCATCCACCTCAGTGGGGGGATCGAAGTGATGCTCACCTCTCAATTGCCGCTGTCTTGGATCTGATAATTCGCCAGACACAAATGACTCAGCATCCGGCTGCCGTCCCTGATGACACGGAAACTCCGTGGTATGAGAGTCCAGTTGTAGAACCACAGTGTGATGCCTCTTTTTCTGTTGGTGTGACGGAAGTCACGCTGGTAGATGCTCAAGGTAGTTGTCTGAGTTTCAGATTTCAGGCAGGTTCGACAGTTGCTGATGTCCTTGCTGCTCATGCCAAACTGACAGGGGCCATGCGTGTTGCTTACATTTGTGACCACTTTGGCCAGGGTTTGGAAATTGATCAACCTCTCAAAGCAAGCCAGCAGGTCCAGATCTTCTTTGCTTCTGATGGCCAAGGAATGTCATTTGATGCTGATGGCCTACCACACACTGGTGAAGGGTTTGAAGCTCGGCAACCAGATGCATTCGTAGATGGTGATACCGTCACTGAAGGTAGTTTGGGAGATGTGCGTGACAATGTGCCATGTGTTCAGCTCTCTGACATGCAGGCCCAGGGCCAGTCACTGCCGGTGGTGTCGCCTACACTACCCTGGGTTGCAGAAGATGTGCATCGACATGATTTGGACTCTACTCAGGCCACCATTGCTCATCCTGCTGGCACTGGTCAGATCAGTGCACTCCTGATGCTTTCGGAAAATCAGTTTTTGCGACTGGGAGTGCCCAGGCTTGATGATCACAACAAGTTCCGTGCATTGCGGCAACAATTTGTTGTCTCTCGGGAACGCCTTTCTCTGCTGCAGGTGCAAGGGTCTTTTTGGGCTGATGATGAAATTGCGTTTCACCTTGGGCTTCTCACTGCCCCTGCCTCATCTGTCTCGCCGAGTTCTCATGAAGTTCTGAGGGTCATGCGTTTTCCTCAGAGGCCTGGGCCCGTGATCACCTGAAAGTATTTGATGCCAGAATCCAGGTTATCGGTGTCTGTCGTGTCAACACGCATTGGGTTTAGTTTCATTTTGTGCCCAGCAAATCACAGATCATGTCACAATCCGCACATGGGATGCGCCTGCCAATGACACCCGTTTGAATGCTGTCCTGGAAACTCTTGCGCGCCAGTTAGGATTTAGTACGTTCTTGGTCACGAGACAACAGCGACTTGCACCCACGACTGAGAAATGTGGAGCCTTGGCAATTCATTTTCTCCGAAGTGCGCTCCATGGCCTTCAGCTCCCGGTCACAGCTGCAGAGACTGACCTTGTCCATGCCAAACTGCGTCAAGGGTTCACGGAGATTTTGCACAAATCTGAGTTTGTTGTTCGTCCATGGATCTGGGGGTCAGGTGATGAAGATGGAGACACTGAGGAGAATGCCCTAGCTGAACAGGAAATCCCGTTTTGTGACCCTTCGTTTCAAGACAGAGATTTGCCAAGTGATGGTCCGATTGGACGGATCTTTGATGTTTTTTCTCCGCAGTCTGATCCAGATCTGGTAAGTGAAGTGTCTGACGACTCCCCTCGAGTTGTCGAGGATTCTCCACCTGAAAGGTCCAGGTCCAGGTCGCCCAGACCCAACGTTGTTCAGGTCATTGAAGGTGTTCCGGTTGATGCCATGCCTGCTCCCGATGCAGATGGCTTGTCTCCAAGGGAATCCGGGCCACTCCCTATAATGCCCGATGGTAGGCCTCTATGGCGTGATGGGACTTTGGTCTTCCAAGTTAGGTCTGAGATTCGTCCAGTGCAATTTGCAAGAGATCCGGGGGATGATCGTCCTGGGGTCAGTCTCAGTTTGCTCTTTGATGTTGGTGCGTATAGTCGTGAACTTTGGAACCGAGTAGAATGGAGTGTAGCTGAGCTGGTTGCACTTGATCCCAATCAGATGCTGCAGGTCATTCCGCCAGTGATTGAAAATCCCACAAAGCTTTGGTCAGTTCGCAATCAGGTCCTTTCTGCACGTGATCGCTTGTCAATTTTAGAAAATCAACTTGGGGTGATGGCAGATGATGAAATTCTGTTCCACCTGGAACAGCTGGATGCAGAATGCTTGAGTGGGGATGAATTTCCGCCAAAGAGGATTGGTCTTATTGAACCAATTGTTGCGGCAGCTTGGCTTGATCCCAACTCGTTTGACTGCACGGACTGGGCGGCTACGCATCCTGAGATCCGAGCGGAAGGAATACAACTGGTTGGTGCCTTTTGTGTTGACTCACACTGGATACCGGTTCTCCTTACGCCTTGGGGAGATAATGCCCGGATCTCTTCATTTGATGCTACTGGTGAGTTGAATGCCAAACTTGCGAGCATTCTGACTAGGGTTGCTCATGCATTAGGGTTCACTGAAATTCATTTTGATCACATTCCTCGAACGTTTGCAAGCAAAAGCGTTCGTGGTGCAGTTTCCATCAATTTCTTGAGGAGTGAGGTCGCAGGATTTCCTCGATTGGGCGCTACGTTTTCAGCTTGGGAAGAACATCATGTGCTGCGTCGCAAGTTCATTCAATATCGCAATCGGTCCACAGAAGTGAAGAGGCCATGGCTCTGGGGATTTGGTCTTTCAGATGATGAGGTGCAAGACAACATATTTGGTCAGTTGGAGGGCTATATGTTGGCCTTATCTTGGCCCAAAAGCAAAATATTGGGTCATTTCAAGGCTATGTTGGGCCTATCTGGGGTCATGTGCAGGCGTATTGGGCCACTTGGAGGGCTATGTTGAGATCTTGGAGGGCTATAAGGCCATATGCGGCTAGCCAAGTGTGCTAGAACTAGAACGTTCTTTTTGGCATCAACATAAAGACCTAAAGGAAGATGTGCGTTGACGCGATGCAGGGGGTGCATTTTGGGCCCTCTTAGCCAGACATGCACAGGCCTGCAGAGTTGTTGATGAATGGAATGCCACTATCCAGCAAGTCCTCCTCTCAGTCAGCCGCAAGGTGTTGATTCAGGCTAGCAATGTTGAGCCGGTGGAGTTGGTGCCTGCAGTGTGCACAGACCCTCCTGGATGGACATCTGTTCCATCTAATCCAGGCCCACCTGTAGGTGCTGTTCGCTGGTATGGATCTGCCATTGTTACCAAGATCATGGATTGGTTCTGGGATGCGGTAGACAAGGAGCCTGGCCCTGTGGTGTGGGTCTCCAATGCACAGCTTTACATTGACTATGCACTGACCACGGGTGATGCGGGGCCCATTCATGTCCACCGATTGCAGGACAGTGCTGATGTTCCTTTGGATGCGCTGCTCAGCATTGGGTTCAAAGAGCGGGTCCGATGGTTTGGCAGGGTGTTGAGGGAGATCCTGAAGCACGCAGGAATTACCTGTGAATCGCGCTACTGTAGGCCAGTGTCACATATGATCTGCATGCATGCCAGCTGCACGGGTGTCCCTATGGCGGAGGACCGGCTGTGTGCCGCAGATAGATGGATGGCGAAATTCACTCGAGTCCCGTTCCGGCGCCAGTCGCGGGAGCTCGATCACTTGCCGGTGCCAACCAGAGGGTTGGCATAAAGTAGGTATGTCTCTCCCAGACAAGGCGCTGACTTCGACATCTAAGTCAGCGTGTAGAGTAAAGAGGTATAAAAAGTGGTGGTTTGGAACATTTTTTATTTTTCCATATATTGGGAATAATAATCTCAACTGACTAATATTTTTCAGAGGGGTTGAAACCACCAACCAGATTATGATCTCATACTATTTCATCTTGTATGACGGCAGCCAAAGCTGCTGGAGGTCCGAAATTTCGACATCCCAAGGGATCAACAGACCACTGACGCAGATTTGATGCGCGTCTCGTATTGCATGTGACCCATCCTGGAGATGGTGACGTCTCTTTTGATCTCTTGCGATTTTCAGATTCTCTCTGGTCAGCACGGTGGCCAGGCATCCAATGAAAGATCACACAATCGGAATCGGCCGTTGTGTTTTTATGTGTTTTTGCGGTAATGACTTGTCATAGCAATGCAATTTGCATGGAAAATCTATGGCGATCTCTCAATTTCTCCAATTTTGGTGGTTGTTTCCGGTTGTTTCTTGTTTCTGCTTGTGTGTCCGCCCTCAATCGGGGTAGACTTCTGAATGCTAAAGGAGCAGCCAGCACAATGGTAATCTCTTCCGACTCTGAATGGTTTGATGGATTTGACCTCTCAAAGAGTTTCTCTCGATGTTTTTCCTTTGTCCTTTCTTTTGGGAGTAAACATAGTTGAAGGATGTTGAAGGACCTTGACACTTGGCAGCCAGTAGGATAGGAGTAATCATGAGTATCCTCCTCAAGATGGATGGTGGGCAGGATGACGATGAATTCCTGACCCCAGTTTGAATCATCAACGCATCTCTACTCTATTGGCAGTTGACAATGTTTTCTGAATTCCGGACATTTAAAAGAGGCGATCAGCGGCAATATGGTGGCTGGTTACCTCCAACCGTTTAAGCGTCAAGTCCATCTTTTTGTAATATATATATAGTATAATTTATGTCCGATGACCTTTTGGTTGTATGATTAACAGAGGGGTAACCTTCTTGTTTCACAACCAAGAGGATCAAACTGAAGGTGATTGTTTTTCTGGCATCCCAATCCGCACCGCTTGATCTTTGAAACCATTGATCTTAGGTATGATCAAGTCATGGTTTGTTTTCACGTGAGAAGTTCGAAAAACTCTGCTCTTGGCATTTTGTGTGGCGCCTACGCAACACCGGCCACACAGGGGATGATGGAAGTGCAGAGCTCATGTTCTGTTCCAAGTTGGTTGACGAAAACAATGACATTGGATGAGATTTTGGCAACTTGCTAGGGGTAAAACACCTAGTTCAGAACTAAGTAGCTAGCTAGGAGTAGAGATGGCATGTCATGTAAGACACTTGACGTGACCGCAGCCCCTTTTAGCACATCCGTGCTACTCGAGGAAAAAGTGAGGTGACCGAGTCAACAGTACTGTGTTGTCACCACCTGTGTTTTGAGCCCAATACGCACCCACCGTGTAACTTCGCTGTTTGCATGGTAGCGGAGCTGTGAGGGTAGACCCTCCGCTCCAAGGTTCAGTGCGGGTCGATCCGCCGGCTAAGGCCGAGATCGACATCGCCAATCCCAGCGGGTAGCCCCGCGTGCCAAGGCACGTGGTAAACCCCAACAACACGACGTCCTCAGGACAGGATCACGTAGATCCGTGGAATAGATCCTCCAGTTGGTGGGATCGAAGCTGGCAAAGCCAAGACCAGTGGTACGACCGCTCTTGGCAAGACAACGGGGATTGGGACAGCCGAGCCCGATCTACGCAGCCAACGTCCTCTACGGAGACGAGAGGCTGGAACCGTCGTTCCCGAGCGTCCTCTGCCGCCACCTGGCAGGAAGAGGCAGCCCGGTCAAATCGAACTCCAAGGAGAGATAGCCGATTCACTCAAGACAGGAATTGTCGTGGACATCGATCCGTTGCAGCGACCCAGCGCCGGATCGATCGAGGACAAGAGCGCCGAAGACAGGCAGAGCTAGCAGCCCAACAGGCGCAGGCAGCGACTCAGACAGAGCCGCAACAAGGAGACACCGCTCCTCCCGAGCCAAGTAGACCCCCACGGGTGTCCACTAGCGAGAGGAGAGCGCGGTCAGCCCCGCCCCCAGGCCAAGCAGCCTTAGAGGCGAACGAAGAGGCTGAAGTAAGCCTGGTCCCTCGGAAGGATCGCAGGCGAAGAGACAAGGCCGAGACAAAGGCCGAACCACAAGAGCCGATTCTAGAAGAAGAACTGGAAGAGGTTCTAGAGGAGGAGCTACCAGCTTCTTCCTCCGTTCGTGTGCCCACTCCTCCAAGGGTACCGGACGAGCACTACATCAGTGAAGCCCGGCGCATTCTGGACCAGCCTCAGCCAGAGGTTCCAGAAGAGATCGCAGCCGCGGCAGCTGACGCGCCAGCAGAAGAATCTGGCAACGAGACGGAAGTTGAGTGGGGAGATTCGCTCTCGAGCTACAGCAGCTACGAGGTGTGCGAGATCCCTGACCTGGAAACCGCCAGGCGAGAAGCAGAAGCTGTAGCAGCCCAAACCAAGTGGCTGGAGCAGCGTCGTCTCCAAGCACCCCCATGGTACGCAACGGGAGTTGCGGGGAGCACCGCACGGTCCTCCGCCGACAGCAAAGGCCCAGCAGTTGAGGCCGAGCTGAGCAAGGCATTGGACTTGTGTGACCAAATCCAAGGGGTTTTGAGCCAATCAAGCCAACAACCGAAGCCTCCATTGACCACTGAGGTCGTGGACGAAAGGCCCGAAGAAGAACGCGATGACAGACCCACAACAGGTCATCGGCGAAATGCAGCTGAGGATGGATGCTCTAGCGAGTCAGATGCAAGCGCTGAATATCGCCCATCAGAGCCAGCCGCAACAGAACGCCCAGCTGCAGCAGGAAAAGCAAGAGCTGGACCAGCGCCTGACAGGCGTTATGGCACTATTGCAGCAATCCTTGCAGCAGACCGCGAACGTAGGCGTCGCCCAAGGGCAAGTTCCCCCGCTCCAGAGCGCGGGAACACCCGCCGGAAGCAGTAAGCCGGTCAATCATATTGACGTGCTCAAGTCTGTGAAGCAGCCTCAATCCTTAAAGGATCGAGACCAATGGGAACGGTTCAGTTTCCAAGTAGAAACATACTTGGCTTTGCTGGACGAAAACTTTCCAGCAGACTTGGACAATGCACGCAAGCTCACCAGTTTTGTAGATCCAGTCGATATGACTGACGAAGCCAAATCCCGAGGGAGGCAATTGTTTGCAATGCTGAACTCGTGGACTCAAGAATTGGCAGTGGCAAGTAAGATTGCCCGTGGCATTCGAGACCAAAATGGTTTTGAGTTTTGGAGACTGTTGTGGCGTGAAATGGCCCCAGACAATCACTCCAAGAGTTTGATCTGGCGGCGCTCGTTGCTCAGTCCCAAGTTTCCTGCAAAGGAAGCAGAGTTTTCAGCGGCACTCCAAGAGTGGGAAGCTGACCTGGACAAATATGAGGCCGAATATGGTCCCAGTAAGGCCATCAGTGACGAAGACAAAAGAGCTGTAGTCCTTACTGAGGCGCCAACTGCCCTGAAGCAACACCTTTCCATGCACATTGGAACCCTTTCCACGTATCAGTCTGTGCGTGAGGTGGTGGTGTCCTATCTGCAAGCAAAGCAGGTTTGGAGGCCATCAGCCGCGTATGCGGAGGCCATCAGCCGCGTATGCGGGAGCCGCCGCACGCACAAGAGATCCAGATGCCATGGACATCAGCCTTGTCGGTGATGGCAAAGGAAAGGGGAAAGGAAAAGATGGCAAGGGAAAGGATAATAAGAAGGGCAAAGGAAAAGAGGCCAAAGGAAAAGGGAAAGACAGCCACAACAACAAAGGTGGCAAAGGTCAACAGGAGAAGGATCGTTGCGCCATATGCTGGAAAACCGGCCATACCATTGAGAAGTGTTGGTTCAACTCAAAAGGCCAACCAAAGGGGAAGGGCAAGAAAGGAGTTGCAGGTATCACTGAAGACAATGCGTCAGTGATCTCTGCAGGGCCATCTGCATCTCAAGTTGGTGGTCAAAGTGTAATCACCCTTCCATCCACGACCACTTCCAACAAAGGGAAGAACGTTGGAATGATCGGGGAACACCGACTTCTCATGGTCAAGGCCACCAGCAGCGGGCAACACCGCCATGTTTCACCAAAGGCCATTTTGGCCATACCAGAAGGTGGAGAAATCTCTACTGGCAATGCCATTTTGGCAAAGGAATCTCTTGTATCCAAGTTGGAAGCAATTTTTGCCTATCGAGACCAACCTGGATGGCACGACCCTGATCCCAACACCAAGGTGTTTGTGGTGAAAGGCAAGAATGGTGCCACACGAAAGTATGCTACACCAGGGTCACAGTATCCTGGCTACACGTTTAGGTCAACGTGGCAGTGGAATGAAGAGTCCAACGCCTGGGATTGCAAGGAGTTCAGAAAGAAATGGAAGCTCCTGCATGAGCCACACGAAACGTTTCAAGGCACCAGGGTATGGGCACTTCAAGTCTTCCAAAGAAGTGACACTGCACGAGTGGCCAAGGTTGCCAGCAGAGGCACACTGCTGGTGGACACAGGAGCCTGCTCTTCAGTCTGTAGACCTGAGGCTTTTCCAAGTGCTCTCTTGGACCCCAACGCCGTTGAGGAACTATACACGGTGGATGACACTCCACTGAAGGCGTGCGGGGAAATCCGCCCTCAGCTCAGGCTTGGAGACAAGCTCAAAGAAGAAGCTCAAGTCACCTTCCAGGTGGTTGAAGGTGTGAACGAAAACATCCTGTCAGTCAACAGGGCATTGGACATTGGAGCCAGTGTCCACTTTGAAAGTGACAACTGCTACATCCAATGGGCAGATGGCAGGAAAGCCACGTTTGCCAGGCAAGGCAAACAGTTTCTCCTTCCGTTTGAAGAGTTGGAGCAACCTACCACCAGACATGGCAAGGTGGCAGCCATCGATGAAGATGCAATGGCAGTTGAAGCCTATGCCATGCAAGAGGATGAAGAAGCCGAGGCAGTGCAAGAATATGCCAGGCGTGAAGAAGAAGTGAGAAAGGCCAAGGAGCTTCTGGAACAAGACCCCGGTCTCTTGGCAGACCTGGAGGAAGAAGCGGAAACCCCGCCACCTGTGGAGCCAGAGGGGTTGTCACAACCCATAAGCCCCACTGAGGCGCAGGTGGAATCCCATCGCCTTACACACCTACCGTTTCAACCATGGTGTGAAGAGTGCGTGTCGGGTAAGGCCAAACAAGATTGGCATAGGAGGGATCAATCCTCAACGCGTGAGGGAACAGGGTTGATCCAAATGGATTATTTCTTTCTCTCTCCTGAGAAGGAGGAAGAGGTTGAAGATGAGTCAAGGCTGGTCACAATCCTGTGTCTGACTGACACGGTGACAGGTTGGCCGCTGGCACTTCAACTTCCCAACAAGTCAACCGAGATAGCCCAGTCCAGGTACTGTCTGCAAAATGTGGACCTCTACCTGAAGAACCTTGGGTACAGCAAAGTTATTCTGGCGCATGATGGCGAGCCCTCAATCAGAGCACTGGCTGAGTCAATCCAAAGACATGTTGGATCCAGCTGAGCCTCATTATTCCAGGGGGGCATGTCACATCAGGAATAATTGACTTGGAATAAATAGTTTTAGGGCCTATTTTTAATTATTCTGCTAAGGGGGTCTATTCTATGTCAAGACTTGTATGGAATAATTTGTGTCAACATACCTCAGAATAATTAGCTATTGATGGGCATATAAACTCAGATGATAAGTTATGATAGATTTTGAACCATCACTTGAAAAATCGATGACAATATATGACAACAGATGAACGGCGATGACATGTGCATACATGTGCTGTTATGATCTGTTATGTGCTGTTTCATTGCCCGTGATAGAGTGCCAGAAAAAATGTCAGAAGATATCAGAAGATAAGCCAGATAGAATGTCAGAAGATATTCCAGATAGAATGTCAGAAAATATGCCAGATAGAATGTCAGAAGATATGCCAGATAGAATGTCAGAAAATATGCCAGATAGAATGTCAGAAGATATGCCAGATAGAGTGCCAGAAAGAATGTCAGAAGATATGCCAGATAGAGTGCCAGAACGAATGTCAGAAGATATGCCAGATAGAATGTCAGAAAATATGCCAGATAGAATGTCAGAAGATATGCCAGATAGAGTGCCAGAAAGAATGTCAGAAGATATGCCAGATAGAATGTCAGAAGATATGCCAGATAGAATGTCAGAAGATATGCCAGATAGAGTGCCAGAAAGAATGTCAGAAGATATCAGAAGATATGCCAGATAGAATGTCAGAAGATGTCAGACGATATGCCAGATAGAAAAGCACAGGGGTCCCAATGAAATTATTTATCTTGACTCATTTGTCATATTTATTCCACAGGTCACCCACATATGTCAAAACACCCAGGAATAATTGGGCATCACCAGGAAACACCCAGGGATTCTTCAAACCATGCATTGGGTCACCAACGTTCACTCAGGGGCCATAAGTTGCCCATATGTCTTCCACAGGTCACCCACATATGTCAAACCACCCAGGGAAAATTGGGCATCACCAGGAAACACCTAAAAATTCTTCAAACCATGCATTGGGTCACCAATGTTCATTCAGTGGGCCCATTGGTCTTTGGCTAAAGTACCCATATTTTAACCACAGGTCACCCACATATGTCAGAACACCCAGGAATAATTAGGCATCAACAGGAAAATCCAGAAAAAACCCAGGGATTCTTCAAACCATTCATTGGGTCACCAATATTCACTCAGTGGGATTCAGTGGGTCCATTGGCCTTTGGCTAAGTTACCATAAGTTACTCATATGGGAATGTCTCCAAAATGGAGTGCCCCAAACTTTCTTTTTTCATCTGAAAAAAAAGTTTGGGGCACTCATATGGGCACCCCTATTTTGAGACATCCCCATATGTTTTCCACAGGTCACCCACATATGTCAAAACACCCAGGAATAATTGGGCATCACCAGGAAACACCCATGGATTCTTCAAACCATGCATTGGGTCACCAATGTTCACTCAGGGGCCCATTGGCCTTTGGCTAAGTTACCATAAGTTACCCATATGTCTTCCACAGGTCACCCACATATGTCAAACCACCCAGGGAAAATTGGGCATCACCAGGGAACACCCAAAAATTCTTCAAACCATGCATTGGGTCACCAATGTTCATTCAGTGGGCCCATTGGTCTTTGGCTAAAGGACCCATATTTTAACCACAGGTCACCCACATATGTCAGAACACCCAGGAATAATTAGGCATCAACAGGAAAATCCAGAAAAAACCCAGAGATTCTTCAAACCATTCATTGGGTCACCAATATTCACTCAGTGGGATTCAGTGGGTCCATTGGCCTTTGGCTAAGTTACCATAAGTTACCCATATGGGAATGTCTCCAAAATGGAGTGCCCCAAACTTTCTTTTTTCATCCGAAAAAAAGTTTGGGGCACTCATGTGGGCACCCCTATTTTGAGACATCCCCATATGTTTTCCACAGGTCACCCACATATGTCAGAACACACAGGAATAATTAGGCACCACCAGGAAACACCCAGGGATTCTTCAAACCATTCATTGGGTCACCAATGTTCGCTCAGTGGGCCCATTGGTCTTTGGCTAAAGTACCCATATTTTAACCACAGGTCACCCACATATGTCAGAACACCCAGGAATAATTAGGCATCAACAGGAAAATCCAGAAAAAACCCAGGGATTCTTCAAACCATTCATTGGGTCACCAATATTCACTCAGCGGGATTCAGTGGGTCCATTGGCCTTTGGCTAAGTTACCATAAGTTACCCATATGGGAATGTCTCCAAAATGGGGTGCCCCAAACTTTCTTTTATCATCTGAAAAAAAAGTTTGGGGCACTCATGTGGGCACCCCTGTTTTGAGACATCCCCATATGTTTTCCACAGGTCACCCACATATGTCAAAACACCCAGGAATAATTGGGCATCACCATGAAACACCCATGGATTCTTCAAACCATGCATTGGGTCACCAATGTTCACTCAGGGGCCCATTGGCCTTTGGCTGAGTTACCATAAGTTACCCATATGTCTTCCACAGGTCACCCACATATGTCAAACCACCCAGGGAAAATTGGGCATCACCAGGGAACACCCAAAAATTCTTCAAACCATGCATTGGGTCACCAATGTTCGTTCAGTGGGCCCATTGGTCTTTGGCTAAAGTACCCATATTTTAACCACAGGTCACCCACATATGTCAGAACACCCAGGAATAATTAGGCATCAACAGGAAAATCCAGAAAAAAACCCAGGGATTCTTCAAACCATTCATTGGGTCACCAATGTTCACTCAGTGGGATTCAGTGGGTCCATTGGCCTTTGGCTAAGTTACCATAAGTCACCCATATGGGAATGTCTCCAAAATGGAGTGCCCCAAACTTTCTTTTTTCAGAAAAAAAAGTTTGGGGCACTCATGTGGGCACCCCTATTTTGAGACATCCCCGTATGTTTCCCACAGGTCACCCACATATGTCAGAACACCTAGGAATAATTAGGCACCACCAGGAAACACCCACGGATTCTTCAAACCATTCATTGGGTCACCAATGTTCACTCAGTGCGTCCATTGGTCTTTGGCTAAGTTACCCATATGTCTTCCACAGGTCACCCACATATGTCAAACCACCCAAGGGAAATTCGGCATCACCAGGAAACACCTAGGAATTCTTCAAACCATGCATTGGGTCACCAATGTTCATTCAGTGGGCCCATTGGTCTTTGACTAAAGTACCCATATTTTAACCACAGGTCACCCACATATGTCAGAACACCCAGGAATAATTAGGCATCAACAGGAAAATCCAGAAAAAACCCAGGGATTCTTCAAACCATTCATTGGGTCACCAATGTTCACTCAGTGGGTCCATTGGTCTTTGGCTAAATTTCCATAAGTTACTCATATGTCTTCCGCTAAAGCAAGGGAAGAAGAAGCGAGGAACATTCTGGCCCGTGCCAACAAAAATCAAGCCGACGACGGTCCAAGCAAGAGAAAAGCCGCCATACGGGCTTATATACCTGCACATCATGGCGACACAGCATGGAGCGCTGATTCAACAAGCCTACGTAGCAGCCAAAATTCATGCAGCACGTAGTAAGGGACCCATTGATCCCAAGGACACTGCAGGATACCATCCTCTCCCAGATGAGCTTCCGACAGTACCGCCAGAGCTCACCTCTGGACTGTTACACTGTCTCTCCACTCTCAACCATCCAGGGGAAATTGGGCATCACCAGGAAACACCTAGGAATTCTTCACAGGTTGAGATAGGTTGAGCATTGCCGGAGCACATCTTTGAAACCAGGAACGAGCAAAACTTGCAAGATCCCAATAAACTCTTGAGTTTATTTGAAAAAGTTTTCTGACACGAGGTTTCTAGTGGTTTGTGGCAATACAACCTCAGTCAACACATGCCAAAAATATACCAAATTTGATTACAACTTGTATTTTTATGTGAATGGAGAGGGGGGGGTTGCCCTAAATTTACCCTAATTATTCCCGATGTCGTGTGACATACTGGAATGTTTTCCCAGAACATGTGCAATGGGGCTGGAATAATATCCAATTATTCCAAGGTATGCTGGCATGGGGGGGGTCTAAGGCAGGGGCCATGACTCATATGGCTGGCATTCACTGGCTTAAAAAGGTTATACGTGCATATATGTGCAAGCTTTTTGTTTGAAAGAAAACCATACAAAACCGGGAAAAATATCAGTTGCAATGGTAAAACAGCTGGAGTTGTTCAATGAACTGTATTGGTTTTGCGGCCGAGACCTCGTAGGCTCGGAAATGGTTTCATCCGAATTTGTTTCCTGGCTTCAATAGCGGAATTGTTTGGAATTGTCCAATCCACTATGTCACTAAATGCTTCTCAGATTTCTCAGCCATGGGAATGTTTGTAATTTACGAGCCGGATCTTGACAGATGAGAGGGCACACCATTTGTTTTGCCTACGCAAGACCATGGAATTTGGGAGCCAGCGCTGCAAGGCCTATATGGTTCTTCATCACTAATCTTTTTATGTTTTTTTTAATGATGATGAGATATTGTTGTATCAAAAAGAGGAACAAAAAAGACGCGAATGACGTTTGAAGCCAGCAGTTGCTAGCAGCAAATGCTAGCGGAAACACTCTTATGTTGCTGTTGGTCCTGCTGGGATGTTGATCAAAACATGAGAACAAAAAAAGCCGAGAGAACTTCGTGTATTACTGGTTGGTGGTTTGGAACAAGCCGTGGGCTCAACACCTACCAGCAGGTGCGGCTGTGCGCGCCGATCGTTGAGGGTCCTGGGTCGCCTGGTTGCCATGGACCCCATCATGGACATCGGTTCGACTGATGCTGGAGGTGTTGTGAGTGTGGTGGTCGATGTGATGGTCTTCGACCCGAATCACGAGAGACATTTGGTGAGGCTCCTACATACTGGTGGTGTTGCACAGGTCTGTGGACTGTTGGAAGGTGACTGTGCCGTCTGACTTTGCTGGATGTGACGGTGGTTAGACAATTTCCTGTGCCTGTTTTGGAGGTTGGGAAGGAAACCAAAGTCCTGTGCCACACAAAGCATACGTGGTATGACTTCTACAAGCTCATCTACGCTTGCAGTGGGATAGGAGGAGTGTCTCATGGGGCACTAGCAACTGGTGTGCAGACGACAGTGGCTGTCGACAGAAATCCCCGCATGACAAAGCTCCATCAGGTCCATTCCAATGCAGAGGTAGTCACTGGTGAGGTAGGACATCCGCAGGTCATTTCCGAACTGTGGAAGAAAAGTGAGCATGCAGCCATGATGAGTGCAGGCTACTCATGTCAGCCGTTTTCGCAACTAGGCGACCAAAGGGGGGGATGTGACCCTTGTGCTCAAACGCTTCCGCATGTGCTCCGAGCTGCATTTTTCTTGCAGATTCGTGTTTTGGTCCTAGAGTGTGTAGTCCCGGCTCGTAGTGACAGCTTTGTACAGCAGCAGATCGATCAGTTTGCCCAACTGATGCAATATCGAGTTGAGGTGGCGAACTTAGACTTGCAAACCGTCTGGCCATGCAGACGCCATAGGACTTGGTGGGTAATCTACGATCCTAGCCTGGGAAAGTTGGTATCACTGAATGGTTGACTCACAAGGGTTTGCCGAAGGTCCAATGTCTCATTCCTTACATTTGGATCCAAGGGATGAAATGGCGTTGTGTTTGGATCAGAGGGAATGCCAAGCTTTTGGGGTCAATGATGGGGCTTACCCCAAGCACATGTTAACAGCCAATGGTGTGGCGCCTACTGCACTCCATGCCTGGGGATCGCAGTTGAGAGCATGTCCTTGTGGTTGTAGGGATTTCGGTTTGTCAGCACAGCGACTCCATGAAAAGGGACTCTTTGGCTTGTTTGTGTCTAGTTGCTCTGAATGTTTGGCATCCCAACCCATCAGACATGTGCACCCTTCTGAAGCACTTGCGCTCAATGGCATGGATCCGACACTGGATTTTGGCCTTGATGTACGCCTCACTCTGTCAGGTATTGGCCAGATCGCTAGTCCGTTGCAAGCTGCATGGATATTTGCCATTATCATGTCCAGGGTTGAAGTTTTGTCCAAGGACTCGGTGATCTTCAGTCCATTGTCACAACTTGTGGCATTCCGGTCCTGGTTGGTCATGAAATGTCAGGAGGTATGGCCTTGTACCACGCGCATGATTGAAGATCACCAACTCAACGAAATGGTTGCTTTCTGGAAACCAATCAAGGGTCTGTCTCTTGAACAAGTTGTTCATCCACCTCAGTGGGGGGATCGAAGTGATGCTCACCTCTCAATTGCCGCTGTCTTGGATCTGATAATTCGCCAGACACAAATGACTCAGCATCCGGCTGCCGTCCCTGATGACACGGAAACTCCGTGGTATGAGAGTCCAGTTGTAGAACCACAGTGTGATGCCTCTTTTTCTGTTGGTGTGACGGAAGTCACGCTGGTAGATGCTCAAGGTAGTTGTCTGAGTTTCAGATTTCAGGCAGGTTCGACAGTTGCTGATGTCCTTGCTGCTCATGCCAAACTGACAGGGGCCATGCGTGTTGCTTACATTTGTGACCACTTTGGCCAGGGTTTGGAAATTGATCAACCTCTCAAAGCAAGCCAGCAGGTCCAGATCTTCTTTGCTTCTGATGGCCAAGGAATGTCATTTGATGCTGATGGCCTACCACACACTGGTGAAGGGTTTGAAGCTCGGCAACCAGATGCATTCGTAGATGGTGATACCGTCACTGAAGGTAGTTTGGGAGATGTGCGTGACAATGTGCCATGTGTTCAGCTCTCTGACATGCAGGCCCAGGGCCAGTCACTGCCGGTGGTGTCGCCTACACTACCCTGGGTTGCAGAAGATGTGCATCGACATGATTTGGACTCTACTCAGGCCACCATTGCTCATCCTGCTGGCACTGGTCAGATCAGTGCACTCCTGATGCTTTCGGAAAATCAGTTTTTGCGACTGGGAGTGCCCAGGCTTGATGATCACAACAAGTTCCGTGCATTGCCGCAACAATTTGTTGTCTCTCGGGAACGCCTTTCTCTGCTGCAGGTGCAAGGGTCTTTTTGGGCTGATGATGAAATTGCGTTTCACCTTGGGCTTCTCACTGCCCCTGCCTCATCTGTCTCGCCGAGTTCTCATGAAGTTCTGAGGGTCATGCGTTTTCCTCAGAGGCCTGGGCCCGTGATCACCTGAAAGTATTTGATGCCAGAATCCAGGTTATCGGTGTCTGTCGTGTCAACACGCATTGGGTTTAGTTTCATTTTGTGCCCAGCAAATCACAGATCATGTCACAATCCGCACATGGGATGCGCCTGCCAATGACACCCGTTTGAATGCTGTCCTGGAAACTCTTGCGCGCCAGTTAGGATTTAGTACGTTCTTGGTCACGAGACAACAGCGACTTGCACCCACGACTGAGAAATGTGGAGCCTTGGCAATTCATTTTCTCCGAAGTGCGCTCCATGGCCTTCAGCTCCCGGTCACAGCTGCAGAGACTGACCTTGTCCATGCCAAACTGCGTCAAGGGTTCACGGAGATTTTGCACAAATCTGAGTTTGTTGTTCGTCCATGGATCTGGGGGTCAGGTGATGAAGATGGAGACACTGAGGAGAATGCCCTAGCTGAACAGGAAATCCCGTTTTGTGACCCTTCGTTTCAAGACAGAGATTTGCCAAGTGATGGTCCGATTGGACGGATCTTTGATGTTTTTTCTCCGCAGTCTGATCCAGATCTGGTAAGTGAAGTGTCTGACGACTCCCCTCGAGTTGTCGAGGATTCTCCACCTGAAAGGTCCAGGTCCAGGTCGCCCAGACCCAACGTTGTTCAGGTCATTGAAGGTGTTCCGGTTGATGCCATGCCTGCTCCCGATGCAGATGGCTTGTCTCCAAGGGAATCCGGGCCACTCCCTATAATGCCCGATGGTAGGCCTCTATGGCGTGATGGGACTTTGGTCTTCCAAGTTAGGTCTGAGATTCGTCCAGTGCAATTTGCAAGAGATCCGGGGGATGATCGTCCTGGGGTCAGTCTCAGTTTGCTCTTTGATGTTGGTGCGTATAGTCGTGAACTTTGGAACCGAGTAGAATGGAGTGTAGCTGAGCTGGTTGCACTTGATCCCAATCAGATGCTGCAGGTCATTCCGCCAGTGATTGAAAATCCCACAAAGCTTTGGTCAGTTCGCAATCAGGTCCTTTCTGCACGTGATCGCTTGTCAATTTTAGAAAATCAACTTGGGGTGATGGCAGATGATGAAATTCTGTTCCACCTGGAACAGCTGGATGCAGAATGCTTGAGTGGGGATGAATTTCCGCCAAAGAGGATTGGTCTTATTGAACCAATTGTTGCGGCAGCTTGGCTTGATCCCAACTCGTTTGACTGCACGGACTGGGCGGCTACGCATCCTGAGATCCGAGCGGAAGGAATACAACTGGTTGGTGCCTTTTGTGTTGACTCACACTGGATACCGGTTCTCCTTACGCCTTGGGGAGATAATGCCCGGATCTCTTCATTTGATGCTACTGGTGAGTTGAATGCCAAACTTGCGAGCATTCTGACTAGGGTTGCTCATGCATTAGGGTTCACTGAAATTCATTTTGATCACATTCCTCGAACGTTTGCAAGCAAAAGCGTTCGTGGTGCAGTTTCCATCAATTTCTTGAGGAGTGAGGTCGCAGGATTTCCTCGATTGGGCGCTACGTTTTCAGCTTGGGAAGAACATCATGTGCTGCGTCGCAAGTTCATTCAATATCGCAATCGGTCCACAGAAGTGAAGAGGCCATGGCTCTGGGGATTTGGTCTTTCAGATGATGAGGTGCAAGACAACATATTTGGTCAGTTGGAGGGCTATATGTTGGCCTTATCTTGGCCCAAAAGCAAAATATTGGGTCATTTCAAGGCTATGTTGGGCCTATCTGGGGTCATGTGCAGGCGTATTGGGCCACTTGGAGGGCTATGTTGAGATCTTGGAGGGCTATAAGGCCATATGCGGCTAGCCAAGTGTGCTAGAACTAGAACGTTCTTTTTGGCATCAACATAAAGACCTAAAGGAAGATGTGCGTTGACGCGATGCAGGGGGTGCATTTTGGGCCCTCTTAGCCAGACATGCACAGGCCTGCAGAGTTGTTGATGAATGGAATGCCACTATCCAGCAAGTCCTCCTCTCAGTCAGCCGCAAGGTGTTGATTCAGGCTAGCAATGTTGAGCCGGTGGAGTTGGTGCCTGCAGTGTGCACAGACCCTCCTGGATGGACATCTGTTCCATCTAATCCAGGCCCACCTGTAGGTGCTGTTCGCTGGTATGGATCTGCCATTGTTACCAAGATCATGGATTGGTTCTGGGATGCGGTAGACAAGGAGCCTGGCCCTGTGGTGTGGGTCTCCAATGCACAGCTTTACATTGACTATGCACTGACCACGGGTGATGCGGGGCCCATTCATGTCCACCGATTGCAGGACAGTGCTGATGTTCCTTTGGATGCGCTGCTCAGCATTGGGTTCAAAGAGCGGGTCCGATGGTTTGGCAGGGTGTTGAGGGAGATCCTGAAGCACGCAGGAATTACCTGTGAATCGCGCTACTGTAGGCCAGTGTCACATATGATCTGCATGCATGCCAGCTGCACGGGTGTCCCTATGGCGGAGGACCGGCTGTGTGCCGCAGATAGATGGATGGCGAAATTCACTCGAGTCCCGTTCCGGCGCCAGTCGCGGGAGCTCGATCACTTGCCGGTGCCAACCAGAGGGTTGGCATAAAGTAGGTATGTCTCTCACAGACAAGGCGCTGACTTCGACATCTAAGTCAGCGTGTAGAGTAAAGAGGTATAAAAAGTGGTGGTTTGGAACATTTTTTATTTTTCCATATATTGGGAATAATAATCTCAACTGACTAATATTTTTCAGAGGGGTTGAAACCACCAACCAGATTATGATCTCATACTATTTCATCTTGTATGACGGCAGCCAAAGCTGCTGGAGGTCCGAAATGTCGACATCCCAAGGGATCAACAGACCACTGACGCAGATTTGATGCGCGTCTCGTACTGCATGTGACCCATCCTGGAGATGGTGACGTCTCTTTTGATCTTTTGCGATTTTCAGATTCTCTCTGGTCAGCACGGTGGCCAGGCATCCAGTGAAAGATCACACAATCGGAATCGGCCGTTGTGTTTTTATGTGTTTTTGCGGTAATGACTTGTCATAGCAATGCAATTTGCATGGAAAATCTATGGCGATCTCTCAATTTCTCCAATTTTGGTGGTTGTTTCCGGTTGTTTCTTGTTTCTGCTTGTGTGTCCGCCCTCAATCGGGGTAGACTTCTGAATGCTAAAGGAGCAGCCAGCACAATGGTAATCTCTTCCGACTCTGAATGGTTTGATGGATTTGACCTCTCAAAGAGTTTCTCTCGATGTTTTTCCTTTGTCCTTTCTTTTGGGAGTAAACATAGTTGAAGGATGTTGAAGGACCTTGACACTTGGCAGCCAGTAGGATAGGAGTAATCATGAGTATCCTCCTCAAGATGGATGGTGGGCAGGATGACGATGAATTCCTGACCCCAGTTTGAATCATCAACGCATCTCTACTCCATTGGCAGTTGACAATGTTTTCTGAATTCCGGACATTTAAAAGAGGCGATCAGCGGCAATATGGTGGCTGGTTACCTCCAACCGTTTAAGCGTCAAGTCCATCTTTTTGTAATATATATAGTATAATTTATGTCCGATGACCTTTTGGTTGTATGATTAACAGAGGGGTAACCTTCTTGTTTCACAACCAAGAGGATCAAACTGAAGGTGATTGTTTTTCTGGCATCCCAATCCGCACCGCTTGATCTTTGAAACCATTGATCTTAGGTATGATCAAGTCATGGTTTGTTTTCACGTGAGAAGTTCGAAAAACTCTGCTCTTGGCATTTTGTGTGGCGCCTACGCAACACCGGCCACACAGGGGATGATGGAAGTGCAGAGCTCATGTTCTGTTCCAAGTTGGTTGACGAAAACAATGACATTGGATGAGATTTTGGCAACTTGCTAGGGGTAAAACACCTAGTTCAGAACTAAGTAGCTAGCTAGGAGTAGAGATGGCATGTCATGTAAGACACTTGACGTGACCGCAGCCCCTTTTAGCACATCCGTGCTACTCGAGGAAAAAGTGAGGTGACCGAGTCAACAGTACTGTGTTGTCACCACCTGTGTTTTTGAGCCCAATACGCACCCACCGTGTAACTTCGCTGTTTGCATGGTAGCGGAGCTGTGAGGGTAGACCCTCCGCTCCAAGGTTCAGTGCGGGTCGATCCGCCGGCTAAGGCCGAGATCGACATCGCCAATCCCAGCGGGTAGCCCCGCGTGCCAAGGCACGTGGTAAACCCCAACAACACGACGTCCTCAGGACAGGATCACGTAGATCCGTGGAATAGATCCTCCAGTTGGTGGGATCGAAGCTGGCAAAGCCAAGACCAGTGGTACGACCGCTCTTGGCAAGACAACGGGGATTGGGACAGCCGAGCCCGATCTACGCAGCCAACGTCCTCTACGGAGACGAGAGGCTGGAACCGTCGTTCCCGAGCGTCCTCTGCCGCCACCTGGCAGGAAGAGGCAGCCCGGTCAAATCGAACTCCAAGGAGAGATAGCCGATTCACTCAAGACAGGAATCGTCGTGGACATCGATCCGTTGCAGCGACCCAGCGCCGGATCGATCGAGGACAAGAGCGCCGAAGACAGGCAGAGCTAGCAGCCCAACAGGCGCAGGCAGCGACTCAGACAGAGCCGCAACAAGGAGACACCGCTCCTCCCGAGCCAAGTAGACCCCCACGGGTGTCCACTAGCGAGAGGAGAGCGCGGTCAGCCCCGCCCCCAGGCCAAGCAGCCTTAGAGGCGAATGAAGAGGCTGAAGTAAGCCTGGTCCCTCGGAAGGATCGCAGGCGAAGAGACAAGGCCGAGACAAAGGCCGAACCACAAGAGCCGATTCTAGAAGAAGAACTGGAAGAGGTTCTAGAGGAGGAGCTACCAGCTTCTTCCTCCGTTCGTGTGCCCACTCCTCCAAGGGTACCGGACGAGCACTACATCAGTGAAGCCCGGCGCATTCTGGACCAGCCTCAGCCAGAGGTTCCAGAAGAGATCGCAGCCGCGGCAGCTGACGCGCCAGCAGAAGAATCTGGCAACGAGACGGAAGTTGAGTGGGGAGATTCGCTCTCGAGCTACAGCAGCTACGAGGTGTGCGAGATCCCTGACCTGGAAACCGCCAGGCGAGAAGCAGAAGCTGTAGCAGCCCAAACCAAGTGGCTGGAGCAGCGTCGTCTCCAAGCACCCCCATGGTACGCAACGGGAGTTGCGGGGAGCACCGCACGGTCCTCCGCCGACAGCAAAGGCCCAGCAGTTGAGGCCGAGCTGAGCAAGGCATTGGACTTGTGTGACCAAATCCAAGGGGTTTTGAGCCAATCAAGCCAACAACCGAAGCCTCCATTGACCACTGAGGTCGTGGACGAAAGGCCCGAAGAAGAACGCGATGACAGACCCACAACAGGTCATCGGCGAAATGCAGCTGAGGATGGATGCTCTAGCGAGTCAGATGCAAGCGCTGAATATCGCCCATCAGAGCCAGGCGCAACAGAACGCCCAGCTGCAGCAGGAAAAGCAAGAGCTGGACCAGCGCCTGACAGGCGTTATGGCACTATTGCAGCAATCCTTGCAGCAGACCGCGAACGTAGGCGTCGCCCAAGGGCAAGTTCCCCCGCTCCAGAGCGCGGGAACACCCGCCGGAAGCAGTAAGCCGGTCAATCATATTGACGTGCTCAAGTCTGTGAAGCAGCCTCAATCCTTAAAGGATCGAGACCAATGGGAACGGTTCAGTTTCCAAGTAGAAACATACTTGGCTTTGCTGGACGAAAACTTTCCAGCAGACTTGGACAATGCACGCAAGCTCACCAGTTTTGTAGATCCAGTCGATATGACTGACGAAGCCAAATCCCGAGGGAGGCAATTGTTTGCAATGCTGAACTCGTGGACTCAAGAATTGGCAGTGGCAAGTAAGATTGCCCGTGGCATTCGAGACCAAAATGGTTTTGAGTTTTGGAGACTGTTGTGGCGTGAAATGGCCCCAGACAATCACTCCAAGAGTTTGATCTGGCGGCGCTCGTTGCTCAGTCCCAAGTTTCCTGCAAAGGAAGCAGAGTTTTCAGCGGCACTCCAAGAGTGGGAAGCTGACCTGGACAAATATGAGGCCGAATATGGTCCCAGTAAGGCCATCAGTGACGAAGACAAAAGAGCTGTAGTCCTTACTGAGGCGCCAACTGCCCTGAAGCAACACCTTTCCATGCACATTGGAACCCTTTCCACGTATCAGTCTGTGCGTGAGGTGGTGGTGTCCTATCTGCAAGCAAAGCAGGTTTGGAGGCCATCAGCCGCGTATGCGGAGGCCATCAGCCGCGTATGCGGGAGCCGCCGCACGCACAAGAGATCCAGATGCCATGGACATCAGCCTTGTCGGTGATGGCAAAGGAAAGGGGAAAGGAAAAGATGGCAAGGGAAAGGATAATAAGAAGGGCAAAGGAAAAGAGGCCAAAGGAAAAGGGAAAGACAGCCACAACAACAAAGGTGGCAAAGGTCAACAGGAGAAGGATCGTTGCGCCATATGCTGGAAAACCGGCCATACCATTGAGAAGTGTTGGTTCAACTCAAAAGGCCAACCAAAGGGGAAGGGCAAGAAAGGAGTTGCAGGTATCACTGAAGACAATGCGTCAGTGATCTCTGCAGGGCCATCTGCATCTCAAGTTGGTGGTCAAAGTGTAATCACCCTTCCATCCACGACCACTTCCAACAAAGGGAAGAACGTTGGAATGATCGGGGAACACCGACTTCTCATGGTCAAGGCCACCAGCAGCGGGCAACACCGCCATGTTTCACCAAAGGCCATTTTGGCCATACCAGAAGGTGGAGAAATCTCTACTGGCAATGCCATTTTGGCAAAGGAATCTCTTGTATCCAAGTTGGAAGCAATTTTTGCCTATCGAGACCAACCTGGATGGCACGACCCTGATCCCAACACCAAGGTGTTTGTGGTGAAAGGCAAGAATGGTGCCACACGAAAGTATGCTACACCAGGGTCACAGTATCCTGGCTACACGTTTAGGTCAACGTGGCAGTGGAATGAAGAGTCCAACGCCTGGGATTGCAAGGAGTTCAGAAAGAAATGGAAGCTCCTGCATGAGCCACACGAAACGTTTCAAGGCACCAGGGTATGGGCACTTCAAGTCTTCCAAAGAAGTGACACTGCACGAGTGGCCAAGGTTGCCAGCAGAGGCACACTGCTGGTGGACACAGGAGCCTGCTCTTCAGTCTGTAGACCTGAGGCTTTTCCAAGTGCTCTCTTGGACCCCAACGCCGTTGAGGAACTATACACGGTGGATGACACTCCACTGAAGGCGTGCGGGGAAATCCGCCCTCAGCTCAGGCTTGGAGACAAGCTCAAAGAAGAAGCTCAAGTCACCTTCCAGGTGGTTGAAGGTGTGAACGAAAACATCCTGTCAGTCAACAGGGCATTGGACATTGGAGCCAGTGTCCACTTTGAAAGTGACAACTGCTACATCCAATGGGCAGATGGCAGGAAAGCCACGTTTGCCAGGCAAGGCAAACAGTTTCTCCTTCCGTTTGAAGAGTTGGAGCAACCTACCACCAGACATGGCAAGGTGGCAGCCATCGATGAAGATGCAATGGCAGTTGAAGCCTATGCCATGCAAGAGGATGAAGAAGCCGAGGCAGTGCAAGAATATGCCAGGCGTGAAGAAGAAGTGAGAAAGGCCAAGGAGCTTCTGGAACAAGACCCCGGTCTCTTGGCAGACCTGGAGGAAGAAGCGGAAACCCCGCCACCTGTGGAGCCAGAGGGGTTGTCACAACCCATAAGCCCCACTGAGGCGCAGGTGGAATCCCATCGCCTTACACACCTACCGTTTCAACCATGGTGTGAAGAGTGCGTGTCGGGTAAGGCCAAACAAGATTGGCATAGGAGGGATCAATCCTCAACGCGTGAGGGAACAGGGTTGATCCAAATGGATTATTTCTTTCTCTCTCCTGAGAAGGAGGAAGAGGTTGAAGATGAGTCAAGGCTGGTCACAATCCTGTGTCTGACTGACACGGTGACAGGTTGGCCGCTGGCACTTCAACTTCCCAACAAGTCAACCGAGATAGCCCAGTCCAGGTACTGTCTGCAAAATGTGGACCTCTACCTGAAGAACCTTGGGTACAGCAAAGTTATTCTGCAGCATGATGGCGAGCCCTCAATCAGAGCACTGGCTGAGTCAATCCAAAGACATGTTGGATCCAGCCGAGCCTCTGTGCGGGAGTCTCCGCCCAAGCAGCACCAATCACAAGGAGCTGTGGAATCCATGAATGGGTTTGTAGCAAGCCAAATCCGAGCTTTATGGCTCGACGTCAGGAAGCGGTATCCTTCCTTGGACGTGTCCAGCAACTTGACACCGTGGCTTGTGCGCCACGCGGCATGGCTGATAGCACGTTTCCATGTGAGAGGAAAAGATGGGCTCACGCCCTACCGCCTGACAACTGGCAGCGACTACTCACACCCAGTCGCCATGCTAGGCGAAGTAGTTCTAGGAAAAGTACCGACCCCGAGGGGCAAGATGCAGCGAAGGTGGATCAAAGGCATATGGCTAGGTAAGTTGGACAGAGACGACAGCAATGTGCTCGGCACGTCGTCTGGGGCAATCGCCGTGAGATCGGTGAGAAGACTGCCAAAGGAATCGCAGATCAGTCAAGAGCTGATGAACAACATGAAAGGAATTCCTTGGCAACCCCGCGACGGGATGAGGCACAAGATCAACAGAGAGCTGTCACAGCCAGTGGCACTCCCAGCGCCAGCCGCAGCGGGTCCCACCGCGCTGGCATCAGAACCCCCAGAGGAAGAACATCCGACACTGGCAGAAGATGGTCAAAACGTTGACCAAGATGGGTTAGTCGTGCAAGCCGCAGCCCAGCTGGAAGACCTACTTGGCGACCAAGCCGAGGACTTCCCAGCGGGTATCCCCGCGGACGACGACGACGCACTCAGCTGCGTGCCCACCACGCCAGCAAGATCTGAAGCTGCAGATCCTCCGCCGGCAGCAAGGCCGAGCGGGCAGCCTCCGCCCTTCCGAGGTGCGGGATGGTCATCGTCGCTTCAGAGCCTCCCGGACGAACCGATGAGTCCGAGCGGACTTGGTCAAGGAGGGAAGCGAGTAAGAGATGATCAGGCAGCGCTTGCACCCGGACAAGCTGAAGCCAAGCAGTCCAGGCAAGCAGGTGTCTTGCAGCATTTAACAAATCACGAGATCTGGTCCCATATCCAAGAATGGGCCAACTCCGAGGACAAGAGCAATCCAATGGCTTTGCAAAGGGTAGCCAATGTGACGGATTTCGTCGACCAATTGCTCGACCCAGAGGAGGTTACCAAAGCGCGAAAAGTCCAACTTCAAAAGCTTTGGGAGCGAGGTGCCTTCACACCCGTGCACCGCCAAGAAATCCCAAAAGGTTCACAAATCTTCTCACACAAATGGGTTGACAAGTGTTCCAAAGGAGCATACAAGTCGCGTTTCACATGCGCTGACGTCAAGGCTCGCTACACAGCAGCCGAGGAGGAGGGATTGGACGTGTTCGTTCCAACTCCGACCCCAGAAGCGCACAATCTTCTGGAGGTCTATGCTCTGACAAAGGGTTACTACGCCCGAAGTCTGGACATCGTCGCAGCCTTCTTGATTGGAGCTGACCGAGGAGCCAGCGAAGGGAAGCATGTCTACATGCGTGCACCAGTTGAGTGGCACGACATCTTCCTTGAATGGCTAGAAACTCTCAGCCCCGAATTGAAGGAGTGGTACAAGGAATCGTTCAAAGAACTTTTCTTCAGGTTGGATGGAAACCTATACGGCAGAAGGACAGCCGGATCCGTCTACAGAAATGAGTTGGAGGAAATCCTCTGCTCAAAGGTTGATCCACAGCGGTATTCTTTCTCTCGTGGTGAGAAGGATCCATGTGTCTTCCGTTGTGACAAGTCAGGGATCATCCTGATTCACCACATAGACGACATCCGTATGGCTGGACCAAAAGAGGCTGTCAACCACCTGGTTGAAGTCGAAATGCCGAAACACTGTGAGGTCCAAGCAGGAGAGCTCGAAAGCGAAGGAACAGCTGTTGAGTACCTGGGTCGCACCAAGGTACGAACCAAAGATGCTATCATCACGATACCAGATGAGAAGCACATCAAAGCTGTCATCGCTGCTGCGGGAATCTCCGCCAGAGACCGCAGTGAGGTTCCTTCCAAACAACTGAACCTCTTAGAAACGGAGCCTCTTGGCGAGGCAGATGCCAAGCTGTATCGCTCGGCAGTAGGATCAGCGATCTACCTGTCGCTGGACAGGAGGGAGATCCAGTACGCGGTAAAAGAAGCAGCGCGACACATGTCGCAACCGCGAAAATGTGACATGCAAGCCGTCAAGACTCTCGCGGCATACCTGCAGTCGCACCCACATGTTGGCCGAGTCACAACCTGTGATCCCAACTGTAGCTCAGAGTGGCCATGCGAATTGTATAGCGATTCGGATTGGGCCGGATGCCTAGAAACACGGCGAAGCACCGACTGTTACCTAGCAGTTGTGTGTGGTGCAATCGTCGCATGTGGCACACAGACCCAACCGGGCCTACCAGCGACAAGTTCGCCGGATGCTGAGCTCAGGGGAGTTTCAAGGGCAGCTAGGGAAGCTATCTTCCTCAAGGAGCTGATCCCCCGAGATTTTGGCCAGCAGTGCGGTAAGCCCCGCCTATGGACGGACAGTTCATCGGCAATGCAAGCTTCCAAGCGCATTGGAACCTGGTCCAAGCTCAGACACCTAGAAGTCTGTGAGTTCTATGTGCAAGGAGCTTTGCAGTCCAAGCAGATAGCTTTGGGCAAGGTCAAGGGCACCGTGAATTGTGCCAACTTCCTCACCAAACACCCAAAGAGTGGAACGGAAGTAAGGCAAGCAATGCCTGGTTTAGGCATGTATGAAGCTCGTGACGGAGAAGATATGCTCTCTTCGAGCAAGAAGATCTCTGTCAAGGTCTCAACCGTAACCAAGCAGCATGCGTGGAAGACTCCTACGCCAGCTTGTGTTGGTTGGATCAAAGACCAAGATCGAGCGGGAAGAACCGCCACGGCCTATCGGCAAAATGGACAACTGGTCGGTGCATCAAGGCACTTGTTGTCCTGAGCCAAATTCAGGCAGTGGCAGGGCAGCCAACATACTGCCTGTCCCCATACGAATGGTATGCATTGTTTTTCTTGGCCGCAATCGGCACGTGTGTGCTGATATGGAAACTGGCAGAACAGTTCATCGCTTGTTGTGTGGACTGGTTATGTCCAATCGAGCCAGTAGCACAAGAAACAGGCCATGAGGTGCAATTGCACATCCAAGATCAGCAGATCACCTTGCGACTCAGGGTGACTGCCATCAGAAACAATCAGCAGCTAACGCTGACCAATCCAGCGCCAGCGGCAACCCCGCGGTCAGAGCCAGCGGCAAACCCGCGGACACCAGCGGTAGCCCCGCGGTCTCCTGAGGAACTTACTCCTCGAGGGATCGAGAGGTGGCATGAGGAACGTTGGGTCCAAGAAGCCGCAGAGGCCAGAATGACCATACAGGAGTTGATTGAATGGCGCAACCAAGAAGAGTCTCTCCTACGAGGAGAGCATCCCGACGGCATGTCGGACCTCCAGGACTCTGAGTCAAGTGAGTCCGAGGCGGCACCAGCCAGCGCGGGCAGCACCGCTGAACAGCGGGCAGCTCCGCCTGAGCGGGCAGACCCGCCGACCCGGGAACCGGAAAGCGAAGCCGATGCAGCCAGCATCGAGCGGAGCGACCCGTTCGCCCATATGTCTCCGGCAGAATTCGAACAATGGAGACGGGCTGAAGACCGGTTCCTGGGGATGTAGGGACGTCTCACCAGTAGCGTCTCACTCCGACAAGTCCACTCTAAGGAGGGTGGCAACTTGCTAGGGGTAAAACACCTAGTTCAGAACTAAGTAGCTAGCTAGGAGTAGAGGTGGCATGTCATGTAAGACACTTGACGTGACCGCAGCCCCTTTTAGCACATCCGTGCTACTCGAGGAAAAAGTGAGGTGACCGAGTCAACAGTACTGTGTTGTCACCACCTGTGTTTTTGAGCCCAATACGCACCCACCGTGTAACTTCGCTGTTTGCAGATTTTGAACCTTTATGAATATGAATCTATACAATTTGCTGCATGGTTTTTGTTCGACTGATGAACGGATATAGACTGATATAGATATATATAGAGATATATAATAATACTTACATATGACATATAGGTAAGTCGGCAGATACGAAGATTTGAAAACCATGGGTCTGGTTCCTCAGAAGCTTGGCTCCCCCAAAGTTTTGGGTATGTCCAAAGGTGTCCCAAAACCACCCCAAGAAGGCAATTTTGGAATATCAATCAGTGGATTTGGATGGATTTGGGGGATTTTGCAGGTAACCGTTTTTGTCAGACAAAGCTGGTTCATAGGTACATGTACCCTCTGGTAATTTAACATAGCTATTGAAAATCACCATTTTTAATGGGAAAATCCACTATTAATGACCATTTTCAATAGCTACGTTAAATGGTAGGTTGTATCTTCTTCAGGATCTCTGTCTGCGCACCGCACCTCGATTCGCCGCGATCTCCTCAAAACGCCGCAAAAAAGACAAAAAGGGACAGCCATGCAGCACTGTTTTAAGCCGTTGGGAAACGGATGGAAAATTCTGCAACATCATATCCCATAGGATCCATGTATGCTATATATGGTAACATTTACCATGAATATACCCCCAATGTTAGCATATATACCATACATGGATCCTATGGGATATGAATGACATGTGTATTATTAGATTATACCGTACCTTTTTGTTTTTTTTATGTGCATATATTTTGAATCGTTCTATGTAATTATTACTGTAAGAGAGATGCATATATATATATATACATATTTAAAAACGAAAATAAATTCTGTACTTGTGCATGTATAAATTAAGCATGAATGCAATATGCTGCATATAATATGTGTACAGAGTACATGAATCCAAAAACCATCACAAACGCTTTCTTGGAGATGGTTACTAACGGTTACTACAATGCGTTTCAACTTTTCTCTTCCCCATCTGATCTACAGCCGCTTGTGACACCTGCTGGACCTACTGCTCTATTTTACATCACAGCTCTGACGGAAACTCGTCAGTGCAGCTCATTAGTGTATGCTGAATCTTGTAACATTCTTGGTGTGCTGAGGTGGTGGTGATGCAGATATTCATGCAAATCTTTCTCATTCTGCAGTGCTATCGGTCGTTCTCTTAGTGTCGACTGAGCCGAGCTGAACTCCGGGGCCTGGCAGATGGGACAGTCCCTGCAACAGACCTGCTAGGAAATGGGCAAGTGCTCGAACACCAGAGGACAAGCGTAGCCGTGTGCTGAAACTCCAGGGTTTGTTTGCTGCATCTAATTTATATAACCTCTCTCCTGCGTAGTCACTTTTCCCATCTCCTTGAGACTTGTGGAGGAGCCTCGACAAGTCGCTTTGGCCAAGAAGGGGGTATACTGTAATACTCCAGTCAATTGTAGAAAAGTGTTATTTAGAATTCTAAACATTGAAAAAACTAACATCAAGAGCATATGAGCAGCATATGTATTTTATTTATATATATATGTACAGATATGTACAGATATGTACGTGAGTGTCCTTTGGATGTTGACCGTTCACCCTTGAGGATCAGAACTCAGGCATCCCCAGTCTGGTCGGCCCCAGGAGCGTGAACGCTACCATGTGGAGGGTTTGTTCTTGGCCCTGCGCGCAGTGGACAACCACGTGTTGGTCTTTGCCGTAAGGCATTCGTCCTCATTCGGCTTGATGTGTGGCTGGATTTTCGCTGGCTCCCCTCAAATAGTTAGTGAAAAAAGCGTTGCAAACAAAAAATAGGTTTCATGAGTTTTCTTGTCCGGGGTTGACTTTTTGATTCATCCTCCGGATTTGTTTATTGATCCTCCGGATTTTTGATTCACATCCTCAGGAAAATCATATCCATTATATGCATTGGAATATTATATAGTGTATATATTTATGTATTCACAAGATATTCACATCAGGTGGTAGTGACGGGAATGTTCTCCAGCGACCAGGCCTGCAGTGGAAGAACGTTTGGGCGGATCCAGTTGCCACTTGACATCACTGGACTGGAGGAATCATCCCAAAAGATGCTTCAGATTTCTGGTTATGACTAACATAGCCATGGTATAGATGGCCCTAATCGAAATAGATGGTTTACCTATTAATAGCATGGTGATTTTCCATGGCTATGTTAGTCATAACCAGAGGAATCATCCAAAAGGAAATTTGTGACTTCTGATGGTTCGCCCAGAAGCAAAACAGCTTTTGGAATGATTGGAATGATGCTGAATGGTGTACCCCAGAAGACATGCAATTCCCATGGGCCACGCGGATTTAACGGAGGTTAACGTCAGCTGAGGCTGGAAGATGAAGACGGTCGAGTCCCGTATTGCGTTTAGTCGCTTCATTTTCGAAGATGCTGAGCAGTGCGCTTTGCAAGGCGCAAGGGGTTGATCATGATTATGATGATCATGGTGATCATGATGATCATGATGGTCATGGTGATCATGGTGATGCAGATGGTGATGCAGATGGTGATCATGGTGATGCAGATGGTGATGGTGATGGTGATGGTCACGATGACAATGTTCATCGTTTTTCTGGGTAAATGTGTTGAAGCTGTTGGGGTCCTCGCTGATGGGAAACGTGTCCCCAACTGTTGTTAGCGAACACATGGATGAACTGCCCAGTGTGATGCGAGATGTGTTCCAGAGATGGATGCAAGAAAGCATGGCAACAAGAAACAAGTAACGAACAGAGTGTTTTTGAGCGTTTGTGACTGGTGTGCGGTTTCAATATGTTTCAATCATAGCCTACATAGCTTGTTATTTCTGACTGTCCCAGTCCGTCCCACTCCTAAAATTGAACATCATATAACATCATGATCCTGCTTGTCTTTTCGGGGCCGTTGGGCAGGTGTATTCCTTATTTGGTTCGAGAGCGCTTCACTCTCAGACAAGCTGCTTGGTGAAGACATGGATTGACCCCGATGCCAGAAACCTACCAGATCCATCCATATACCAGTTGGGTATGGTTAATGGCCGACCCATTTATGAGGATGGTTTATTAAAGTTTATGATTGGGTTTGCCACATTATATAGATTTATATCGTGATTTATAATGGTTGCCGTGCTTTCGATGCTGGTAGTTGCTGATGGATCACCAGGAGACCCTAGCGACAAGAGATCCTTGAGAAAGAAGAACAATGGTTGACCAAGTCCAAAAAAAAAACAAAAAAATAAGTCATTCAAGTTTCATTTGCCGCAGGTCTCTCGGTGACTTCAACTTCTGGGGGACCTCACATGCACACCACCATGGACCCTGTGCTATAGCACTCAATTGATTTTTAGTGGTCCCAGGGGTCCTAGAAAAGGATAGAACAACTATCCGTTCTTGTATGTTCTTGTCCTTTCTGGTCCACTTTGCATGGCTGATACGACTTCCTTTTCTCCGCTGCTTTAAGGATTTGGATCGGCTTATCTACCGCCACTTCCTTGTCCTTGTCCTTTACACTGGCTGTGCAGACATTTGCAGCAGCTTGGCCTTCCACCTCATTCATGTTTCCTTGTTATGCCATGTTACTACGTGAATTTCATTTTCCTCCAAATGGCAGCGACTCCTGCCTTCCAGTGCTCTGTGCTACGCGGCTACGCATCACCCGATGCCTCGTGCCACAGGAAGTGAGGGATTGGGTATGGCACCGCTTACTGGCACCTTGTCAAGATGGGAATGGGTTAAAACATTTACCATCTGGCTATTTAACATAGCCATGGAAAATCACCATTTTTAATAGGTAAACCATTTATAAATGGGCCATTTTCCATGGCTATGTTAGTCATAACCAGATGGTAAAACCCAGGTACCATGCGGAGATGAACATCCATTCACCAGCTATTTTTGGTGTTCACAACGGGGACCGGGACCAGGGCTTTGATCCGTGGCGATGTTTGGAACGCTGGGCACGAATTTTCGGGGGTCTTTAGTGGAAAATTGAGGGCCTCCTTCTCTTCAATTGTCAACCTAATTTAACCCATATTTCCATACCACCTTGATCTTACAAAAGCACAAACATGCACAAACTCAATGGATTGGTTTAATGGAAAATCTACAGGAAACCATAGATGTTCCCATTTTTTTATGGGGCTTTCCTGTCATTTTTCCCTTAAACCAACCCATGTACAAACTGGTCATTTACGAAAGGGTATGTTGCCAGTTGCACCTCTTGACGCAACGTCTGGGGCTCAAATCTTAGCTGCAACCTGCTAGTGGGACAGCACCAGTATTGGTATGGTTCTGGGTAGTTCATCATTTCCAGTAGGTTGTGGAGACTCATGGGGATATGTGATGATATGTGATGATATGTGATGATATGTGATGATATGTGATTATATGTGATGATATGTGATGATATGTGATGATATGTGATGATATGTGATGATATGTGATGATATGTGGGATGTGTTGATGGCATACTTGCGATATGAATCATGACCTCAATATATCCCCATCACTGGGTCCTGGGTGCTGTAGGATGTCTGAAAAAATCTATAGGTCTTGAGTGGCCCACCCAGGCAGTCATGACACTGAACGGCCCTTGGATACTTCGTTGGGTACGGAGCCCGGCACTGCAAGTGTTGTCAAGGATGGGGATCTGATATGTAAATTGGACGGTTGGCCTGACTGACGTGAATGGATTGATATGGATTAGGGAATATTAGGGAGGATTCATGCATGGGAATTGCTTCACTTACAAGTTGATGCAAGTTTGCGTAAAGATTGCAGGTGATGCTCATGATCATGGTCATCGTGTACAGGGCAGTTGCTTGCTCAGAAACGATGATGTTGGCAGCAACATGCAGGGTCAACCGTAGGGGTTTGCCGAAGCAAAGAAGGTTTCTGAGCTCGTGACCATTGGTTGGGTGGTGGGTGGGTGGGTGGGTGGGGGGGGTGGGGGGGATGTTAACGTTCATTGCGACTGCTAGGTTCTCTTAGAGTTCCGCACATACGTCAGGCTACGCTATTGCTAGTTTCTCTTGGACTTCGACACATACGTCATGCTACGCTAGGGCGAATGAAGAACATAGGAATAGCTGTCCTGCAATCTTCGGATGCCTCTTTTTTCTCTCTGAGCTTCAGTCTGCATTCAGCCATGAGGTGTCCTGGAAGAACTGCTATTGTCCAACTCTGTTACAGGAATGTCTTCTGCAACTTCTTGGACAGGAACCACACTTTCAAAAAATTGAAAGGCCACCTCATTACTTCCAAAGTCACATCTTTGTCTTCTGAACATCAAGGACACGTAGTCACATACCACCTCGAAGGAATAGATCTTGTCAGAGTTTCTCACCGTGCACAACTTGTCGTTTGATGTCAATGCCATGCACGAATGAACGTCTTCACCCATGTCAAGAAACCTCGTCTCCGTTCCCACTAGGTTCGCATCCAAGGAGCCTCAACTGACCAAACCCAACCACGAAAAAATTCACACCTGTCTCCGCAGAATGAAAATAAAACATAGAGTCATGCGAGACACGTTGCCACATTCTTCGAAACCAGTGAAGCACTGAAATCGAAATGGCAGAAAAAGGAGGCCCGGGAGGACACCCGTGGTGTTCCATGCTGAGAGCAACCTGCCGCTCTTGATCATCACTAATAGATCGATTCATCATCTCAGCATATTCATGGACGTCCGCTATTGTCAACTCAAGCCATGCAATCATAGGCCGCAAAAAGGGCCAATGAAGAACTGCAGTCTGCCAGGAAAAGTTGCCACTCATGCGGCACGCGATCAATAGCACCAAACATTCGAACAATTCATCGAAACTCAACATGGCTCCGAAGAAAATGTAATTATGCTGTTCCAATAGAACACGCAACTTTATTTCTGTTTCCAACAAATCTCAAGTTGAAAATCCTGCTAATTTTTCCGCGGGATCCCGCGAAAAAATCTGGTTCGCAGAACATGAACATGGCTTTAACAATCATCCCTTATCATGCAAACATCTTGCAAATGCTACTGTGAAAACAATGAAAAACACTGAAAATACCATGAAATTTCCTCCTAATAAACGGCTGCGGATGGACATACATGATCTTAACATATGTAACCCTTTGCAAACTCATTCCGACTCACGGCAAACCCCCCGGGAAACCCAACATGCAGCAACCACAGATGCCATAGCAATTGAAATGGAACAGAGTAGGGAAAGTGCGCACCTGTGGAACGTCAAATTCTAATTACTCATGTTTGCCGATTTGTGGCACTGCAATTGGCTCCGATACAAATAACAGAAAACCTGTCATCACAGCAACCCCTTGATAACTGCCAACATATTTAGTAATTAAGAGTTACATGATTAGGTGTGACTTGTTGCAACCTTTCTATGTTCCCCACAATTTGTCGGCTCAGAGTTTTGCGTGGCAAGCAGTGCCAGTAAAGATAGTCATGATAGCCAATGATATCAGACAGTTCAGCTTCCCATGTATTCCTTTTTCTTGCTCATGTCATTGGATTGGTTTAAGAGAAAATTTACAGGAAACCTCCATATTTAGTGGTAAAAACCGTGGTTTCCTGTAGATTTTCCCTTAAACCAATCCAATGATCATGGAAAGCAATAGTTCCGGAGGAAAAAAGGGAGTTGCCTGAGTTGACTGATTGGATTCTTCCTGCAATAGATGGCCCCCCCAAGTATCCGAGTGAGCTTGGATTAAATAGGATCAAGTCAAGATCTTGGTGGCTCTTGATTCACACTTTCTGGAATGAACACAGACACAGACAGAGATATAATATATACATACGTTACAAATATATATATATATATATGCAATATAATATAATATTATATCCCTAAGCGGTGTTCAAAAATAAAATCAAGGGGCTTGAGCCCGAAATATTTTTAAATTTATTTTTCAAAAGGTGCTTATCATAAGTTTTGAGTAAGTCAGACCCCTATGATTTTATTTTTGAGACATGGGCCAAGACCAAGAACCAACCCCAATGCAGCTGGTGGAGTAGCTTTAGGTTGGGTCCCTTTGGTTTTATTTTTGCGTTTTGCTTACCTTTTTGTTTTGTTGGAACATGTGGGAACACACCTCTTGTGTTGGAATTGGTGGACAAGACATGATGAAAACAATGGCTATCACGCCACAAAAAAGAAAAAACTATGGATTGTGATTACCTGATTACACCATTCTGCTTCTACAAAGCTTGAAATACATATTTAAAAGCTGGGTTTGGATATGTTTGGATTCAATATTTGATAGATTTTGTTGAGATTTCAGATGATTTCACAAACACAGATGCTGACCTTGAACCCTTCAGTTTTATTTCTGGAACATTTTGGATGCTGGCTTGGAACCTTCTTGATTTTATTTCTGGAACCTCTTGATTTTATTTTTGCAAACCCCTCAGTTGGATGACTGATGATACTGATGATTTTCTCTTTGCGCAACATGTGGGGTTGAACTCCCCTGATTTCATTTTTGCATTTTGGGGGTCAGTAGCCTGGGTGCCCTTGATTTCATTTTATTTTTCAGGGGTTCAACCCCATTTGGGTGCACCGCAAGGGGATATATTATATTATATTATATTATATTGTATTATGTTATATTATATTGTATTATATTATATTATAGAGGTTGAAACAAGTGCTGCTACATGTGAAAAAGTGGCGAAGTCGCTTGGCCTTCTGAAGCAATGACCTTGCTGCTGGGCCAAGCTTTTCTAGTGGGTGGTGATGAACGGAAGCGTTTCTTGGTTGCATGTTTGCCGCATTCATGCACTACTACTTCTAGTATTGAACAACTTTTGCAACACACTCTCAGTGAGTGGCCGGAAGAAAGTCTAAGGTTGTTCGAACCATGTATTTAGATATGATATAGGTATGTTCGGCTCAGACCTTGTTTGTGCAATTCCAAGTGATTAATGAATTTTCATTAATTAAGGTGTTGTATGACCTTATGATGCCTTTTGTTGTTTGTGAACATTGATGAGATCTAGTTGAGAATTCAAGCAGACGTACTTGTCCAAGCAGCAATCTCCAATCCTCAGCCAAAAGGGAAAATGTTGCAGTAAAGCATCAGTACTAAAATTCAAGACGTTTCATGATCAGTTTGCACCTTTTTTTGATGGGACGCCTCTGTTTTGCATGTGAAGATCTATAGAAACCCCCAAAAGATAGAACAGTAAATTGTCACTGTTTCAGTACAATTATACCTGTCTAATTCTTTTGGGTTGCTAATGTTATCCCCGTTGTAATTTTAAATTATATACATGGGTTTGTTTGAGAAAAGGGTGTCCCATGGTATCCAAAAATTGTCATGTTAATTGCATACACCCATAAGAGTTATATATTACCACTAAAATAGAGTACTCTAGTGGCATGTGACTACACTTAACCTATGTCTATCCTTAAAAGAGGCTTGCAACATATATCCCTATATGGATCCAGACACCTCCTGACAAGCTACTGAACCCCCCAAATCACCCAACAACTTCCTAAGAAGATATGGCTGGATCCATAGTGCCATAGGCTAATTTATATCCGTGATCAATATCTTGTTGGGTATGGGTCAATAGATACATTTTTAGTGGGTTATTCACATCCATAAATCCCAGCTATTTTGGGGTTCACTAGGTACCAGGGTTTTGACCCATCCCCTGGTTCTACAAGTTCTACATATCGAACTTCCATGACGCTCGAGGTCGCGGTCCCGGAAGATCGGCTGCAGAGCTTCCGCGGGGCTCTCCAGGAGAGCTGGAGCAGCGACGCGGCCGATGGAGCCTCGAAACCCATGGCGCGGATGTATCACAGACGACAGGTGGGCCCGGCAGGGCCCGGCAGATGATAAGATAGGGATTCCTTAAAAGTTGGAGATGTCATTGGGGATTTCCTGGGACATATATATATATATATAGATATCTTCAACAATATGATGCAAGATGATCAATGGGTTTGTTTGAAAATAGGTGAAACTGAGGTATATAACCCAATATTGGATCGTTCATCATTGTTTCCCCATTCAAATAGGCACCCTGGGGGTAACATGTTTGGGCTTTGAGCCCGATGTGAAAATGATGACGCGTGATATCGCGTGATACCTTGGTGATGGGATGCAATCCGCACCAGCACCACAATGTCCCAAGGGTTTGCACATCTTTGCACTCAGCGCGCCCACAGAAAAAAGCAGACATAAATTTCCGTTGTTTGTGAAATGTAGTAATGACATATCAAATGATGGTCAGTCAGGGGAATCATTGCGATGTCACCCCCACTATTTCTTCCAGGCTTATGGTCCATGCCTGGTTGAAACCTGAAGAGGTGGGGAAGCTCTTCTTCTTTGATACACTCATGGTGGACCCCATGTCTAAGGAATCTGGGCTGCTTAGGAGCAATGTCTCGATCCTGCTGTGTCTGATGATGAGCGTTTTCATCACATAAATTAGTGGACATGTTGTGCGTCAGGGTCCTGGGCTTCCTAGATGGAGAGACAAGGGAAGCCGCGAAGCTTTTTGACAGTTTCATGCATTAGATGAAGGAATTCCCTACTGAGTAGTATCATTATAGCCTATCAAAATCTATCAAAGACCTGATTTTGGGCCGCTTCTGGGCAATATTTTGTAGTGTAAATGCTGATAGGCGTCCAGCACTGCCTCTCGTTGGAGGGCTGATCCGACTCTCAGCACTTCATGTAGGCCTTCAACACATCTCTAACCATCAGGATAGCATCAGGTAGTCATATTTGGATAGTATCAATATGTATCAATATGTATTAATACATAGATTGAGATTAGGAACACCAATTTTTTGAGAATATGTATGAATATGTACTTAATTTATTAACTCAATATATTAATATGTATCAATATGTATCAATATGCATCAATATGTATCAATATGTATCAATATGGTCGTTGTGTAATCCTGGGTTTGGTAGTCTTGGACGTTGTGAATAGCCAGATCAGTTAGTTGGCCGGAGCCACAGCAACTGGTGTGGCCATTTTTTCTCAGGAATCCTTCCTGGTAGAGCTGGTTTGTTGCAACGATAGCGGGCGTTGCAGGGATGGCTTTGAAAGCCACATCGAAGATGGGGCAGCCTGGATCATGGAACAGAAAGGTTGCGGGAAACCCTTCAATTGGAGGTAAAACATGTAAATACCAGGATTTCATATCAGATTGTCCTTTAAACCAATCCAACTTGAGTAATGTTGGTAATGTGAAATTACGATAAATTACGGCAAGTATTGAGACATCAACGGGATCAAGCACAGACTTGCACACTTATGTTATAAGCAGCAATCAGTTGTTTCTGAGGTCACTTTAGCAGTCTTGCCTTTGTATCATTGCGTGATGAGCGACGCTAAGTAGTTACTCCGTGAAGATAATTCAATGATGTGAAGGAGGGAAGGCTTCATTGAGGTACAAGTGCTGCATTTTCAAAGGGAGACGCACGCATTTTCGCATGACCACTTGAGGCATTGAAGGATCTACGCCCGGGTGACGTGCTGGTGACTCGCCGGTCCCAAGATTTACATCTTATATATTATCCCTATAGCTAGCCTACAGCCATTTCTTAACACTCGTTATACAGTGTATATATATATAGATAGATAGATATTATACAAATATGTAGATCCACGTAATTTGATTCCACCATTTCCTCATTTTTTCACCACGCTGCCAGGAACTCCTGGCAGCCCAAGTGGCTGCGGAGCGTCCCAGGGCCCCATGCCATGTGGCCTTGCGAGTCTTTCGCCTGCGGCGCAGCGAAGCGTGGAGTGAACTCTTTGGAACGGCGGAAGGTGCCTGAAACCAGGTGGATGTAGGTATCCGGTGGGAAACTATGGAAAGCAGTTCCCATAAGGATCCATGTATGGTATATATGCTAACATTGGGGGTATATTGATGGCAAATGTGACCATATATAGCATACATGGATCCTATGGGGTTGGATGTAAGTGGGAAACTATGGGAAACTCTCGGAAAATATATGGATCTATATATGGATCAATATGGGAAAACATGGCGGGGGAACTCAACTTTCGATGGAACATATGGGGGGTTCTAAAGGCATGCGGGATCCCCAAGTCGCCAGGGCTTTTATTTAGTACACTAATTTGGTCTAATGGCTTGGATGATTTGGGGTAACCTCATTTTAGGAAACCTCCAGCTGGAAGTTGGTTTATAAATGTCATTTTAGATAGATAGGTAGATTGGACGGATGGATGGAAGGAGGGATGGATGGATAGTTGTATTCACAATATACCCTCCGGTAAACTAACATAACTATATGGAAAATCACCATTTTCAATGGGTAAATCCACTATAAATGGCCATTCTCAATTAGTTTACCAGAGGGTACTCGTACATGAACTAATTGCTGTAGTCACAACCCGTATGCTTATCCCAGTACCTTTGGAGGCCCCTGGTAAAGGGTGGAGTGAAATGGCCCGGGCTTGGAGTTTTCTAACCGCCGGCAACAGTCGCAGAGGGAATGTCATGTCAAAAACATTTGTTATCCGGTATGTTGGTTGCATCTCGTATTTGTTGGTTAAAGCCTGATTTTTTTGCTGTTTGACATCTCAATATTTGGCTAGTGGCTTCAAGTGTGTTTCAGCTTCAGTTTACATTCATGGGATGGTGTTCTCAACTGACTGTATGGTGGCTCAACCGCCAGCCAGATCCTCAAGTTTTCTCAAATCCCTTTATGCAACTGCTGAAATGTTCAAAGTTCATGATTATCATGCGGTAGATTGTCCATGGTTTCCCTGCGAAAATGATCTACAAGGGGTGGATGTTCCACATCTATGTTAGTTTACTGATTTTACTGGAGGGGAACTGCCTTAATTAGATGATTTTCTCAGTGTCTTGCTGATATTAAGCACCTATCTCGTCAACAATTCCCGGGCTATTGGCGGCTGTATCAAGCCTGAGCCATGGGGATTTCGATCCCGCGGTGGGTTCGTTTAATGGATGATGCAGCCCGATGCGGCAACGATAGTTTGATAGTCATATTATTGTACCATCTGGTAAACAGCCACATAACTATGGAAAGATCCAGCATGTTCAATGGGAAAATCCACTATTTCTATGGCCATGTTCAATAGCTATGTTTAATTACCAGAGGGTATTGCTTCGATTGCGTATGAGCACGTTAGGTTCCACAGCATATGATTTACATATGTTGACGCTAAACCCTTCATCAGATGGAGTTTGCAAGATTGGGAGATTCACTATTGCTCCTGCATGGTGGATAAGGAGGTGCCTGTGAGTGCTGAAGGAACAAATGCCATGAGCTCTCAAAGGCATAGACACCACAGAAGCATGATAGTGTTGCTATAGGATGCTATAGGTATCTTAAACTACCATCCAGCAAACTAACACAGCTATGGAACATGACCCATTTATAGATGAAAAGAAAAACATTAAAATGGCGATTTTTCCATAGAGTACCAAAGGGTATGAGTACCCCTCTTGTGCACCTTTCACCGCAGTCATGTGACAAGCGCCACCAGGAAGTGTTGCCAAGCCAGACTGGATGCCAGCAAAGTATGGATTCCACCGGCCGGTCTTCCACGACTCGGTAAATCAGTCTTGGTTCGACCAGATGGATGCGAAACAGCTGCAGAAGCGTGATGAGAAGCGACAACTGATGCGAGATGAGAAGATGAAAGCTCAAGGTTGGCTGCTGACGGTTTGACGGTTCTTGCTGATAGACATGAGTAGAGATGGGAAACATATGTGCCATGATTAAAACCTGGCGCGTTTTCCCGGAAGAGAGGATGGCCATCAATCCATTCATAGGGATTTATAAACCACTATCAGGAATACCGTTATTGCATGGATGACCACGCCACATATATCATGATTTGACCATGGCACATATAGTCGGTGGAGAGAGAGCCAGACCACGGCCAGTTTGACGCACTCTTTTGCGCAGGATTGGAAGCGGTTCCCGAAATAATTTGCACGTTTCTTGGGTGCATGGATGCCATTTCATCGCGACGTTAGTCTTTATGGCAAGCATGGCAGAATGGTGACAGAGAACCAGAGATAAAGACAGATAGGCAGAAGGTTAAAAGGAGAAAAGGTAAGAATCATGCAAAGTTGTTTTGGGCACGGCGGTCTACCGACAACATCCGAAAACAGCCCATACGGATACCCACTGACCATTTGAAATTTGTCATTTCAAGTAAAGGATGCGCGATGATACACCGACACCAAAGTGAAGCTGGTGTGACATCAGGCGCATCAAAAAACCTGCAGGATGAATCAACATGAGCAATGCACGCCCAACCCCGGTTGGATGGTGAAAAATGTGTATCGAATCCAGCGATGAGAATAAAAATTGCTGTTTTAACCAGCTGTTTTAATGTTTGGCTTGGAACATTTATTTTTATTTTCCATATATTGGGAATAATCATCCCAACTGACTTTCATATTTTTCAGATGGGTTCAAACCACCAACCAGAAACATGTTTTGATCCAATCCATTAAAACAGAGGTGTCACTTTTTCACCTGCCAAGGCCGGAATGTGAAGCGAAGAAAACCTCTGAGGCCTGCGTCATATCGTCATTTTGTGTCTGAAGGGAAAGTATGGGAAAGCCAAGATAACATGAAATAACATGAAATTAGCGAAATACCTGTGATTCCGAAGCACTGCTGGCTCTTGCCGCTTTGCTTTGGCGAGTCCCTGTTCTGCAGTTGGCATATTTCAGATTATCTAGGTAGGCGCCTTCAGACTTTTGAGCACGACTTCACCAAACAGAGAAATGCACAGCCACTGTTCTCAGGCCGTACTGTTGTCAACTGAAGATACTTTGCAATGGCGTTGGCGGCATTTGCAAGATTTTTGTGCGTTTTTGTGTGACTCCGGTCCCGCATGCTTCCCACTACCACCAGTCCCTAGTTGCAAATTGGCACAGGAATGGTTAAGACTTTGGAGGCTTTCAAAGTTGAAATCCATGCCTCACCCGGGGACATCAACAATGGATTGTAGCTGGATCCCATAGGGTCCAATGAACCACGGACCACCCACTGCTTCCCACAGGCTGCTTCCCATGACCGGTGGATCTCCTCACTACGCCATCCATGTGCAGTGGTGCAGTGTCACTTGCCTCAAGCAGAACGACTCGCGAAGTATTTGGATGGGAAACTCGGCCGACATATGAACTGATGGAACTTGGAATTGCAGCCCACCATGGAACTGATGTCAGAACTGCTTGGCTGTGTACCACCACCACCACCACCACCACCACCATCAGCATCATCATCATCATCATCAGCAGCAGCAGCACCATTCCCAATCATGGTCCTCCTTATCATCTTCAGTATCGCCCCGATCGTGCTTCTGCTGTTGTTGTTGTTGTTGTTGTTGTTGTTGGGCGAAACGTGTTCACGCATAGTTTGTTGCCCTTCCCAGTGCTCGTTCCAGTTTACGCGAGGAGAATATTGTCGCCCTGCACAAGAGACAGGCCACGAACTTCTGCTTGCCTTGTCGGGTCAGTTGTGCAGTCTACGCACGCAAAATCCATCAAAATCCACCTGACATGCCTGCCCAGTTGAGCCAGAGATCTCCACTTGCATTGTCACTCCATTGCTTTGAAAGTAACTCATGGGGAAAGTTGCAGTCTGGGCTGTCCATCTCAGAGCAGCAAACCCACAGATGTCCACTGCGCTCCGCTGGGAGGCTGGTGATGTTGTACCAAGAAGCTGGGGAGAGTGAGGAGATCAGTGGACGGTTGAAAGAAGGGCATTTGCATTCCATTGTCCAAAGGATCTACCTGTTGAACACGCGACAAAAGGCCACCAGCCTCAGAAACTTGGTGAAGGGATTGGGTGGAACTGGACAAGTTTCAGAGGCATTGGAGCCAAAAATTGGGATAAAGTTTCAGAGCGCTTTTGGTTGGCTTTGACGTGTCCTTTGTTGCCGGGTGATCCGAAAAACATTGCGATCTAGGAGATTCCTCCAGAGACTACTTGACGCAGATTCTGGGACCCTGCGGGCCACGCCACTTCGCTTCCTGCGAATTTGGCACTCCGAAAACATCGCTGTGGGAGTTTCTCCGAAGGGCTCGCAACTTCATGTCCTTTCCACGTGAGCTGGAAGAGACCTTGAGAACTGGCAGCCAGAATCAGGTGATAGGTGGTAGAGCCAAAATGTATCAAAATCTGGTATCCTATACCTAAGTGGATCGATTTCGGCCGTTTTAGTGATGAAAGAATCAAGCATGCTATGTTGGGCTGCACTGTATTCAGACAAGCCAACATTTCTATAAATTGTCTCACTTTGATTGCGTGCGCGCTTGATACAAGATGGATATGTGGCTTACTCTAGGATGGACATGGGCCCATCAAATCTTCCATTGGCAGAAAATATTTGGCAGGTGCTCTACCGGCTCTACCGCAGACACTACTCACACAGAGTTGTTTGTTGGGCTCCATTGTTTTCAAACATTCCTGGTATCCTGGGGTGACTGGCCAAACATTCCTGGTATCCTGACACCTCCAAACATTCCTGACACCTCAGTCCGTGTGACCGGCCAATTCCTCAGGAAACCTCTCATTGATGGAACTCCATGGGCTATGGAATTTGGCACAAGGCCAACTGACAACGGCTACAGCGTCAGCTCTGGAGACAAATTTGATGCCTTGATCCTGCCGAAGGATAGGTGTGATACCATCGTCTACGCTGATGGCTTGCTTCCAAGCACTTGATTTAGTTCGCATGGGGTTGTCTTTTCAGTTCAATCTGACATATGGATACATATGGAAGATCATGGAAGTGTAATTCAAACACATCAGGGCTAAACTTCAAGATCTCCAAGTCCAAGTTTATGTTTATTCTATGTGACAATTACACTTGTTTTCGTGTGCATATATATTAATATAGTATTATATTGTAATGTAGAACCATCTAATGCAACTTAAGCCAACTTACCACAATGTATGGTAACCTTATGTTATGCCACTTCAAGCTATGTTATATGTGTGTATGCATGTGTGCATTGCTTGTTTAAAGTAAAACTTCGGTGCAACCGAAGCATCCGGGAACATGGATCCCATAGCTTTCCACTGAGGTTTTGGTGGACGACAGACTCGCCGCGCACCATCATTCCCTCCAGGGACAGCAGGATGGTGCCAAGTGGAGCATATTGGAAGCTGTTGGAAATCATCGATCGCTACAGCCCTCGAGATTCTCGAGATGGAGTTGTTGCCGTCACTTGTCGTTGATTGCTGCCCCAGTTTATTAAAAAACATAAGGGGGTGGTAACGGGTAGTAGCAAATGTCCATAGAAATCCCATTGATCACTATTTTGGGAGCACCTCCCCCAATTAATTAATAGTTAGTCGGGGTTAAATTGTCCGGTTTGACATTATACTGTAGTTGTTGTTCTTATTTTTGACGTGGTTGAGGTTGATGAAGACTTGGACAATGACAAACAATCTCACAAGGGAGGCAACAAAGAGCTGCTGGAATCTTGGCATCACGTCAAGGCAGGTAAGAGGGTGAGCTTCAGGCCTGTGACAGCCTGTGTATCCTTCTCCGAAGTTGGATGCATCCCCTTTAGCAGTTCCTCTCCTTTTGCAGGGGTTGACTCGGACCCTGATTCCATCTTATGAATCATGATCACTGATGAATCATGATGTCCTGGAAGAGCAGTTGCTTTATATAGTCATTTTGATTTGGAAGTGACAAGATGCGTCATGGCAGATGGAGGACATGTCTTTACAGGGCTCATTTTAAGCCATTGACTCTTCCAGATCAGCAGGATAGGCTACCCCAAAATCCTATTCTTTATCATCATGTCATCATTTGTCCAATATATAAAGGGATCATTTTTGGGGCACCCCTATATTCAGGAAAAAAACATATGCGTCTTCAAAGGTTTCAGCCTGGCTCACTTCACTCCCAGCCATGAAGCCTGGCTTATAGCAAAACAGATCCCCAAAAAGAACAACCAAAATCATGAACAAGTACTTCATTGCTTCTATAATTGTTCTATCTTCAAATACTGGTGTATAATGGTGTATATATACCCGTATATATTGTATAATATTGTACGTATAATTCACTCGTCCAGTTTTGTTAGGCCTTACTATGCCTATCTAGTCTAGTCGATTCTGTTCTGTTCTCTTGTTCTATTCTATTCCATTCTATTCTATTTCTATTTTTATTCTAGTTTTCTATTCCATGGAGAATTCTATGCTATGCTAGTCCATTCTATGCTATGCAATTTCCATTCTATTCTATGCTATTCTTTGCTATTCCATTCTATTCCAAACTATCTATCTATCCATCTATCCATCCATCCATCCATTCAAAATTCCAACGTTGTAAAATTTTGGTCCTGGTGGATCTTAAAGCCGTAATTGTTCAGAAAAAGCATGCGTAAAAAAAGTTTGCACACTTTTGCTTTCTTAAGATATACCATTTATCACATCTATCTCAAAACCATCAAAAACCCACGCCAACAGACCCCACCAACCCCAGCCAGCCACGCCTTACCCTCTGGTAATTTAACATAGCCATAGCATGCCATAGCTATTCAAAATGGCTGTAGAAATAGTTGATTTATATACCTATCCAAAATGGAGGATTTTCCAGTTCGCCACGTTCGTTTACCAGAGGGTATATTATTATCCCATCATTATCCCAGGTTCATCCCAATTAAACCATAGTAAACCATAGTAAACCATAGTAAACCCATTAAACCACCATTGATTACCGGTGCCCAGGATCTCTACAGCCAGCGTTCTTTGGCTCTGGATATCGGTGCGTCGCCCGGTGGCTGGTCATACTGCCTGGCCAAGGAGCTGAAGACAAAAAGAGTCATCGCCTGCGACCCTGCGGCCTACATGTGACTGGTGCTGTAAGGGAAGATGGTAGGATTTGATTGGGGAAAAACATATGAATTCTTATGGATTCTTAGGATTCCATGGGGAAACTATGGGGGTTCAACTTGATTCAACTGGGAACATGGTGATTCAAGTGGAAACAATTCGTAGTTGAGGAGAAAATTGTAGTTTTTAAGCGGCAGGATTGAACCAGCTAAAAGTTCGGATTGAACGCCAAAGTCTAGTTGGGATTTCACCGGCAATTGAAAATGTTTTGGAGATGGTGTTGCACTATTTTTTGTATCCCAATATGTTTGCATCAATGTTTCCATTTCTGGTTGCTGGGAAATTGGTTTCGGGCCGTGGGACACAGAAATGTACAAGAATGTAGAAACATTGGAACTTGGTTTCCTGTACAAGATAGGAAACCATTTCCCGAGACCCGGTTTTGTTTGTGATGGTTTCTTGGCCACAAAAGGCTGGTTGATGTTCGGAGGGGGAAATCAAGCAATGTCATGAACCACTGTGCTGGTGAACCAGCAATAATTTCCAGCTCATAAATTCAGGAAGTGTTTGAGAGAGAAGATGTGGATTTTCAGAAGATTTGGCTGAGGTTTTTGAGGGATACACTGGTAGTATTAAGGCTTATTTTTAGGGATGCGAAAATATTGGATCTGAGATGAAACGAAAATAACAAAGTTGGAGACGTGTTGCGGCAACTCAATGGATTTGGAAGCCTTGTTCAGACGTAAGCTCCCCCAGAACTTGAGCGACTGGATGCGACTGGCTTGTGACAGCTTGTGGTTTCAAACTGTTTCAATTCTGTTTATCTATTTCATCATTGTATTTTTATATATATATATATGATTATATATATATTATTGTAACAAATTGCACATATTTTTGGAAAGGTTTGACACGTGTGTTGATGTTGGAGCCACCCAGTAGATCAAGTTGAGCCCAGCCCAGGCCCCCAATCCCCCAGCCTGGGCCACGTCCAGTCCGCTTTTCAGGCATCCGGTGGTTCGAAATCTCCAGGTTGAAGCAGTTCGCGAAGAGTTCCTGAAGGATTTCACATCGGAGGAGGTCAAGGAAGATGCGAAACATTTGAAGCACCTGGGATGGCAGTGGCAGGGCAGCAGGGCAGCTGCTTCTGCGCCCCTGGGCCCCTGGCCAGGCATTTGAACGAGACCTCGGAAACCTGGAGGAGTGAAGCCAAGCAATGCGCCTTGGCCATGGGGCGTTCCCGGGATCAGGATGGTTCTGGTGCCCGACAGATTCCATGGATGGAGGGCTTGCAGGCACTTGGAGGGGTATTTTTATTTGTTTATGACTATTTATGACTGTTTATGTTTTCGGAGCTCTGTTGTCGCGGAATACTGCTTGTGACATCTTGTGACCGATTTACCAAGCTCATATTATATCCTTGTCTGAAGATGTCTGAAGTATGTTCAGCACAGGTGTGAACATCGTCAATATGTTGGGTAAGTGAATTGGATGGTTGTTTCATGTGGGTGTGTGATTCCAATTGGTTTGTATCATTTTCAGTGGGGTGGCTCAACCACAAACCGTTCTAGATTTGCAATGATATGTTGGGCATTGTTTGGCACACCACTGGGTCACTTTGCATAGCATCACAATGGGCACAGATGAATCTTGGGATCAGCAGGGTTTGGACACCATAAACGTCCCATTCAGAAAATTCCAAAGAACACACATCACTGCAGAAGTCCACATCAGTTATTTTCATCCAATGCCACACGGCAAAGAATTGACATCCCTGGAACATCCCTGGAACCATTTTCATCCCTGGAATTCATGGAGATTCATGGGGCCGGGGGCTCCAGGAATGGTGTTTCACCACTGGCAGAGAATTCCCCAATGGCTTTCTCCAGCAGTCCTTTCAGATTTTCAGGTGGCCAAATTTGCCACTGGCGAATGCGGGGGCATGACGGCTTGCAGAAGCTGAAAGCGGAAGAGTTGAAGTTGTCCCTTTTTGTATGTGACATGCACCGTGGCTGACGAAGTTGATGGGCCATCTGGATTCAATGGATTTCAATGGGGATATGTCGAAATTGAAGACTTAAGGTACCAGACTCAACGGGTCCTTTGTAGTATTGTTATGTGTTCACTTTCAGACTGGTGTGGTGGACCTAGACTTTGACCCAGACCATGATGACTGCATGGGCTGAGCTCCAAGGAACGATGACCTGGAATCCTCCTGCGAATTGCTCTATCGAGTTTTCAATGAGAAGCTCTACGAGCCACCCTGTGCCTTGGAAAACGTACATATTGTAGTTGGAAGCTAGTGAATTTGCAAACCCACTTGGTTTATTTACAAATCCACTTGGTAAACCAGTTGAAATGGAAGTTGATAAATCATGATAAATCCATGTGTTTCACTTTCCCGTTGACATATCTGCAGTTCCTGGAAATCAAAGATCTTTGGATATTTTGGATCTTGCTGTGAAGGTTTGGCGGTGGTCACCTTCAAGCTGCTTGGATCATCATCAGTTTCCCAATTTGGGGGATATTTGGTAGTATAGCCCATTTTCAGACTCATCTATTTTATTCATTGAGCTTTGTTGGGCTGCTCGCCATGCTCAGGAACACCTGCAAATCAAAGTCTGAGTTCCAAGCAAGGAAGCGCGTGACCTGTCATTTATTCCAGACTGGATCTGCTCACCGGCATGTCCGATACTAGCACACGGCACATGATGTTGACCGTTGCGATACTTGAATACTTCGATATATTTCGATATATACAACAATATACTATAGGCTATATAATGATATATGCTATATGATATATTTATAATATATATATATATATATATGTGTGTGTGTGTGTCTGTGGGATATGGATAGTTATATATATATATTAATATATATATATATATGTGTGTGTGTGTGTAAGGATTCCTGTTCAGGTGTGTTTGTAATTTGATTTGTATAGATGTGATACACTGCACATACAGCATAAATATTCACACATACCATCTAGTAGGTTAGTATATATTAAAGTATATTGAAGAGAGAGGGACCCTACCCTACTTACACACAAATAAACACACATATACATATACATATACATATACATATACATATACATGTACATACATACATACATACTTACACACACACACATTCATAAACACATATATATATATATATGTATATTGTCCATAGGTTATATGTATTGGGTCATATTTTCACCAACTGTCCCGGGAGGCGATGATCCAGAAAATCCTCAAGGATGGAGTCTTGACGCAGCTGCAGGAGCTTCACCTCTTTGCCAACACACGCGCCGCGGCAACGGCGACGACGGCGACATGTAGAGTTGACCCAGGTCACAGGAGGTTTCCTATGGGGGTACCCCGTGTTTCATCCATGGATGACCAGTTTAGTATTGAAAGCCATGGTTAACTTGGGGAGTCCTCGATTTCAGGAAAACCTCCAGATGACTTTCTCGAAGAAGTTGGTTTCTCGAAAAACGGACGTCTTTCGAAGGTTCCCAAAATCTCCGGGATGTGACTCTCATCATTTCCCAATTTTCCCCATGAAAATTGGGGATGAGCTGCCCCCGATGTCGAAGCCACAGGGCCAAATGTGTCAAGGTATGGAGACGACCATCGTGGGCCAAATGCTGTGAACGCCATAGATTTCGGTCACGGGCGCCCCGTGCAGATGGAAAAGGACAGCTGCGACAGCCGGGATGAGTTGAAACAACATGATAGAACCACCCAGAAGAGCATCAGGGTGGGGGAAAGATAAATCTGCGCGGTAGCATCAGAACCAAGGCTATTTGTCGGCAGTTGCTGCCTGCTGTTCATCCCTTTCCATTGTGCCATTGGACTACTCGTATTACTCGTCACCGAAATGGTGATATTCTGTGTGCACTTTCTGCCATTGCAACTCGAGTTTGCCAGATGGTATGATCTGATTTTTCAACTGGTCCTATTTCATCCTATTTCACCTGTACCATCCATTACCATCCGGAAAAAAAAGGTATCATTTGGGCCAAGTTGATGCACCGTTTCTCAGGTTTCTGCATTTCCATGGTTCGGGTCATGTGCTCCAGCAGAAGAGGGAGAACCACACTACCTGTCCAGGTGCGGTTGGGACCGGTTGGGAAATGGAGAGGTGAATTTGATGGAACAAATGCTGGAAGAGGGTGCCTCAATTTGGAATGTTTGGTACAAATATGTGTGACAGAAAGCTTGTTCCTACTCAGTGCTATTGATGTCAAACTCTAAGAGTCAACCCCTTTTCGAGTTTGTACTTCTTCTTGCCGCACTGCAACCCGCAACTCGCCTGCAGGTTCCTCTATCCCTGGCAGTTTGCAGTCCCAAGTCACGTCGTTCAGGACATGACCTGCATCGATGATCAGCTGTGAACGACCTGCATCCATTCCATGCAGTCCATGCTTTCGGCAACCTTGGGTGTTGCTGGTTTTTAGTGAGAGTCTCGCGCTAGATCCTGAATTAGATCCGGATACATCATGTTACTTAATGTCACACTGTGTGATGCAAGGTAATGCAAGAAATCTAAGTGAGACAGTGTCATCCCTTGCCACGATTCGGTCATGAAAGTCTTTTGGCAACGAACCCATCAGTGTGGCTCAAGCCTTTAAGGGCGTAGACGGAGCCACTGATCTCCGTTTGATGAAGCAGTTTTCGTGAGTGCTGTGGCGTCAACAGAAGTTCTTTATCACTGGGACGGAAGAGTTGATGTCCCGCAATGATTTTTGGAAGTGGCTGCCAGTTCTCTACATGTGGGGCACCATTTTGTTTCTCTACCTGACCTATGTCTTTCAGCACTGCATACCACGCATGCAACTGGAAGTTGGGCCCGATCTGGTAAACTCCAGTGTTCGGGCCCGTGGTCAGTGGGAGACGGTCGTGGTGAATTGCATCACTGCCATGTTGGTCCTTTGCTATGCACGTGCAATGTGCACAAGCCCCGGGACAATCCCCAAAGATCGGAACTGGGACTATCAGACTGAGGACTTGTTAAGTTATTTGCCAGCTTTTCCCAGCTTCATCAAAGAGAAGAAGAGGAGTGGAGACAGGCGATACTGCAAGTGGTGCAGCAAATACAAGCCTGACCGCACTCACCATTGCAGAACTTGCAAGCGGTGCATTCTAAAGATGGACCATCACTGCCCATGGATGTACAATTGTGTTGGCTTCTTCAACTACAAGTATTTCTACCTGCTGCTTCTCTATAGCCTGCTCACTCTCCTCTTTATCATCGTTACCATGGCAGAGACCGTTGAAAGAGTGATCGACATCCCTACTCCCTTTCTCACTCGATGCATCCTTTTCTTCGCAGAGACTCTGGCCGTCGTGTTGGCCTTCATAGTCTCGCTGGGTTTCGGTTACCATACTTACCTCCTAACCAATGCCATGAGCAACATCGAGTTCTGGGAACAAAATGATCCAAACTCAGATGTCGAGCACAAGGTAACTCCGGGATTGTACAACCTCGGTTTCTACAGGAACATCAAAGCGTCTTTGGGCGACCAGATCTTGCTGTGGTTCCTTCCCCTGAACCCTCCTTCTGGCGACGGTATCTACTTTTCTTCAAGCGAGGAGGGCTACCAAAATCGTCCTTACGAAGACTTAGAGGTCACTAAGACCATCAGAAAGGACAAAGGGAGTACCAGACGTATGGAGAATGAGATTTGCGGCAAGCTCCACCAAGAAAATGAAATCTGCTAGGATGGGCCAGCCCAAACCGAACCTTCATTTTTTCTTCGGCCATCTTATAGCACAATCATACTGAATCCAACCAACGTTGTTTGGGTACTGAATGTGCTGAATAGTGGCCCACTGATGATGCCAAGCACTTCACATTTGATCCGCAGTTGGCATTTTCGCAACAGCTGAATCCTGCTCCGAACAGGGGCATGAACAAGACATGAGCAGTAAAAAGGACTACAGAAATGCCGTGACCCATAAGTTATTTTGCAGGCATCCACGTATGGTATATTTATACATCCGTGCCTGCTATATGATTCGGAATTATCATACCTATATATATATATAGATATAGATATTATATAATTATATAAATATATATATATATATATAATTGTGGCTATATAATCTAGGATGCCTGATGTAGTCATAGCTATATACAGATTGACAATTATAGACAAGTAATGATGAAGTAATTTTATCATTATAAAGATGTATCCTATCTCATATATCCTGTCTTGACATTATAATATATATATATATGGGTATGGGTCAATACCTATAGATACATTTTTAGTGGGATGAACATCCATTTACCAGCTATTTTGGGGTTCACTAGGTACCAGGGTTTTGACCCATCCCCATATATATATATATATATATATTCAGTTTTCCCTACTTTTACCTAGGCCGGTAGTAGAGAAAAACAGCCAGATCTGCCAGATCTGCCAGGAGATTTTCTTCACCTCAGGACAGGGAGCTGATCCTAAATTACCCTCTGGTAAACGTTTACATAACTATGGAAAGATCCACCATTTTTAATGGGAAAATCCACTATTTCTATGGTCATTTTCAATAGGTATGTTAAATTACCAGAGGGTATCCAGAATTGACTTTGGCATATCTTAATATATTTTTAGCGTTTAGTGTGGTTGAAATGGGTTGAAACCACCATCCATTTTGATGAATGTTGATCAATGTTGATGCTTTTTGGGCAGTTTATTGCTAGATACTGTACTAGGAGGATTTGGGTGAAATGATTGGTCGCAGCGACGACCAGCGACTGATGTATGACTGGAGGAGTAGCTGTGATTCTCTCGGCGGTGGTTACTTTACTGATCCTCCTCCTCTACAGGCTTTGCCATGCCTCGGTTGAACGACAGGTGGAGGGCAAATGCCGCAGCTCAGCCCGATTGAAGTGATGTTGAGCGGTTTGAAGCCTTCATTTTTAAGGGAATAAGGCAACAACATTTTGTGTCAAACCCAACTTGGCTTAGTGCTCCCCTGTTTTCAGGCGAGCACTGGGCATCGTGTCAACTCGAAGGCTGAAGAAATCAAGCTACAAGTTTCAGGCACGCATGATATCAATTCACATTGCCATTGCAGTACCTTGAAGATTCTTGAAGGGCATTTCAGGGCAAACGACCGTTGTCAATACCAAGACCAAGGCTCCACGTTGCATCTTTGGGATGGTCCACAGTTTCCCAAGCTCAGCTGCCACAGGATCGGTTGAAGCCCCAAGAATCTCGCTTGAAATCGGAAGATGATGAAGATGACTGGTTGCCCGCGCTGCGAAAATTGCAGCTTGGTACAGTAGGTCGGCCCTGTTGCAAGGGACGATGCGAGTTTGGAACTAGCCACATTCCTTGGGGGTGATTTTGGCGGGGATCATAGCTGGCTGTGGACCAAAATCTTGCAAGCGCATCACCACGTTTTGTATATACTCCATGGTGATCATCGGCATCACTGAGGGTGGGACTGCTATCCCTAGAGAATTGGTTGGAGCTCCCGCCGTTGCCACGAGTCCATGAAACCCAAGGCACGGCGATGGTTCCATTGATAGCAAGCTGGCCAGCCAAGCACTTAGCACAACGCGCAGCGATCACACCAGGGGGAAGGCTTACACAACATCCATCATCCAACTTGAGGTTGACAAATCTTTCCTTGGCACATACAGGAACAAGACATTGAGTTGTACTACTCGTACAAGCCAATGGGAAAGTCCATCATTTACACGTGTCTGAAGCAATGGAGATGTTCCAATTGCAGGAACTTGTGCAACCTGCCACCACCAGGTCTGGATCAGAAAGCCTATTTATCGGCGCGAGGAAACAGTGGAGGTTCCAAGGTTCGCACGGCCGGATTCCAGTGGTTGCATTTGGATTTTGACCATGCCGATGCCCTGCAGGGCCACTTCGTTGCCTCAGCCGTGGCTATCAGAAGTGAACTGAAGCAGGCACTTTTCATGGCGGGACACGGAATGTGAGGTGTGAATGCAATTGGGTCCCTTTGGCAGGCACATTGCCACTCAGAAGCACCATGTTTGAATATGTTTGAACACTTTGAAGTTGGAAGGCATGAAAGTAGTTCACATCAACACATGGTATAGTTTTCAAGTATCTTCATGTCCGTTCTAAGACACGTCCTGGTGCGGTGGAACTCAGAACTCTTCTTCAAAACAGCATGGATCCAGGTGGCCAAGTTGCTGAAGGATCCTGATAATCCAGATTTCAAGGACAGCACAGCCAGCATTCCCACATGCTACACACATTCCAACCTCTTGAACCTCATGTTTGTGCCTGAAAACCAGTAGATATCCCAAAAAAAAATGTTGATCCCGAAAGTTGCATCAAATCATACTGTAAATCATTTTGTAATAGTTTGGTCGCGAAAAAAAACACATGCTTGGGTGGTACCTTATGTTTCTTGACATTTCTTGCAGGAACTTGAGAAGATGTTAGAGGCCACCCTGGTGCGTCTGGAATGCAGGACCAAAGCTTTGGTTGGGAGCCCAAACCTGGGAGAAGGATCCTCATCGTACCAGCAATGAGCCATTCAAACTGCCCCTATCATCTATCCCATCCCATCACAATACTATGGCAGATACAATAAGTACCACAGTAGTATGCCTATTATGGACTATAGTCAGATTTGTCATCTATGTTCCATGCTTTATTCCTTTCTTAAGCAAATCCAAGATGCCTGTGGCTGCCTATCCCTTCCGCTTCACCCAGTCCTTGCTGGCGGACCGCTCCTTCCGCAAGAAGAGCCTCCATGAGCCTTGCTTCAACCATCTGGCAGCGATTCAGAAACGGATGAAGAAACCCGTGGGTTGATTAAATTTGGAGGATCATCCCCAAAGGTCAGAAATTGCTCCTAAAGTCAAACCCACACAATTAAGAAAATGGCTTGCGAGACCGTGGGTGACAATTGGGAACAGAAGAGCCCAACAATAAAACATCAAGCGCCCCAAAATTCATCTTCTCTTGGTGTGGGGCCATTCACTTTACCACTCTCCCATGTTTTTTTTGCTGGGCGATGGGTTTATACCGCAGGGGAATTGGTTTATGAATTGGTTTATAACGCATGTATCACCGTACAGAACCTATATAGAACCATATTGAACCATATCGAACATAGTGTTATATATATATTATAATAATAAGAAGAAGAAGAAATATATTAATAATATTAATAATAATAATAAGAAGAAGAATAAGAATAAGAAAAATAAGAAGAAGAATAAGAATAATAACAATAATAATAACAATAACAATAATAATAATGATATATATATATAGCTATATATAATGATATATACAGTAGTGATTATCTATGTATATATAGTAATGATATAATATATATATATCCACATATTTATATATCTAAAGTATTGATATATATATATATATAGAGAGAGATAGATAGATAGATAGATTAGATTAGATTAGATTAGATTAGATAGATCAGACAGATTAGATAGATTAGATAGATAGATAGATAGATAGATAGATAGATAGATAGAGATAGAGATAGAGATAGATAGAGATAGATAGATAGAGATAGATAGAGATAGATAGAGATAGATAGAGATAGATAGAGATAGATAGAGATAGATAGAGATAGATAGAGATAGATAGAGATAGATAGAGATAGATAGATTTAGAGATAGAGGTAGATATAGATATAGATATAGCTGGGAGTATTCCATCGAGAACTAGGTTACGACACGCTTATTACCCTCTCACTGAGGCCAAGGCTGCCGCCATCCAAGATGCCACTGGCGTGCGGGCCACAAGGGGTCAGCATTTGACTCTCCAGTGGTTGGGTGGGAGCGATTCGGAGCCAGTTGGACACACTGAGAGTTTCCCAATCACATCCAACCACATGATACTTGATTGATGTTATGTGATGTAAAGAAATGTAAAGTGACGACAACTGATGACAGATGCATGCAAAGAAGTGTTTGCAGGAGAAAACGCAAACGTATTTGAAGTCGAAAGATACAGGAGATGAAAATCATGTTTTCTTGAAAGAAAAACTAATTCGAATATTACAAAGGAAAAAACAATGTTGAAGAGGTTTCCACAAAGTGATCGTCAACACTCCCGTAATATTTTAAACAACCCTTTAAACTCGCTGGTTTAGTATTTGATCTATTCATGTGCGGGGCCCAGTCATGGGTGTGTTCAATATGATTATCAGATGGGATTAGAGATCATTCTCGCATATATAAATATCAATATCAATAAATAAACAAATCATATATAATCATATCATACGCATATCATACATGTTCCATTTATAGAGGATAATCCCATACGATACCCCGAAGCATATTCCAGAACAACATCCCAGATCCCACCAAATCGCCACTCCCACTGCAGGCCAAGTTGCGGTTGCTGCCGGCCACAGCCCTTCACTCCATGAAGAAGCTGCCAAGAGTCAAGGTGCAGATCCCCACTGCAGATTCCATTTCTGCAGATCCAGCAGATGGCTGGGATGAATTGATGAAAATTTTAGAGCGAACTCACCAAAAAAAATAGCACAAATTGCCAGGGAAATGGCTGGAAACTGCTAGATCCAGAACATGGCTGAAGAATTTTGAGATACTTGGAAAATGAGTGGGGTAAACCAGTTCGATTCGGAAAAATCAGGTGAAACTGAGGAGGTTTGAGGCAGCCAAAAACAATTCATCATCCTGTGTGGGATCTTGTGCGAATTGAATTGGTTTGAAGCCGGACTCGCCCAAGCCTCTTGGAAGTAGACCAGGTGATGGGTCAAACGATGATGATCATCGGTCAGTGAGTCAGTATTCAATGACATCCAATTGCAGCCGTGGTACAGAGATAAGGTGCCATTTTCCTTGAAAACAGCCCCCTTCCCGCTCACATTAGATACGAAAAAACAAAAAAGGTGTTGGATCGTTTATTCTGGTGACCTTGTGATGGAATTTTACGATTAGATGAGATGATTTCTCCATGTTACCCTCTGGTAAACCAACATAGCTATTGAAAATTGCCATTTATAGTGGATTTTCCCATTAAAAATGGTGATGTTCCATCGCTATGTTAAATTACCAGAGGGTATCGGTTTTTTCTTGTCCTTCCATTTGCCCACTGGGCATGTTCGAACCAGGCAGATGGCATCAGCGACACGGAGCCGGAACCCAAGGCGAGAATCATTCCATGACATGTTTTTTAATCATGATATGTTACAGGGTGGTACTCCCCAGTTATGTTTGTTGGTTTACAATCCCCATTAAATGTATAAAATATATATATATAATTATATATATAATCCCAATAACCCCAATTACTATATAGTGATATTTTATCTGATCTAGTAAAATATCAATGACTATAACCATAATGTTGCTAACAATGAGAAAGATGTTGCTCATATCCAATCATGATAATGATGCTAATAATGATGGGTGACAATAACAATAGCAATGAATACTAATAACAAGTGTAGTGAACATATTGGTACTGTATCTATACCACTATTTTGTGTACAATATGGTGTGCATGTGTATGTATCATATCACCATATCATACTAGGCGCACTGTTAACCTAAATTCGCTATGCAAAACTTTGTGTTATTTCGACGCACGTTGCATCAGTAAGCACATACATATGATTTTTGGCTGGACAGACTCCTGTCCCAGTTGGCAACTGGTGGTAACTGGGAAACCCTGGAAATAATATGATAGTACTGGGATAAACTTCTACCAACTGGTGCAGGATTTTGTCCATCCACGGCATGCTGCTGTTTTCATTGCCAGGATGAGGTGGAGATGACAGTAGCTGCTCGGCCACACGATATTTTTTGGGAGGCTGATACAAAAAAATGACTGACTAAATAACTGCGAAAGTTGATGTTGATTTGATTAATATAGTCACTTAATTTAACATATAGTGTGTATATATATATATACATACACATTAAATATTGAGTGACTGATATATATATATATATATACACGTTAGATATTGAGTGACTGATTGTATTTTACATTTGATGCGTTTGTTTTTTACACTTTCCCGACTTTCCCTGTTTGAATTGTCAAACGCCACGAGCCGAGGACTGCACCTCCGCACTCAATTCTGCGGCTCAGAATGGGGCAAAGCTGATATTGGCAGCTTAGCCCATTTGGAGCTCGGTGTTTCTTTGTCGGACATGGAGTCATGGAGAAGTGATGGAAACTATGGAGCAGAAACTGTGCTGTTGGGGCCAGGCCCATTTGATCGGACACCTAAGTAGTTTCATTCTGTTGGAAGCACCTAGCTGCGCTATGCTGCGCTCAGGTGTACGTTTCCCACACCGGAGAGGACATCGACGGGGATGGGTTTTGGCAGGGGGCTTTTGGTTCGCTGCAAAGTGCTTATAGTGTGCCCTATGGTGCCCTATGATGCACTGGTGGCAGAAGATCTTCAGAGGAATTTGCCGCAGTTCGTGGCTCCAGAACTAGTCACATGGAGTCCATTCTCCCAACCGGCCTCTGACTAACAGGATCCCCCAGGAGAAACATTCTCTAGCTGTCCCTTTGAAGAAGTTGTTTGGCCAGGACAATCGTTCCCCTGGCAAAGTGCAAGGTTTGTTGGAATTCACCAAGTGGTTTCAGGCCCCTTGGGCGGTATCCGATCGAAGCCGGATCAACCCTGGCTTGAATAGGTTGATGGACAACTTTTTTTTTGCCCATCATGATTGTGATATGTTGGTATGTACCAATCAACGGCTTTCCATGTTGGTTGACTTGCTGATGTCACCTGAGTTCAAACAAGCAAGGGCCTTCACACAATGGCAGAAATTAACATGAAATAAACATGGTAATTACCGGTATTGAGCTGGGCGACCTGCCTCAATGTTTGACACCACAGCAGACAGCAATCGCGTTACGATGTGATTCAACAAGACAAAAAGGAGAAAGAAAGAGGCCCCAATGGATCCCCAGGGTCTTTTATGTCATGCTAATGATGAGAACATGTCCTGCCACCATAGTGTTAATAATTTTATTTTTATCACTTTATCAGATCCCACTTGGTTTGGCGTTGAGTTGGCAAGTGGCAATGCTCAAAACCACTGCTGTAGCTTGACGAGGCAAGAGCACAAGAGCAACGGATGAGAGTCGAGTTGTTCTTCTGGATCGACTACTGCTGTTTGCTTCCAGCCTGCACCCAGATGTACCAAGGTTCTCCCATTGGCCTGCCGACTACAAAAATCTGAAGGATACATGATACATTGCTGATACATCATAGTACCAATTTGGTTATTTAACGTAGCCATATCACCATTTTTTATAGGCAAACCATCTATAAATGGGCCATCTATACCATGGCTATGTTAGTCATAACCAGAGGGTACATTGCTGAATCCCAAGGTCCCAAGGGTCCCATAAGGTGTCCCCTTGGGGTGTCCCAAATCTTCCAGTCGGGGCCCGGAAGTTGCTGATGCACGCAAGGTTGCCCACAGAGGCCGGCAGTTGCGGTTGCGCCTGCCATATGTGACTGTGACCGGTTGTAACTTTCGATTCATTAAGAACTCTAAAGAAGATCCAGGAAAATCAAAATGATACTGAAAATGAAACTAGAATCGAAAGATATGTAAAGATACATGTTTAAAACACAGCCTTAGATACCATGATTCAAAGGATGCTGAGGGGTCTCATGATCCAGTTGACAGTTGCCTCGTTTGGTTTGGCTGGAGGCCTTTGCAGCTATTCCGTCCCTTGGATTCCAGCTGCGACCCTTTTTTCGGGTGTGGGTGGAACCCTGCTCAACTGATCTTATGAACCCCTTCTATCAACCCCATGTATCTGGGTAAATTATAACGACCTCACTGCGACCTCACTGGAATCATGGTTAATAAGGGGAATCATTCCAAAATGGCCTTATTTCAGGTAAGTGAAATTTATAATTTACCCAGATGTATCAATGAATCAGATTAAATTAGTTGATTGGAAAATGAAGTGTTGCCTCACTGAGACTCACAGATCTGGCCTGGCAGCTGGCTACTCCAAGGCTCTTCATTGCAACATGTACGGAAATCCTGGTGTGGCGAACGCCACAGTTTGATCGCAAAGTGTGGCCCTTGACCGAAGCTTGTCAAATCAATGGGGTTCAGGCAGGCTCGGTCTTTGGAGGGAATGCTGGAGGACTCACTCTACTATAGTTTATTTCATTTTTTTGGATGTATTAATTCGGTGCGGTTCATTTGGCACTGCCTATGCTAAGTCAAGTTGGGGCATGTGGTGCATTCGTGTTCGCTTTGCTTACATATTATGTCAAACATCAGCGGCCAAAAAGATGAAGACATCACAAGTGCCAATGCACTTCCAGCCCCTCTTGCTGGTGCATTCGGAATTTTCCAGTTGCCATTGGCTCGCCACGTCAGTGGAAGTGAATAGCGAAAGTTCAGGAAGGCTTTGATTTGACGCCTGTAAGCTTGACGCAATCTTAAAGTGCTCGCTCGGTAATTTGTTCATGAAGTGCAGAAAGATGGAATGAATCACACAACATAAGTAAAAATCATTAAAAATCATCATCAATGTGCTGTCAACTGGCTTCGCACAGCCAGTGCCACACACAATAATGGGTCTAGGTATTTGCAACTGCCTGGCATAGGCTTTGTGAGTCCTCAGCTCTACACAATATGATGCTACAGAAGATCAAGATAGACACTGCGGGTCCACAATCGGCCTTTTTTTTTGCTTCTTTGGCCCTCATGGACAAAAAGCCAGACGTTGCAATGCGCCGATGGCATGATTATGATTGGGAGGCAGTCTTGGCAGGTCAAAAGGTGGCGCAGACATCCAAATTTGCTTGGCAGATTTTCGCTTTGGGAGGTACAATTTTGGGCCAGCAGCCTAGCTGGCTGAATGACCAACTGGCATTTATATACAGTATACATGTTTTAATACTATGTTGTTATTTTTTTAAAAAAAAAAAGCTGGGTCAACCGCCAAAGAAATATCCGACATCCAATCTTCATTTTGTTTTTTTAAAGAGGTGCGCCGTTTTTTTTTCCTAGGCCACTGCCCCTGGGGTAGATTGCTTCCTTGTGAGGAGATACTTTGTCCGAAGTGGTTTAGTCCGCAAGGATCGCCTTTGTTCCTTTGTGCCCTCGGGATTTCATCCAGCTACGGTGGTGGTGCGCAATTTCACTGAGCTACTGCAAGGGCTTGCGCAACTGGGGAGTTCTCAGCTGGAAGTTGCATCAAAGAAAGCTGTTGTGAAGTATGACCCCCGGTCGCATTTCGTCTCTTTTTAGGGTCTGCGGATTTCTGAGGTTGTTATATGGATCAAGTCTTTAGGACACCCAAACCCACGGATTTCATCTTTTGGACGCTACTGGTATCAGCATATTCCCAAGGCACCCGTTTTTTTGTTCATCCCTTCCCGGATTTGTTGCCCTTCCCAGCTGTGGGGCGGAGTTTCCAGTAGCCCAACAGGTCCTGAAGAAGGCGCAGTCGTCCAATGCCCACGGCATCCGCTTCCTTACCGATGCCGAAGCAGCCCAGCTGCTGCAGATCCACGAGCGAAGGCGGCGGGCCAACTGGTGCTCTTGGATTGGCGGAGGAAGTTTTTTAAGATATCCTACAGCAAACATACAAAATATGTGGAAAATCCATGAAAATCCTTGGGGAAACCATAGGAAAATGATCCCACAATTCTGGGTTTTCCACATCAAACTGTTTGTTTGCAGTAGGGTACATTTTTTGGTGGGAACCGTACAGGTAGACCCTCAAATAGCACAACTAGTATCAGAATTGTTGTGTTATATAATGTTATATAGCTGCTCAAATGGTAGTGTGTCAAAACCTTGTACCCCTGGTGAACATCAAAATAGCTGGTAAATGGATGTTCATCCCCCTAAAAATAGTATTAATATATAGGTATTGATCCATACCCATATAGCTGCTCAAAATATTGAAATAACAACAGATTGCTTGGGTGTATCATTGGTGTATCCATGTTTCACCACAGATTCATATGGGTTTGTCTGAAAGTGGGGTACGGCTCAATCCATTTCTCCTACTAAACTGACCATTTTTGGGGGATACCTGATACCTCAATTTCAGGCACACCCAAATCAATTTTTTGATGGTTAGATTTAGATATTATTATTTAGATACCATTTAGATAGCATGTTCCCTCTGGTAAACTAACATAGCTATTGAAAATGGTCATTTATAGTGGATTTACCCATTAAAAATGGTGATTTTCCATAGCTGTGTTAAATTACCATAGGGTTATTTGTTTGCACCATTCTTCAGGTCCTTCGTCTGGATCCTGGTCGCCGCACCGGCGCTGGCGAGCCGCTGGCGCCGCTGGACGCGGAGTGTCGCCATCCTGGCACCGATGCTGGCGGTGCCTGGGTCGAGATCCATGGGATCCACAGTCGTCACCATGGATACATTTCGATACCAGACGTCATGGCAGTCATGGTCATCCATGACGGATTTGGGATGATTTGGGTAAATCTTGGGGGGACCCCCATGATTTCGGAATATGTCGGAAAGCTCCAAATGAATGAAATGATTGCGATTTAAGTCACAACATGGCTACTTAACTGGAGGAATTATAGTGACCTCACTGTGTGACCTCACTGGAATCATAGTAGGGGGAAACATTCCCAAACGGCCGCAAGTTTCAGCTATTTTAGGGTTGGGGAATTCTTATTATTCAGCCAGAATCTAACCATCGAACATGGGGATTTAACTCACCAACATTGGGATTGTGGATACTATTTGGTAATCAAAAATAGCTTGCCAGAAAAGCCATCATTTAGTTCGATGACATTCGCAAGAGAACGCCAAAAACATGTAGGATTTTCAATTGCCAGGACTGAGGTCTAGAATCATCAGTTTTCACCTGTATTTTGGATCATGTTAAGATACCAAAATCATGAATCAGATCTAGAATCCTCTATCTTGATCCTGTCACCAATTGAGGCCACTGCTTGGAGATTCAGTTCGAAATGCTGTTGGCCAGTTGAGTGGGCCAAGCATGAGCTGGCTAGTCCAGAAAGCTCAGCCTTGTATGACTTCCAGAATTTGCCAAGGATGTTTTTCTTTTTGCTTTGGTTGTGCGTCAAGTTCCATTCAGGAATTCCCCGGGAACCAGAAGCATAGTAACTTCGTAGTGTTTGGGTATCCATCGGCAAAGGGACTTTGATGACATTGGGACTTTCTCACTGCAGGGACTGCTTTCAAATTTCATAGCCATGGCCCAAAAGGCTCTTCAATTCATCCACAGTGACCCCCAAAGAGATAGAACTGTTTAATTTACCACTCTATTTTTATAGGAGGATTTCCTGTTTTTCCACGTTTCGGGTTTAAGATTTAGCAACGATGAAAACTGACCTGACAGACCTGACAGATCTCAGGTGCTGCAAAGGAACGTCCAGCCCTGGCTCCACTCTGGCCGGAAGTTTCACCTGCGAGTGCTGCTACTTTGTGTGGGAGATCTGAAGCTCGGCCTTTGTCAAGGGAAATTGTTGGGAATGTTCAATTTTGGGAATTGTCACCACCAAAGATGGTGAAATGTTGGATTTTTCACATCAAATGGTGAAAATGATAACAGTTCATCATCAAACAGTGGGGATCTTCCACTATCAAAAATGGTGAAACATTGATATTTGAGCATCATTCAGAATGGGGATTTGACCAGTGAATGTATCCTAAAATGTAGCAATTTTCATCGGCAAATGATGATAAACCACGAGACTTTGCAGACCCTGTCAAGATCAAGTCAAATGATACGGAAACTACTCCCTTCTTGGACTTTATTATGCATGTGAATAATCTAAAGTACGCGTTTGGGTGTGCGCTTCTTGGTGCGTGCTTGAGCATGCAGGTAGATAGTGTTCGAGCTTAAGAAAGAACACAGGAAACAACTTGCGCAAAACTTGAGCAGGCCAAGGGTGGAGCGATCTTGGGAATACGTTCAGTTTCCAACGAGGATTGCTCTACCAGGTAAGCACGATTAAACTGCAACTGGCACAATGCACCATCACCTTCTTTGCTCAACACAATGATGGCATAGTTTCATTCTTTTGCAAGCTGTTTATCTCTGCTCCCACTGTTAAAATTACTGAAGACACATTATATATTAATATTAATCATTAGACAAGTGCGGGCAACGGGGTCCTTTTTCTGAATATCAGTGACTGCTCAGGACAGCTTACGTCAATAGAGATGTCCGCGTTCTACTGGCTTCTGGTCGCTACACCGATGGATGTGGTGATAGTGACCGGCTGGATGTACATGTCACCAACATGGGCGTGAACAAGGCTGTTTCAGACTATTCTGAGACAGAGCAGAACATTGCACTACAAGAGCTTGGAGCAGACTGGCGTTGAACTAAGAAGTTGTTTGTTTCCGTTTCTGTTGGCATGGCAGAGTTGAAGGCACACAGTAACCTAAGATTATCTAAAGAATCTAAAGCATGCTTGGCGTGAGAATCACCTTTCCTCACCTGAGCTTAGGAAGAGCTTGCCACAAAGATCTTTGGCGAGTTCCTCGAATTCTCGAATGTGTGATGGTTTGTCACTTTCATTGCCATCATGTGCTTATCAAGCCATGGTAGCTATGTAGTTCTGATATTGACACCTTACCACTTACCGCTATTTAAGAACATCATTCTGCAGAGGGCTTAAGCTGCTGTGTGTCCCATAAATTATGGGAAGGAGGTACCAGGTTGTGCTGTATATCCAATTGACAGCCATCTGTTTTCTTCACCCCCTCTTTGTGGCCAACCCTTTGCCACAAATCTGCGGCATTTCCCACCACTGGTCAGCCCTTATCACCCCATGGCCCCCTCATGACCCAAGGCTTTCAGATGTCTTGGCAAAGACCCTCACTGCGCTTCAAGCTGCGGGACGTCGCCATTTCTTCACCTTACCCAACTGCTGGGAGCTCTTTGGTGCGGATTTTCTGGTGGAAGCTGGAACCGCACGGGCTATGCGCCTCGGAAATCAGAATTTCAGGTGTTACAGGAAAATAATATGAAAAAATACGCGGAATCCCCATGAGTCCCCCATAAATTGAATGTTTCGGAATGTTTAAGGGGAAGATCATCCAACTAAATTGGGGCTTCCAGCAAGCCATGCTTGATTACCTGAGGGTAACAACCCCGCGTTCTCTGCTGATGTTTTCGTCGCCCTTGCGCCCACTGACGGCCTGTCGTGAGGCCCCAGCAGGACATGCATTTTTTGGCACTCTTTTGTTTTTGAACGGCAGGTTTATTTTCATTCACAGAATGCCCGATCCACCCCACCGATGAAGTCCCGCCGACATCATTTTTCTAGTTTTGTTTGCCTTGTGAGGATGCATGGCCCATAACAGCACTCAAGAAAGGGTGTTAAAGGTCTGAATAATGTTGATTGACAGAATCCTGATTTCCACAGATCTCCAAATATTTGGACCTTGGACTTTTATGTCACCTTTCAAGATGTTCTTGAGGCTGCTGGAGATCAATCCATCACCATCCCTGGCGATGTATTCAGCAGATCTGCAGACCTTGCTGGGTGGGGACCCCATGAGCTCCAAGCTGCCTCCAGCTTGGCTGGAGCTGCACATGGAAGCAGCCTCCTAGCGAGTCGAAGGAAACAAAAAAATCGCGGGATCGCGGGGCGGAAGTTCGCACTGGCGAAAAAGGGAAGTTTCGCTGGTGCCCAGTGGTGCCCAGTGGTGCCCCAGAACTTGCTAAGTTGGTTGGTACTGCAACTCCAATAGCTGGGCTTTATGGTAGGCACCACCTCGTAGGAGCGTAGGAGCTGTAGCTGGAGGCCTTGGTCTTCCCACCCCCATGTATTTGCGACTGCTAGATGCGCTCAAACTCAAACGACCTGGATTGACAGTTGCTGTCATGTCTTGTGGCAATTTGATGCAATTTCAAGATGCATGTAACATGTTTGCAGGTCCCATTTCTTCGCAAGAGTATGGCATTGGTATGGAGCCAAAAAAAAGGACCATTGCTTTTTAGTGGTTTCCATATTGGTATAATATGGTATAATCTATGATATGTGTATCATATTATATCATATTACTTGCAATAATATATATATATATATATTATAATATATTTATTTATTTATTGTTTATCATTTGGCATCATATTGTCATATATTATCTATTTTAGTATTGCTCATGCGCATCCAATCTGTGGGGCATGGCAGCCATAGCTTCACCCAGAAAAAGTCGACTGGGCCTGTGCTGAGGAGAGACTTCTGGCCTATTGCTTTTGCAAAGGAGGCCCCACCGCAGCACATGGGGATTTCTCGAAATGATGGGAGGGCCATGGCGGCCATGGGGGACCCCAAGGGTTCATCTACGGTGGTTTTTACTGGGAAAAGCAGTGGTTTTGTGGTTCCACCACGTTCCACCAGCTTGACATCTCGAGTGATTTTTGCGATCTCAGTGGTGAAGGTATCGTGTTGATGTCGGGATGTTGCGTGTTTTGGCCAGCCAAAAAAAAAGTGCTAGCGTAGAGGAAATGGCTGCCACCAATCTCTAAAGGAAGGCATACAAATGTCATTGTCATCTGATATCAATAGTTATCAATGGTCCTCTGGCCATTGCGTTCCACGATATGTCGTAGCAGATGAGTCCGTATTTGTGAGTGGTTTCAATGGTGGCGGCTTCCCTGCGAATTTGAGGCCTTACGCCGTATGCTGTGGATGCGTCTGGATTCGATGTCAAGGACACATGGAAGCTGGTGATGGAATCTTTCACTATGCCAACAATCCCCTTTGGGATTGTTTATATAGTAGCATTCATATATATATATAGATATAGATATATAATACCATCAACTACATAAGGTCTGAAATCGGCGTACCTTGAGGTATGCCGAGCCAAGGGTCTGAGATGCTTCATGATGCATTGTAGACCTTTGTTCAGCTAGCATTATAGACCCCTGTAAGTGTAGTATAATATAGTATAATTAGAATAGCCAGGAACATCAGAAAATATTACATATTAATTATTATATATAAACCACTCATATTCTTGGATGGCAAAAAGGATATATATATATTTCAGATGATTGCATGAGTACTGAACCCTTCCAGAACCCCACTTGCATGATTTCATTCTATTTCGGTTTTGATCCTGCATGTCCGCAGCATGCCCTCTTACAAAAAAGTCTCACAATAACTGACCCAACATTTCACAGATGCAGATGGGGCATGATGATGAGTTGTCAAGGTTCTTGATTCTGTTGGCATTCTAGCAAGTAAGCCGGGGACAGAGCAGGCGCAGCCAAGTTTCAGGAAACGAGCTAAAACCAGCAAATCCACCTACTCAACATCAATCAACCACAAACCTATCCACCCCCTCACTCCTAACCCAATAAAATCTTGTAGTAGCTTTGAAATTTCCACCACATTGTTCCGATACCATCCAAAAACGCATTGGTCGGAAGAGAAAACGAAACATGCAGCACCGGAATAAAGGAAACATAACTAGTAGCCAAAGACCAAGTTTCAGACATGTTTCGGTGCGACCAAGCCGTAAGAAATGGAGTCAACCAACCAACATGAACTGACTTGGTGATCAATGGGCGTGGGGTCCAAAGTGATTTCCTCCATACAGAGCCGTGATAAACCTCAATGGAACCAGGGGCAAAGCATTCCAGACCCCCCTAAAGCACAATACCAGGTTGATACCCATCCAAGAATACATTAATATATATATATATATTATACACACATCGGACAAAAAGAATAATATAACAATCAGCCAGTAGGGGGAAGAAAAAATGAAACACAACCTTTTTGCTCAAAGACCAAACGTTGACATGTTTTGGCGTGACCCAGCTACTGTTACAGGAAATGAAGTCAACCAGCATATCCACCCAACAAAAAACAATTGATTTCGTGATCAATGGGCGTGGGGTCCAAAGTGATTTCCTCCATACAGAGCCGTGATAAACCTCAATGGAACCAGGGGCAAATCATTCCAGACCCCCCCTAAAGCACAATACCAGGCTGATACCCATCCAAGAATACATTAATATATATATATATTATACACACATTGGACAAAAAAATAATATAACAATCAGCCAGTAGGGGGAAGAAAAAATGAAACACAACCTTTTAGCTCAAAGACCAAGCTTTGACATGTTTCGGTGCGACCAAGCTATAAGAAATGAAGTCAACCAACCAACATGAACTGACTTGGTGATCAATGGGCAGGGGGTCTAAGGTAATTTCCCTCATACAGAGCCGTGATAAACCTCAATGGAACCAGGGGCGAACCACTCCAGACCTCCCCAAAAGCACAATACCAGGCTGATACCCATCCAAGATCATCCAAGAATAAATTATATACGTTGGTCAAAAATAAAACAAGCAGCCAGTAGGGTGAAGAAAAAATGAAACACAACCTTTTTGCTCAAAGACCAAATGTTGACATGTTTTGGCGTGACCCAGCTACTTTTACAGGAAATGAAGTCAACCAGCATATCCACCCAACAAAAAACAATTGATTTCGTGATCAATGGGTAGAGGGTCTAAGGTGATTTCCCCCATACAGAGCCGTGATATATCTCAATTGGACTAGAGGCAAACCACTCCAGACCTCCCCAAAAGCACTATACCACGCTGATACCCATCCAAAAATACATTATATACGTTGGTCAAAAAAATAAATCACAACCAGCCAGTAGGGTGAACAAAACATGAAACACCACCTTCTTGCTCAAAGACCAAGCTTGATCCTGGCCAATTTCTTTATTTATTTCTGATTATTGCAAACGGTTTTGTACCCAATCACGTATTGTTACAGTATGTGGTAACTAGCTGGATTTGGATGCTCTTTTTGTCTCGCCATATAAATAAAAAGCCTTCATATTGTTGTGCATGTATTTTATTGTATTTCCTCAAGCATCTATGCTGTTATATATATATATATATATAAATATATATGTTGCTTCACAGGAACTCAATGTTAGACCTTGAGCTTCAGCATAGCCTCCCTGGTCTAAAGTGCCTCTGAGAATCCTAGATTTAGAAGGGGTAGTTCATTTTAGACCACCGTTTTGGGGTCTACAATGTAACCACCAAGGCCCCCCCCAAGTAGCTGAGAGTATGATATATAGATATACTTTTTCATGGTTTTGGGGGTTCCTATGGTTAGGCTAATTGACCCTTCCGATTGCTTCCGGCTCTGGTCACCTGTCAAATGGTCTTTATTGTGACAAGCGAGGAAGTTGGTTTTGGGGAGGCAATTTTGCCATCTTCATGCCGTTCCATGTGCCGTTTGAAGGTAGACTCCAGTGCAACTGATCTTGCATGCCTCTCAGAGGCTCCACCCCACCGCTTCTAAAGCTGGTAAAATCACGGAACATTCTTGGAATTTGTTTCACCATTGCATCCAGTGTGCGCACATATTCTGCGAAAGGGGCATAAAAAATGCTCGCTCCCCTCAGCTTGGCTTGTCCAATTCAAAAGGTTGCCCAAAGTGTGTAGCAGCGTAGCATCAAAGCTTCCTCGACCCAGACCCAGATCATCCATCATCCCAGATGCCACGGCTGCCACGGGATCCATGGTGAAAATCTGGAAGCCGAAAAGCATCGAACAGCCCAGAAAAAACACACCACGCCACGCCACGCCAGTGTGAGCCATGCTCGCAACATGGAGCAGCGCAATCAAGGCATGGGGCTGTGTGACCTTTGTCAGCCAACATCAATTCGAATCGTTTGGATCACAGATTCGACAGACGTAGTTTGGAAATGTCTGCAATTGGAAAATTTGGAGTTATTGCTGTAGCAGCCCAAGAAGAAAGAGATATAATGACATATATAGAAATGTATTGAACCATATTGAACCTAGTTTGCCTGTATAGGACCATAGGACTTTACCTTTCATTTTTGTGTTGGTTGCTCTCGGTTGCTTCAGTCTTGTCCCGGCAAGGCTCAGGGCCCCGCGGCGCGCCGCGCCCTGCTCTGCGCCGCGCGGCTCCGCTCGCGATCCTTTGCCGCGCCGAGCTGGGCGACAGTGCCTCGACTCCATGGGATGTGGGGCCCCCCTAAAACCCCCCCCAAAAAAATGGTTGCCCTGTGGTAATTTGTTCGTTGGCTATTGAACATGGCCCATAGAAATAGTTGATTTGCCCAAAAAAATGGTAATTTTCCAGAGCAAACTGTTAGTTTACCAGAGGGTAACTATAGATGCCACTTATTAGTGGAACTGCGCTGACATGAGATGATGAATGGCTGAAGGAAGTTGAAGTGAAGAGTTGGTAGGACCATGATTTACTGTAGTCTATTTATGCACTTCGCTGTGGTGTCTTTTTGCGGATGGTGTGGCTCATTCTTGCTGGCACCCAAAGGGTTGGATCCCAACTCTTCACTGGGTGCCTAGACAAACTGTGTACAACTCTTGGGGCTTGGAACAAAACTTGTAGTAAACTGTGGAAGGAAATGAAAGACCAAGACATTGACGTCATTAATGGTCATTGATGGTCATTGATGCTCATTGATGGTCATTGATGGTCATTGATGGTCATTGATGGTCATTGATGCTGAGATCTTCAAAGTTTGGATTTAGCAACCCAGGTTGACCCTGAGACCATGTCTGCGGGGAAGCCAGCAGAGGGTATGAACCTTTGTCGGGAGTCTCAGATTCTTCCATAAGAGTCTCATGGGGCTGGTTCCTTTGCTGCAAATCATGGAAGTCATACCATGTCATACCTAGTGCGGTAAGCTCTAAGCAAGAATAGGGATTGTTTTTGCTGATCCATTTCTAGTGCACTTGGGGGGTGGTTTATGGCTTAGTATCTTAGTTTTTACCACCTTATTTAGGATAAGAATAGGAAAGCGTCTCCGGTGGTTGGAACACATCTTGGAGTCCCCCAAGTGCAGGAGATTATTCAAAACGTGTTTTTCGAGATAGCTGGATCTTAAGAGAAGACACGGATCTTTGCATGCAATGTGCAAACCCAACCATGAATAGCTTTTAGTAGTAAATAAGAAGGATAAATAAGGACAATATAATAAATGTATGATAATACTTATAATGTATAATTATATAGGTCACATATAGCAATGTATAATCATATATATATATCAATATGATAATGGGCCATCCCCGTCCCCATGTCCCGAGATTTTGGCCACATGGGGGGAAACCCGGGGTTTGCGAATCAAAGGTGGCGGTTCCTGGACCACGTCGAAATATTCCCAGGACGGCTGATGCGTGAGTTACCCTGAGGTACCCTCTGGTAAACTAACATAGCTATGGAAAATCACCATTTTTAATGGGAAAATCCACTATTAATGGCCATGTTCAATAGCTATGTTAAATTACCAGAGGGTACCCTGAGGTAAAAAAAAAAACATGGCTTACCCTCTGGTTATGACTAACATAGCCATGGTATAGATGGCCCATAGAAATAGATGGTTTACCGTTTTTTATAGCAGGTGATTTTCCATGGCTATGTTAGTCATAACCAGATGGTACTGGAAAACACCAATTTAGATAATTTTCCGATGAACGCCTCCATTTTTAGGAAGTTTAGGCACTTCCCATTGCCACGTTTGATTACCCAAGGGTAAGTCTAAGTTTCAGGCCCCTTATATAAATTCTGCGAAAGCCGCGTGCTTCCCGCAATGTATGTATGTGGTACAACTCAATTGCGAGTCTGACACCGTAGGACTATTTGTATATATTCCTGGTTGGTGGTTTGGAACATTTTTGATTTTTCCATATATTGGGAATAATCATCCCAACTGACTAATATTTTTCAGAGGGGTGGCTCAACCACCAACCAGATATTCATAGTGTTAGTTTCACCTGCCCTGCCACCATCTCGTCCGATTTCAGGAGATAGTGGAGCCAATGAATGGAGATGCATTCTTGAAGGCCCGGCTGATCAGCAGCATAGGGAAGCTGTATTCACTGGGTTGGTTTAAGGGAAAATTTACAGGAAACCACCATATTTAATGGTAAAAACCATGGTTTCCTGTAGATTTTCCCTTAAACCAATCCATTGATGTATCCAACAAAAACAATTTTTCTCGGATCAATGGAAGCTGAGGTTTCAAGAACCTGTTGCTTTTTTGTGTGGATGATGTCGCACAAAAAGTCTAACGTTTTGTTGAAGAATTCAACCAGTAGCACCGCTTTGCGATCAATCATGGCAGGTGGCAATTGAAACTCCATGAAGTCCCCCACATTTATAGGTTTTATAGTCGATGTTCCTATATTTTCCTATTCAAATAGGGGATTTCCATGGATTTTCCGTTGAGAACTTGCCAAATTTGGAGAAAATCTCTTCAGCTCCCAGGTGCCCAACACCGGTTTCGACGAAATCGAGGCATTTGTACAGCGCATGGCTTCCGTGCCGCGCTCGGGACTTCACAACCCTTTCAAGAATCCTGAGAGGTGCCATTTGGGGATGGTTGGAGATTTTTTTTAAAGATACAAATGGAAGCCCACATGGAGATTTTGGGGATGACATGGTTGACACTGGGCACTGAAGGCCACATGCCACATTGCTAGTCACTTGGCTGGTGAAGGCCACACTTTTGCTGAAAAAGATTCAATGGTTGTGGGTTTTGTGAGCAGTGATGATTCATGGGTGTGACGTTGCCATGGCCCGAATTGAAGGTACGTCATGCTTGGAGAAGTCTGTGGTGCTGCTGCACGAGAGATGTTCAAGCCGGAGGCCACGTGGTTTTCTCAACTTCGTTTGAAACAGCAGTTCTGAAAGGTATCCCTTGAACCTAACCCCATCATATCCCATATATTCCCATAATACAATTATATGACCCATATTTACCCTCTGGTAACTAACATAACTATGGAAAATCACCATTTTTAATGGGAAAATCCACTATAAATGGCCATTTTCAATAGCTATTTTGACATAACCAGAGGGTACCCATGATGATCCCACCATCCACTCATCCACCGTCCGATCATCCCAGGTCTCGGACTTCTTCTGTCGGCTCATCCAAAGGGTGGCGCCGAAGAGCTATGCCCAAGCTGGGGGTGAGATCAAGGCCATCTCAGTTGAAAAATGGCAATGATGGGATTAATAAACCCCAAACGGCCATTTAATTGGGAAGGTACCATTTATATATATCAAATCATGACTATTGGGGGAATACCCCCTAATTAATAAACCATGGTTTATTAATCCGGGGTTGACATTAATGACAATGATGGGAAACCTACTGAGGTATTGTAAGATGGATAGTGTGGTGAAGCTAATAAAATATAAAACATCCCAAAAATCACCATAAATGGGGTGTATAGATAGTATACTGTAAACCATCCAAAAACATGTAGGTTTATTGTTTTTTTATTGAGGTTGCCACATTAACCAGTTATTAGCCAGTTTGTTTTGGTGTTGTTTGGATGTCTTGAACACCAGTTTTTTTCCAACTCTGGTGCTTTCGCTCGGGCTCCTTGCAGAACACAACGACAAAAACAACAACCCGCAGCGAAGCCCTCACAATCTGTTAGAGTGGATGTTGTCAATGGCTCATAGTCGACTCATAGTGGAACCCCCCCATTTTCCAGAGATTTGTGCGGCTTGACACTGGATGAGCCTGGCATCTTTGTATCCAGTTTGGTGCAGGGTTGCATCAGCTGGTGTGCCAGATTTGTTGGCCAGGCAGTGAGAACTTGGCTTCAAGACTATAGTGGCAACAGCGTAAGTCCCTTGGCTGATTTGGCTGTTGTCAATCACTTAGACATGTTTTTTGAATTTGATTTGTTTTACTCGAGATAGACAAGCTCCCAAGCTTCAAGGTCCTTTTGAAGACTGACATGTCCAAAAATTTTCAGGTCCCCCCGCAGCTACAAAGGGATGCGGATAGATCTGGCGCCGAGGAATGCTGGCAGAATCCACTGGACTGCCCGGCGATCATGTGGGCCAAACCACTGTGGGCTACAGAATGCCGTTCCCTGCACGGGAGGAATGGGAGGAATGGGAGGAATGGGAAGCCGTGTGGAAAGCTGTGTGGAACGTTGCGAAGTTGCGAAGCCACCATGACGCCATAGAACTGACAGAACTAACATCCCGAGGTTCGGTGGGGTCAGTGACACTTGGCCCAGCGGGATGGGCCATGGTGGGCAGTGCATGATCCAGTTGTTCCAGATATAGGTGCTAGCATGTATATAATTATATATATATATATATTCTTTACATATATATATATTCTATATATATATAGCTATTGACTGTTGACCTTGAAACAACTTAGGAACATGAGATTTTTCTACATGAGATCTTGGCTCAACATCATTCCCTGGGGTTGTGGTGATGAAACTTGCAAAAAAGCTGCTGTACGTTCCGAGGTCATTACGCCCTTCAACTTCCCTCTGGAGATTTGCAGTTTGCAGACGCTCTCCGCGGCTTCTTGGTGGACGCCATGGCTGGTGCAAGGTTTTGTCAGGAAGTCCATGGGCACTCAACATGCTAGTTAATGTATGTTAATGTACCATGAAGATCCATGAAGGATGTTCTTCAGACAGGACATACCTGAAATTGTCCTGAACTGTTTGACGATGTGAGGAGCAACACCAAGATACCTCGCTTCTCACACCACTTGGTATGATTCCCCAGGATTGACCATTTGGCATTGATGGCTGAAGCACCTCCCAGACGCCCCGGGCAGCCGCACCTTTCAGGTCTTTATGGGAAACCAGTGCACCACGTGGCTGGGCAGTGGAACATATCCACTCTTTGGCAGGGGTGGATGAATGCCATTGAATTTCTTGCATGTGGATGCATTGGTCATAGCATGTCAGAGCTGGAGTCCTGCTTCATACCTTCATTGATTATCACAATTCGTACTTAAGAAAGCTCATACCTTTACTTTCCTCTACTAATTATCAACATTAAGCGATTAGCCCCTCAAAAAGCTGGAATAGCGACCTGGATATGTCTTCCATTCACCATCGGGCCAGGAAGGTGGACTGGAAGGTGGCCATTGTCATGGAGCAGTTCTTGCGGATGTTGCACGCCTGTGGCTTGCCCAAGACTGATGCAACCTGGCAGGAAAAGTTGATGCCGAAAGCTGATCATGAAGGGATGTCGGACTGCATGTGGACCGACGCAGGCGTATCACTTGCATGTGTACAATAGATTATGATAGTATATATATAGTATATATATATATTATACATATAGAGAGAGAGAGAGAAAGCGCGCGCACTATATATATTGTAACACCTATAAATGTTTCAAATGTATACGCGTATACATGTGTAATGCATATATATATATATATGTGATGTGTGTGTGTGTTGTATTATGTTGTATTAGGTAAGAATGTTGTATGCTGCATCATGCCAGGAACAGACGTACACCTGAGGTAGACTATATCTATTGTGACGGCCCTGTTATGAACGAAATTCTGTTGCGCTGCTTGGCCAAAGTGCTCCGGAAGAAGTGCTGACTTTAATGCCTTGTGTTCAAGAGGCTGAGTCATTCGCTGGAAAGTTAAGCCCGAACAACTCCAGCTTGCAACAACCTCCCAGGATCTGCCAAGCTACTTCCCAAGATTCTAGCTGTGGATGTAGGGGCAGTTGGGTGATGAGAGATGTCTCTCCAGGTCATACCTAGTTCTCAGGTGGAGATGCCAAGATGACCCTCTTCACAGGATCGCAGCGAGTGGCTGACAAGTTGGCGGTGGATCTGAAGGGCAAGGCTGGCACAACACATTGGGCCTTGGGCCTTGGGGATCTATTTTGATTAGTAGGACATAGTAGGACGCTGATCAGTCACCTCAAATGCTCCTCATTAAATGCAGGCCAAAAATGGTGGCAGTCCGTGTCCAAAAATCGCTGCACCCTTCAGAGGTGAAGCTGGAAGATGCTGGTTTTGACTGGAAGATTTTGGGACCAGCAGCTCGGCAATCTTCCGATTGCTGTGGTTCCTGGGTTTAGTGTTGACATGTGTTGACCCCGAGGATGTGATGGATGTGGACTATGTGGCCTGGCAGGCAGACCATGATGCCTATGGCTTTTCTGGGCAGAAACTTGCTTCAACTTTTCTTAAGGGATGGATGTGCTGTGGGGCCCGGCGGCCCTACATATCCCTTCAAGACCTGGCTCAGGAAGTGCAGCGCGCAGTCAATGCTCTTCATGCACGAGATACTTGGCATGACTTGGCCACGTTATGAGTCTATTAATATCCTAGGATTATCCCATTTGTTCCTCATATTATCCCTATATAAAACCATATCTGGTTGGTGGTTTGGAACATTTTGTATTTTTCATTATTTTTCCATATATTGGGAATAATGATCCCAACTGACTAATATTTTTTCAGAGGGGTGGCTCAACCACCAACCAGATATAAATGTGACTGACTGCCACGTCACCACTGATCCAGTTGCCAAAACCGATGGGGCGCGGCACAGGAACTGGACCAAGCCGGAGGCCACTCGCATGCTGTAACTTTGCTGAGGACTATGGATCAAATGATTAGTTTGGAGTTGGAACATGATGTACCCTCTGGTAAACTAACATAGCTATTGGAAATGGCCATTTATAGTGGATTTTCCCATTAAAAATGGTGATTTTCTATAGCTATGTTAAATTACCAGAGGGTAACATGTCTCAATTTTTGCAACATCTCTGAGGTTGGAGTTCCAACTGGTCATTTTTCATTCCTTGCAGTCCATCAGATTTTCTGTGCAGGTGGATATCGTGGGGCGCTTGGCCACCTTAGCAGGGCAACGCAGCCTGGAAAACTTGACCAACTGCCCAGTACTGACGTGGCCCACAGACGCCCGGCTTTTTTTCAATGAAATCTCAGCAGAAGAGTCGTAACGTTGCCGAATTGTAGGAACAATTGGGACAATTAGATCTGTAATTTGATGATTGAAGATGATTGAAACTAGTACCAGATTGAGCGGATTTGTGGTTTTGAAACTGGGCTTGGGTCAGGAATTTCAGGAATTTTGACCTGCTGACAGTAAAAGGTCCGAGAAAAAACCAGCTGATGTTCATTATTCGTATGTTTTTATCGTGCTTTTTTTCGTGCTTGTTTGTTCTGATGTGTCACTGTGTCACGGTTCCTTTTTGGACCAGAGAAAAAACCAGCTGATGTTCATTATTCGTATGTTTTTATCGTGCTTTTTTTCGTGCTTGTTTGTTCTGATGTGTCACTGTGTCACGGTTCCTTTTTGGACCAGAGAAAAAACCAGCTGATGTTCATTATTCGTATGTTTTTATCGTGCTTTTTTTCGTGCTTGTTTGTTCTGATGTGTCACTGTGTCACGGTTCCTTTTTGGACCAGAGAAAAAACCAGCTGATGTTCATTATTCGTATGTTTTTATCGTGCTTTTTTCGTGCTTGTTTGTTCTGATGTGTCACTGTGTCACGGTTCCTTTTTGGACCAGAGAAAAAACCAGCTGATGTTCATTATTCGTATGTTTTTATCGTGCTTTTTCTCGTGCTATTTTTTGTTCATTTATGTGTCTTTGGTCCTTTTTGGACCAGAGAAAAAACCAGCTGATGTTCATTATTCGTATGTTTTTATCGTGCTTTTTCTCGTGCTTGTTTGTTCTGATGTGTCACTGTGTCACGGTTCCTTTTTGGACCAGAGAAAAAACCAGCTGATGTTCATTATTCGTATGTTTTTATCGTGCTTTTTCTCGTGCTTGTTTGTTCTGATGTGTCACTGTGTCACGGTTCCTTTTTGGACCAGAGAAAAAACCAGCTGATGTTCATTATTCGTATGTTTTTATCGTGCTTTTTCTCGTGCTATTTTTTGTTCCATTTATGTGTCTTTGGTCCTTTTTGGACCAGAGAAAAAACCGTGCCAAGGAGAAGTTCTTGGAGCATATGAACAGATGCTTGAGCAGCTGAGACCTCATGGATGAGACCTCATGGAGATGATCCGATGTTGATGTGTTCAAAGATGGGTACCCTCTGGTAATGACTAACGTAGCATAACATAGCTATTGAAAATGACCATAGAAATAGTTGATTTATGTTGATTTACCCATTTTTTTGATTGTAATTTTCCATAGCTATGTTAGTTTACCAGAGGGTATGTTATTTGATTGATATTTGGATATGTTATTTGAGGATAACATCTAACGTACATCTATGTTCATAGAAATGTGTCTTTTGGATATGTTATTTGATGTTAGATTGTCCGCTGTACATGGGATGATATATGATCTTGATAGACTCAGTTTGCAGCAAAAAGTTTACGTGGTTGAAGGAACCATAAGAAACCAATGAGAATGACCATAGGATACTATAGGTTGTACACAACAGCCCCCCTTTGAAGTTTGCATGTCAAATGCATCTCAGGCATCCCTGGCGCGAAGCTGGCCTTCGGTGGCAAGCCACTGACTGGACACCAGATCCCTCCACAGCAACTGGGCCGAAAATATGGGGGTTTCCAATATGGGTACCCCAAATCATCCATTATTTGATTATATCAATGGCCATTTTAGGAACCTAAATTGGAGGTACCTACCATATATAAGGCCTATGTAAGGCCTATGTAAGGGAATATCCCCACAAAATATGGCCTTATATGGTACAGTACCTCCATTTTAGGATCCTGAAATATGGTTTATAATGGTTTTAATGATTTATAGTGGTTTCTAATCAATTCTAATCATATATAATGGTTTTGGATTGTTTTTCCATTATAAACCAACCATGACTGGGGTACCCCCATGACTATGGAAACCCAAATTCATATCAAAATCCATCCCACCATACGCATCCATACGCCACGTTTTCGAATATGAATTTGATTGAACTTCGTTCATCATCACCGGTGTAATCTGTGTATCCATTGCGGAACATCCCATTCATCCCAGCAGGATGTTTCAGGGTTTGTTTGCGGAACATCCGCCGATATTTGATGAGAAAAACCATGGTTGCATGTAGATCTAGCCTATTCTAGCCTTCAATCCATTCTGGTTGGTGAAATCCATCTAAATTGATCCGTTTGAATTGGTCGAAGCGCCTTCGCAGCAGCAGCCATTCTGTTTCAAGCAGCTGCCGCAGCTTCCTGCCATGGACAAGGTTGCGCCTGTGCTTGGCGGCCTTGCGACTTTGTATGTCGCCTCTAAGGTCATCCCAGTGATGCACCCCGGACCGTGAATCAGATGCGATAAAAATTGGACAAAAATGGATGGTTTCCCCTATGGAAAAACGATAAAAATGGCTGGTTTACATGATTTCATCATCAAACATGGGGCATTGAACTGGTTTCATCACTTTGCATTTCGTGTTTTTTGTCCTGTTCTACGCGTTAAACACACCATGTTTGAAGATGCTTGAAACCTGTGGGAAAGCCACCAATTTGAGGGTGGAGCATGACTTCCGTCTTTATGTGTATATATATATATGCATATAATATATATATATATGTATATATATATATACACCATACGCACATACATGTGTAAATAATGTGCCATTTGCGAGAATCACCCTATTCCAAAAACGATGGAGTTGGAGAAAACAAGATGGCTGCCGCTCAAAACTTATCGGATCGTTGAATTTGGATGGGCCAATAGAAAAATATGGAAGATTCGGGGGTCAATCAATGGGGACTTGTTTTTGAGCCATAGCCAGAGTCAGAAATTTCAGTTTGCCCAAGTTCCTTTTCTTTTGTGTCACTTCCCTGTTTTTTTTGGCGGGGCACGCTTTGCTCATTTTTTCGGCTGTTCCATTGATCCCTTCATATCCCTGCCGTAGCCATCGGTGTTGCCTAGCACCACAAAGCCCAGTGGCTTCCTCCAACTTCATTTTGGTCAAGAAAAACATGTGCTTGTTGAGTAAATCTATGTAAATCTTCAGCTATTTCTTTATATTCATGTCTATTCATTACATAATGATTGAATCTGAGGGAGAGGCAAAAGAGTAGGATATATGTTTAGGGGAAAAACTACTATTTTGTGGGGAAGAAAATAGAAACATGAAGGGCGTGTCATACTACTAATAATGTTTAGTTCTGATGTGTGTTAAGTGTGCTTCCATATTTTATCGGATGCCACCATCCTGTTGAATTGATTTCTCACATTTCACCAATTCATATTAACATAATAATGCTAACAATTTGTTTCGCACATAATCAGATCCATATATATATATACACACGCGTGTATGATCTCCAGTTTGTTTGATCATGTTACCCGACGCTTTCAGGGAATACTTCAGGTACTGTACCTAAATTATAGTGATTTAGACATGTGCAATTTAAGCGCATGTTGTCACAAGGATGTCAGGTGTACCCCCCCCAAAAAAAGGTGGTTTCGTGGACTTCCTGACTTCCCCTCATTCCAATCCATTGAATCCCCGGTTTTGGTCTGGTTTGGTTGGTTTAATAACCATTTTGAAATCTTGTGTTGTTGGTTCAATCAGTTAAATCTTCAGTTTTGGATGGTTAAATCCCATTATCTCTTGAAGAATCCATTGAACATCGAAAATACTTGGAGCAACCCAGTCAGTTATCCCAGGGTTTATCCATTGAACATTGAGAATCCCATTGATACTTGGGGTTCCCAGCCGGTGCTTCCACCCTCTCTGCCGGGTGGCCCCGTGCCTCACAGGTACCACTGGGAGCTCATTCCAGGGGTCGCCTCTCCCGCATGGTGGGCTCGTGCAAACACACTCCGCCCCTGGGACCCCGTGGGACCCCGTGGGACCCCGTGGGACCCCGTGGGACCCCGTGGGACCCCTGGGACCCCTGGGACCCCTGGGCCAGGCTTGGAATGTTGGAGAGCTACCCTCTGGTAATGAAACATGGAGATGGAAAACCATGGAGAATCATCCATTTACAGCTGATTTTCCCAGCTATAAACCTCCATTCAAAGTGGATTTCCCATCAAAGCTGGAGGTGGGATGACGGAAGTCACGGAACTCACTTGATTAAACGGAAGTCACTTGACTCACGGATGCTGTAGCTTTGGATACGTTGAGCCACTAGTCTGAAAAGGGCATGTCGAAATACCAATGACCAGAACATTGCTTTGGGGTCAAGCCAGCAGCAAGCAGCACTCCCCAATGCTTTCGCATTTTGTGAGATGAAGGTGTTTCTGTGAGTTAATTTCATCCTTCTCTAATTTGGGACAGTAAGAATCTTCCTTCCATGACACTTTTGAGCACCACCATGGTCCACCACTCCGCCCGAAGTGCCCGAAGGGTGATTTCACAGTGCTGGGCACTGATATTTTAACTGAGGTTATGATCACTATTCCGAGGGCATCGTCTATTCCCAGTATGACAATGGCGACCCCATCAGGGAGATCCCAGAGGAAAGCAAAGGCGCGAAGTTTCTCGGGTGGGGAAACTGCTCCTGAAACCTGGAAGAGGAACATCCACGAAGGTATCCAAAGATTGCCAGGTATGGTTAGAATGAAAGAGGAGTAACACTGCTGGTGAGCTACAACTCTATATGTGGCACATGCATTCGGCAAAAGTCTGGAATGTTGTGCACTTCAGAAGGTGCGGCAACTCGCCCAACTGCAACTACTATAGATGGCACGTACCGAGTTAGCCGTTAGCCTTCGGCCCTTAAGTAATTCTTCGGATAGTTATGGCAACTACTGTGTGGCCCAAATAGTTCGATGTACGTCACATTACCAGAGAGGTTACCTCTGATGAAAGCTGTGTGGATCGAGGCAAGATGATCCTGCGTCAGAAGCGGGGCGGCTGGAAGCTCCAAAGTGAGACTCGGAAGAACTGTGGAGGAATCGTATCTGGTTAGTAACCATAGCATAGCTGCTGCAAAAAACAGATGTGATATGAGGAAGTCCCACTTACTGGACTTAAAAGCCATATGGTTCTCAAATGTTATTAAGATTTATTAAGTGCGTCAAAATATACTTACTGGGATGATGCCCCAAATACCGATCATGTGTTTGGGATGTGAGGCTGCATCGCTTGAACTGAGACACGCAGCCTGACTCAGGAGATGGAGTGATGGGCTGCAGCTGGAAGCGGCTTGCAGTTGGCAGCTCGGTAGTGACAAAAATGTTCAATGGCCCAGCATATAGGAGAGCCACTATAGATGTGATACTAAATAGATGCTGATGTTGTTGAAATGATCTTGAAATGGGATGCTGCAAGGTCACCAAGGTTTGAACGATTCCAAGATGAGTTGCTGATGTTGATTACAAGATGCTGCAAGCAACAATTGGGAGAAAGTGAAGCATAGTGAAGCCTTTTTTTCGCGAACCTTTGGCCGTACATTATTCAGCTTGGTTTTGTCAGCCCTGTGATGTCATTGGAAGCGGTAGCAACCAAGGTTGAAGTTTCTTGGTTTTTGAGAGGCGTCGGTGGGACATGAATTGCGGATGAAAAAAATGCTTCCTACTCAGCGCCTTGCACTGCCCAGGGATCCCAACGGACTTGTTTTTTTTCTCCCGGGATGGGAAAGCATGGAAAAGCAACTTAGACGTAGTAAGATGTTGTAAGTGTGGTGACCTGACTGGTTTGACCCACACTGGCCAGAATGGTGCTTGTTCTGGTCAGGTAGCACACATGCTGGTGCTTAATTGATTTGAAGTGTTGATGAAGATTTGTGTGCAAGACTGGAATGCTTTGTTGAACATGCTTAAGCAATGGTTGGTAGCACTTGCCCATTGAGAATCCATTGGTCAAGATGTGCTGAACCAGCTTGGGTCAAAGGAACCCGGCACTTTGGGCACTGAACAGTATGCCGTGACTGGCCGTGACACAGGGGAGCCTCGTTCTGTTTGTACAGCTGTGTGTTTGGCTCAGAGCAAGCCTATAGTATGTGACCCAACCACTGCAAGAACTCTCATGCAGGTGTCAATTGGGGACCGAACAAGCCCACAGATGATGGATGCTTCCTTTCAAATGGTTGAGCCGTTGAGCCCCTCAGTTTTGACCACTATCATCCCACATCTACAGAGCGACCGAGCCTTAAAAGACCCAAGCCCCTGGAAGCTAGGCCGAAGATCCACTTCAAATGGGCAGCTAGCTGTCCTGTTTGAAGCAATCCTCTAAGTGACCTCTCACAAGGTCATGTTCCAGAACATGTGGCAAATCCTGGATCACCCCAAGAACACTTTAAAACTTGGATGACATTTGGCGGAATTTCCCCTCTGGTGGTTTCAACTTAGCGGCTACCGAGCTCCCGCTTTTTCACTCGCCATGATTCCACGAGTTTCCCCCGCCATGCGTGGCCGGAATGATGATGAAGGCTGCAACTTGCATCAAGCCTAGGGGGTCCCCTACAGGGTCAGCGGATTTCTTCATCATGGGATACTCTAGGATTTGCTGCGATGATTTGGCTTTCCCAACAGGAAATCCACTGGGGAATTTATAGCGAATCGTTTTTATGTTTGGGGGACCCTTAAGCAAATCCAAGCACTATAATAATGAGACATAATGAGGGATGGATATATCAAAATTTCCTGGAAGATGCTCTATTGTTTTTTAAATAACAGCTGTCGAAATGGGAACCCACCATTTCAACAGAAAAAACATGTTCCATACGGTCAGGCATTCAACTTCTGTGCTGATTTTCAGGGCTTACCAAGCACCGCACTTGGATTTGCCCATTTGCAAGTGTGGTAGAACTAGAAAGTGACCAGCGTCGCTCAAAAAGTGTGGAATGTCCAGCTCTCAGCTGCCGCAAAGGACAACCCCCGCACTTTTGAATGGGGAAACGATATGAAATTATCATCCAAAATCATCTTTAAACTACACTAATCTACATTCATCTACCAATTTCCAGACCATTTGGGATTTACCCATGGGCCCCAGGTGAGACATGCGTTGGCGCCGGACAGCTGGAGGGGTTTTTCAACAATTCCTCGCTGGAGTGTCTCGGCTCACCATGGTGATCTCGGCTCGGTCACCGTTGATCCCTTGGGATGACTCCTGAGGTCTGAGAGACGGGGCTGGGGCCACTTGGTGTCTACCTATTTCCAAGGCCACAGATTCAGAGCAGGGGTACCAGTGGGAGAAGTCTGGATTCATAGACCAACAGTTTGAAAATACTTTTGTAATAGTTTACAGTGGTTTTACTATAGTTTACAAGATACCATCCGTTACTACAGTTTGCTATAGAGTAGCTTAGACTTAAAAGGGAGGTACCAACTTTATGAACAGCTGGGCCAAATGGCTCTTCGACAACCTGGAAGGCACTTTGTTCTTTCACCTTCAAAGAAGTCCAGCGTTGCGGGGAGTTGAATGGGCGCGATGCTTGGCAAGCTCTGAAGCAGGATCCAATAGGACATTTAAAGGCTTCAATATATGAATTGATTGAAAAACAAGTGAAAATATGAAAGCCATTAAATATTTTATTCCATATCACGATCAATGCATATCCTAATTGGGATTATTGATTTTCATTTAATGGACCGTAATTGGGATATTGATTGAAGAATGATGAAAGACATGACGTTACTGCCACTTTTCGGGCCCAGGGGCTCAGCAGGCTCAACATCAGTGAGGAAAAATGAGGTCCCAGAACCCCAGGGAGACTGTTCATGTTTTTTTTTTGCCACCTGAAAAAAGAATCTTTCATGATGAACCCCCTTGGTTCACGTGGATTGGTGGGAGCCATTCCTCAAAATTCACCCATGGTTTTTTCCGAGGAGATGATGTGGTGTTCTTCGAGGTGATGGAAATCAATGGGAGGTATGAGGCTGTCAAGATGTTACTGCCCAGCATGATGGAGACCCAGCTGGGGTCGGTGACTTGGTGCAGCGAACAGAACTGGTTTGGAGTCATTTGGTAAGTCCTTTTCTGCACATGGAGGGGACAAAAAATGCCCTCCAAGCATCCCATCCCCAATTCAGAAATGGATCATATAAGCTACCCTCTGGTTATTTAACATAGCCATGGAAAATCACAATTCTTAATAGCTAAACCATCTATAAATGGACCAGAGGGTATCCCAAAATTGTAGTTGTTAGGTGGATCCCACATGTCACCCTCTGGCGGTCAGTGGCAAGGAGTGCAAGGCTGAAGCTGACATTGAGCAGTTCGAAGGTCAACGAATTCAAGGGAATTTGCGCAGCCAGTGGCAGCTGGTGAAGGAAACTTGGCTGAAAAAATGTGCAGCTCGGGTCAGGTATGATAATGATGATAGCAATACTGTAATGATAATGATAGTTCCACTCCAATTTGGCTGGTTTCATTTTGTGCAGTTCGGATAAGGTTTTAATCATGTCAAATCATTTCAGCCAGAAAGAAATGTGAAAATCAGATTCATATTGATGTATTGCTTGTTTTGACCCTGTTTTAATGGAACAAAATCCGCCCAGGAAAAGAAGTGGGGATTCGTTTCTTGCAATGATCTCTTTGCGGGAAATGTCTCCTGGCAGATTTGTTTCTTCAGATTCTCAGATTCTTCAGTTGGTGTCCAGGCTTGACGAAGATGCAAGTTTCATTGATGCATATATATTCATATGCTATATACAGTACTCTAGAAATAGAATGGAATGAATGTATGTATATTCCATGTTTTTTTGCCGATAAATTTTGATGATGATTTTTTTAATTGCTCACATTTACATTCATGCACTGGCTATTCCGTTGTGCTTCAGGTGTTTTGGCATTTGGACGAAAATCCCAAGATGAAGGATGTGAAATTCCAACGCGGCGATGTAGTGGAGTTTGAAGTCTACAGGGATGACAGTCGAGGAGAGAAGTCCCAGTCTCGAGCCCGAAATATGCTGCTTGTCAGATTACAGTCTTCAGGAGATTCAAAGGAACAATGTGGTAAATCCGGTAAACCCAAGAATAACCCCTACAATTTGGGGATGAGTTTGTATTGCCAGCGAGAGTGCATTCTTCTTTTTTGAATCCTCTGTTCGCAAGAAATGGCCGATATGGCCGTCCCAGGGAGTTTATCCACGCTGCGGAGACTCAGAAGGGGGAGCAGAAACTGCGGGAGTTCTCAAAATACTTGAGCCCCAGCAAGCTGCTGAAGAAGCAAAAATGGATTGACAACTGGCGTGCCGGGCCTCCACCCGATTGGACTTGCAAAGGTTGCAGCCTGGTTGCAGTTTCTTTCTAAACGTGGAGCCATGGCTGGGGTGGGATATTGGGCCACTGGGATCACTGGGATCACTGGGGCCCCAATCTTGGCCGAGGTGGATATCACAACTTTGGCCGCAACAAGATTTGCAAGACGTGCGACACCAAAAGACCTCCTCGGGAAGAATGGCCAGAAGAAAAGGTCGGACCTCCTCGCGAATATCCACTGTCCAGCAAGCATCGAAGTCCCTGATTTTCCTGTTGCACCATGGATGGTTCTCTTCGTGAAACCACGGCCACGTTCTTGTTAACACTTGATTGATGAGTCGGTTCATATCGGTTCATATATGTGTCACTTCTTTCGTCAGGATGAAGAGCTTCAAAAGGCCGTGGCACCCAACATCCCCTTGCTGCCTGCAGCGTTTCAGGCATTGGGCCAGACCCCGGGAATTTGATGGTCCGAGGGTCAGACATCAGGGCGGCTTTCGTTGGATCTTAAAAGGAGATCGCTCTGACATGTGGCAGGCAATTCTTCCAGCTGAAGTTTGGCAGAAGAAAAGAACTTCAAACTTAGTCTTATTTGAAAAGTCTACCCTATTTGAATATTTTGAATGCACCTTTTGTTACCGAGGATTGTTTCAGCATTGTTGACTTGATTCAGTCCTGTGCTTCAGGCGAACTTACCTGTACAGTTTCAATCCTTCGCTCAGAAACCATTGGAAGTGAGACGGAACTTTGTGGAGGAGCATGCATCAAAGAGCGACAAGGCATCTGGATTTGTCTGAAATTGGGTACCACTACATCCCTGGGTGTGCCATAATTATTCTACTACCTAATTATTTGGTTGCCATTTTAAGGGTGTACCTCCTCATTTGTAGACAGGCCAGCACCATGATGGCAGCTGCCCTTTGAACATGAAGATTGCTGTGGCCACTAGGTCAATCAAGCTCCAAAGGTTCCTGCTAGATTTTATATGGCACCAGGCTCACAGTTCACATGTCCTTCTAGCCCTGGCAAAGGAATGTAAAGGAAATGTCAAATAACGTGCGTAGTCGTTTTTACAGCGGTTTTGCCTGTGGTGTTGGTGGCGGGGGTGGTGACATGATTTTGCTTCCCCATCAGCTTTCTGCTTGTGTTCTTTCCCGCCTTCCACTGCCAAAACATGGAGGAGACGGATATGCTGCTAGATGCCACAGCGCTGGGTATCGGTGGTTTGGAGACGGATATGATGCTAGATGCCACTGCACTTGGTACCACTGGCTTGCAGACGGATACATTCCTGGATGCCACTGCACTTGGTACCACTGGCTTGCAGACGGATATGATGCTAGATGCCACTGCACTTGGTACCACTGGCTTGCAGACGGATACATTCCTGGATGCCACTGCACTTGGTACCACTGGCTTGCAGACGGATACATTCCTCGATGCCACCACTGGCTTGCAGACGGATACATTCCTGGATGCCACAGCGCTAGGTATCGGTGGTTTGGAGACGGATATGATGCTAGATGCCACTGCACTTGGTATCGGTGGTTTGGAGACGGATATGATGCTAGATGCCACTGCACTTGGTATCGGTGGTTTGGAGACGGATATGATGCTAGATGCCACTGCACTTGGTACCACTGGCTTGCAGACGGATACATTCCTGGATGCCACTGCACTTGGTACCACTGGCTTGCAGACGGATACATTCCTGGATGCCACTGCACTTGGTACCACTGGCTTGCAGACGGATACATTCCTGGATGCCACTGCACTTGGTACCACTGGCTGGCAGACAGGCGCAACACCAGATGCCACTGATTGGCACAGGGATACAGCATCTGGCTGGAACACAGATGCAGCTGGCTGGAAGACGGATGGCTCTGGGTGGAACAGGAACACTACGCAGAATGCAAGTGGCTGGCAGGCAGATGAGTGGCACAGGGATACAACGCATGCAAGTGGCTGGGAGAGAAATTCAACCCCGGATGCCAGTGGTTGGCGCAGTGATGCAAACCAGCATGCCTCTGCCTGGCAGACAGGTGCGAATGCAACTGGCTGGCAGGATGCCAAGGGCTGGCAGACGAACACCATGGTAGACTACCTTTGCTAGCACACTTTTTTTTGGGGGAGGGGTTGTTTATACAACCCAAAGAAAATGTAGGGTTGACATATGAGTTTTCCTATCGTATCCAGGAGGATTGAATATTCAAAGCTCTGTTTGGTTGGCGGAGGTCTCCAACATGATTGTCGGACCAGCAGCTAGAAGCTGAATAGTTGGACCACGGCCCACAATTCGCCGTGATAATATATATATAATTATATACATATATGTAATGTTCATTATTTTTCATTGTTTTCACATTTTTTGGTTTCTGATGGGGTGAGGTGGGGTGGGGTGGGGCTAATAAGGTCCTTCTCTTGCATCCCCACAGACGCGTCATCTTACGCTCTCATATCTACGTCATGTTACACATGTCTCTCTTCAGTTGCTACACCTACGTCATACTGTGTAGCGTCCTCTTGAGCTTGCTTCTACTTTTACGGTCCTCTTGAAGTTGCTGTTGCGTTGTAACATCTTCAGTGTAACATCCTCTTGACTCTTGAAGTTACTGCTACGTAGTGGCCTCCTCTTGAAGTTGCTGCTACCTTGTACCTCTTCTTGAAGTTGCTTCTACGTTGTAACATCTTCTTGAAGTGTATATAACTTTCTCTTGAAGTTGCTTCTACGTTGTAGCATATTCTTGAAGTTGCACCTTCTCGAAGTGTAAACTTGTAACGTTTTCTTGAAGTTGCTTCTACGGGGTAACGTCGTTTTGAAGTTGCTTCTACATTGTAACATCTCCTTGAAGTGCAACGTCCTCTTGAAGTTGCGGGAAAAAAACAACTGGGAAATTTGAACGCTGTCGCTTTCTTGCGCCACTTGACCAAAATTTGGTGATGATGCGACTAGTTGGCTCGCATTTTTCAGAGAAGGAAACAAGGCAATTTTGCAGACATCGACCACCGATGAAGAATAGAACCCCATGGAATTGCATTGATTTGACCGCAACATCGACATCATCAGAATGTCGCTTTGACTCACGGAGACATATTAGCCGTGAACCGAGTAGTTGCAATGGTTCCCCTCATTCAGAGCAGGTGTTTTACCCGAAGACATTCAGGTTTAAACTACCCTTGTTGTATTTCTCATCTCTGCTACTCTAGTTCATCAGTTCACGTGTTCGGTATTATGTTTCGAATGCTTGTTTTGCTGGTTGGTTTGCGGAACGCGCGTATTAGCTCCCTGGGCATCTCCAAGGTAAATGTCTTTCTGCATGTTGCTGCTTAGGCTGCCACATCACCAATCGTAGCGGACCGCGGCCAGCCTACCAGCCAGTCTACCGAGCAGACGGACGCCCTGGCTTGGCTTCATCTTAGAATAATAATGTTGAGGTTTGTGCCCGGTAATTTCATCTTTTCATAATTTCATGACAGGTTGTCATTAACCAAATGCAAATGTCAGAGCTACTGGGTATAACACATATATATATAATTAAGGGCTGCCGCCCCTGCCGCCGACCCCGGAATCAACCACCAGGAGCGCCGTTTTTGTTTCTTTAGCATTTTTTAAATATCAAATCTCAAATCTTGGAACACGAAAAATCACCGCAAACCTTGGAGAGAAACCATGCTGCCCCCGTGTCTGGGTGGATTTTATACGGATTGAAGATATGGCTTGGTACTTAGTGTTTCATACAATTTTTCTTTATGCACCCCCCTGTTGTCAGGATGTCAGGCGACCAAAGGCGCTGACGCACACCTCCACTACGGTGGATCACCAAGGTCACAATTAATCAAACAAGATTGATATAAGTATTGTTCAGTGCTTCGCACTTTCAGGCCTTCGCCTCGTTTTTTTTGATACATAGATTTTTATGACATTTATTTGATAGATATTTTAATTGAATAAATATATTTGATAAATATATATTTGATATAGACTTAAGAAATAGCAAGAACCCCACATACACACACATACACACCCCACCCACCAAACCTCTTTACCCCCCTGTCAGCAGTTCGTCGGCCAACGCGAAACGAGCCAGCGACACGAAGCAATCCTAGCAGACGTTCGCAAGGAGATTCAGAAAATGCACGAAGCTAGACAAACGTCGACGGGAACAGAAGAAACCAGAACAGGTGTTGCCCATTCATCGACCCAGCAGCTTGCTGTGGGGCCCAACACACCGACGCCGCACGTGTACACATACCTCTGCCCGCACTGCGCCAAATCTGTGCAAAGCACTGTGACGACAGGGCAAATCGATCACCGCCGTGGTGACGGCTGCGGCAAACTATTTCGCGTTGCGAATGGTGTGCTTGCAGGTCGCACACATGCGCACACATGTCCAACATGCGGCACGGTGGTGCATTCAACAAAAGTTTCCGGCCAAATTCAAATCACGCATCGTACGCCCAACGGAAAGCAGTGTCGCACCGACCGATGGGCCGTGCAGAACTGATCACAAATGGAGGCTTCACCAAACAGCGGAACTCCGAGGGACGGACCGGGACTGCAGGCCACGGCCCCCAGTGCCTATAAGCGTTGCTTTCAGAACCTACAAGAAAACTAGCTGTCTTAGTTGTCTTCCAGCCGCGAAGGCTCACAAACGGCGCCTTCGCCACACCGAAACAGCAGGGCCCTGAAGGACGGACCGGGCCTGCGGGCCACGGCCCCCAGTGCCTAACGTTGCTTTCTGAACCGAGAAGAAAACTAGCTCTCTGAGCTGTCTGTCTTCCAGCCGCGAAGAACAGCCGTGCCCTGAAGGACGGACCGTTCCCTGCGGGCCACGGCCCCCATGCCTAACTGTGCTTTCCTTCTGATACCCGTTGCTAGCTCCCAGCTGAGATCTAGGAGCTCCAGCCCCTGGGGTGCATGGCTATTTTTTTTAAGCCTTAGTAAAAATGACGATAGGTCCCTTGATTTTATCTGCAGACATGCTAGATTTTATCTCGATCATAAGTGTGAGATAAATTCTAAGAGGCTGGACCCCCCTAGGTCCCCTCAAGGGTACTCGCTTCCAAGGAGGACCCATGGGGGGGGTCCAGCCCCTTGGATTTTATCTCACTCCAATTTCAGGTCAGGCACCTTGATTTTATCTTTGGAAGGTTGGGCTCATTGAATTTTATTTTCATCCTACTTGAGATTTGGTACCTATCTTATATTTTCAAAGGTTCAGCCCCTTGATTTTAGCTCCAACCTACTTTGATTGCAGTTCCAACAAGATTTAGGAGCTCCAGCCCTGAGGTGCAGAATATATGTTTTAGTTTTTTGAGTAAATTTGAAGATTGGGCCCCAGATTTTAGCAGCACACTTGCTAGATTTTATCGTGGCCCTATGTGTGAGATAAATTCCAAGGGCTCCGACCCCCCCAGGCCCCCCCAGGGCCCCTCAAGGGCATTCTCAAGATTCAAGAGGGGCGAGACCCTTGGATTTTATTTGATCCCAACTTGAGGTTAGGCCTTTTGATGTTATGAAGGTTGGGCCTTTGAATTTTATTTTTATCTTACTTGAGGCTTGGTATCTATTTTATTTTCAGATGCCAGCCCCCTTCAGTTTAGGTCCAACCTACACCTTGGATTGGAAAGGGAAAAAAAACAACCTTGATTGATGAATTCCACTGCAAAACTGGCATCAAACTGTAACAAAGGTGTATTAAATTTATTGTGTTGAGCATTGCTGGCATGTTTATCAAACTCACCGTTACATATTTCCTCACCTTGAAACTTTATTGTTTTTGAACTTTGAGATGAAAATATTGAATTTGACCCAAACAAAAAGGCTGCCAAATCCTGTGCTTCTTCTGTTCCCGGATAGCTGCTTCGACCTAGCGGGGCGAAGCTTGAAGGAAAAAACCAAGAAGAAGTAAAATCCATGTCCCCAACCTTGATAGATGAACCCCTCTGCAAAACAGGCATCAACCAAAGGTGCACATTTTTTTCTTGGGAAACGTGTGGCATGTTTATCAGCTTTCGCGCCACGGAAACCCTGTCAATATTATCTCTTTTGAACGTCATTCTTTGTTGAACTTTCACATCAAGGACAAATATTGAAATTGATCTCAAAAAGCACGCAACCAAATCCTGGATACCAGCATCTCACCCTGTCCATCTTCAGTTCCAGCAAATAAAACCTGTGTGCCCAACCTTGAGATATCAACCTCTCTGCAAAATTGGCGTCAAAAAACTTGCACTAAGTTTATTTACTTGGGACAGTTCTGAAATGTTTACCTTTATCATATTTGTTAAAAGTAAATCCAGAACAAAGTCTCCTGCACATCAAGGACGCACTGAAATTGATTCCAAAAAAGGCTACCAAATCCTGGAAACCAACACCTCGCCTTGTCCAATCTTTGCTCTTGAAACTTGGAGGGGAAGCCTGAAAATAACATCTGTACCCGCTAACCTTGATAGATGAATCTCTCTAAGAAAACTGGCGTTAAAGGTGCGCAGAAATTGTGTTCTTGGGAAGATAGTTATGACATGTTTATCAACTTTATCTCCGTTGAAAACCTTTCAAAGTGGCCAGCTTATCTGAGGCATGCAGAAAAAATCGATGGCTAAAATCCAGGAGGTCCATGGTTTCATAAGATTCACAGATAAAACATGTATGTCCTAAATATTCACAACATGCCCAAAATATTTTGAGGGGCCTGACCTTTGATCATTTTTGAACGTCCAAAATGCTCCAAAGTATTGGTTCCTTTGTCCAAGTTGAGTGTTAGCAAAAATGTTTGGTTTACGAATGCTAGACTTGGGCCCCTAGATTTTATCCATTCAGAAATGCTCAAAAGGGGTATGGGGGGGTCAGGCCCCTCTGGAAAACAGCCACTGGGGTCTACTATTTCAGGGGCTGGACCCCCCCTAGGAGCAACCAAGGGGTATCTTTCTGAACCGACAAGAAAACTAGCTCTCTGAGCTGTCTGTCTTCCAGCCGCGAAGGCTCACAAACGGTGCCTTCGCCACACCGAAACAGCAGGGCCCTGAAGGATGGACCAGGCCTGCGGGCCACGGCCCCCAGTGCCTAACGTTGCTTTCTGAACCGACAAGAAAACTAGCTCTCTGAGCTGTCTGTCTTCCAGCCTAACGTTGCTTTCTGAACCGACAAGAAAAAAACTAGCTCTCTGAGCTGTCTGTCTTCCAGCCCCGAAGGCTCACAAACGGCTCCTTCGCCACACCGAAACAGCAGGGCCCTGAAGGACGGACCAGGCCTGCGGGCCACGGCCCCCAGTGCCTAACGTTGCTTTCTGAACCGACAAGAAAACTAGCTCTCTGAGCTGTCTGTCTTCCAGCCGCGGTGGCTCACAAACGGCGCCTTCGCCACACCGAAACAGCAGGGCCCTGAAGGACGGACCGGGCCTGCGGGCCACGGCCCCCAGTGCCTAACGTTGCTTTCTGAACCGACAAGAAAACTAGCTCTCTGAGCTGTCTTCCAGCCGCGAAGGCTCACAAACGGCGCCTTCGCCACACAGAAACAGCAGGGCCCTGAAGGACGGACCGGGCCTGCGGGCCACGGCCCCCAGTGCCTAACGTTGCTTTCTGAACCGACAAGAAAACTAGCTCTCTGAGCTGTCTTCCAGCCGCCAAAAGCTTCACAAACGGCGCCTTCGCCACACCGAAACAGCAGGGCCCGGTCCGTCCCCCCAGTGCCTAACGTTGCTTTCTGAACCGACAAGAAAACTAGCTCTCTGAGCTGTCTGTCTTCCAGCCGCGAAGGCTCACAAACGGCGCCTTCACCACACCGAAACGGCAGGGCCCTGAAGGACGGACCGGGCCTGCGGGCCACGGCCCCCAGTGCCTAACGTTGCTTTCTGAACCGACAAGAAAACTAGCTCTCTGAGCTGTCTGTCTTCCAGCCGCAAAGGCTCACAAACGGCGCCTTCGCCACACGTTGCTTTCTGAACCGACAAGAAAACTAGCTCTCTGAGCTGTCTGTCTTCCAGCCGCGAAGGCTCACAAACGGCGCCTTCGCCACACTGAAACAGCAGGGCCCTGAAGGACGGACCGGGCCTGCGGGCCACGGCCCCCAGTGCCTAACGTTGCTTTCTGAACCGACAAGAAAACATAAGAAAACTAGCTCTCTGAGCTGTTTGTCTTCCAGCCCCGAAGGCTCACAAACGGCGCCTTCGCCACACCGAAACAGCAGGGCCCTGAAGGACGGACCGGGCCTGCGGGCCACGGCCCCCAGTGCCTAACGTCACTTTCTGAACCTACAAGAAAACAAGCTGTCTGAGCAGTCTTCCAGCCGCCAAAAGCTTCACAAACGGCGCCTCCGCCACACCAAAGCAGCAGGGACGGACCGGGCCTGCGGGCCACGGCCCCCAGTGCCTAACGTCACTTTCTGAACCTATAAGAAAACTATAGCTGTCTGACCCAAAACGGCGCCTGCGCCACAGCCAAACAGCAGGGCCCTGAGGGACGGACCGGGCCTGCGGGCCACGGCCCCCACTGCCTAACGTTGCTCTCTGAACTTACAAGAAAATTAGCTGTGTGACCCAAAACGGCGCCTGCGCCCCTGAAATACGGACCGGGCCTGCGGGCCACGGCCCCCACTGCTTGGAATCTCTTCTCTGACGCGCTCCCCCTGCTGTCGGCAGGGGTCGGCGGATTTAATGTATATATGTGTGTGTGATTATGTGTGTGTGTGTACATATTGTTTGTGAACAGAAACTCTAGACGTGTTCCAATACCGAATTGCAACGCATTCTGCTGGTTGTACCTTTGCTGCTTTCTGCTATTTGCTGCATGCGTTCCAGGAAGTTCCACTTCCGCGGATGGAGCCTCTCCATCATGGATTGAAAGGAAGTACTTCTCTAATATTCCTCTTTGAATTCCTGAGATATAATGATGTAACCAGTATAAGTTATAAGATATTATGCCTGCTAAGGGTTGGATATCCTCGGGAAATATCAAGGGTAGCCACCATTCAATTTATCCTGGAACTAGCATCGCGTCGTAAGCCTTCAATATATCTATCGTTAGTGGTTTCAAAGTGTTTCAAAGTGTTTCAAACACATTCTATTTTCAATCCCCTTTTGGATGATAAGCCCAGCTGAATAATATGTTTCAAAGGAATTTCAAATCACCAGCCAGTTCCTGAGAGCCAGGCAACTGCAATGTCTGTGTCGGAGCCGATGAATCTACCGAGGCTCGGATAAAGAGGAAGTGGTGCAAGTAGCAGAATTGATGGGTATTATATGAGAATGCATGGAATGCTTGAAAATCGGATATGAATCCCCATGTAAAGACTGTAAAGCATCAAGTTTCCCGTTGGAATTAATGTTTGTTCGGGGATTTTTCGGGGATACACCTGTTTCAGATGCACTCATCCATGGAGGCATAGAAGTTATGGACTATTTAGCTGTTGTCGAAAGTTGTTCGTCTAGTTGTAAATGTTCTTTTTCATGGCCCCAGATTAGAGTACTGTATAGAATGGTGTATCCTCATGCTCGTTGAACGCCTAACGTCTATTTATTTCAGGTTACAGCAACTACCCATTTGGTTGGTGGTTTCAGACTGTTTTTGTCTCGACCAGTTATTTTCAACCATATTTAGGATGAGGATTCCAATAGGTTCTTATCATTTTTCAAGTTAAGTTGAAACCACTACGTCACTATATAGCCAGATATCGCTCGGTAAATTTACCGATGTCACAATGACCTCGACTCCCTATGAATGATGCTCAGCAGGGGAAATGACATGTTGCCAGAATGCGTAATTCGGTTCCTTTGCCCCGATGTCACAGTTCCTTGATTGTATGTCATACGACTGGTTGAGGTTGATAAAGAGATTTGTCGTATGATTTCGAATTGAATTGATGATTCAAATCACAAATACATCATGTGTCAAACCGTAAAAATGACAGTAAGAATGGTAATGATGATAACGATTACAATAGTATAATAACACTGGTAGCAATGCCAATATGTAACAATAGATCTCATCACCACCACCACGACCACGCTCCAAGGCAGGAAATTCCTGTGGAGGACTTGAGGCGCTTCGAGAATGTGCTGAGCGCCGACCTCTCGGAGCAGGTGACGAGTCGCTGACGTTCACACCACAACGGCTGAGGGTTATCCTTCCCCAAATGAAGGTAGACCCTGAAAAGAACACCGTTTTAGCGGAAAGTCATCTTTCAACGGTCGACATGCCAGACATGCTAATCTGGAGGATGGCGAGCAACGAAAAGTGGGCTTTAGAATGTTTTAGACAGTTGGTCAAAATGGTTGTAGCCAGTAGATCAGGCATATAAAGACGTTTGGATGGGGGATCCATGGATTTGCTGGAGATCATGGACGATTTGGAAACTTTTTCCATGGGTAGATCCACCATTCCTGGGGAATCCACTTGAGAATTTCTTTGATTTTTCATGGCCCCTCAACCGACTAGAAGACAAAAAGTTGGTTTTAGCCACTAAACCTTGGATCCTTGGGATGTTCTCAAACCAGCAAAGTCTCCTTGGGCCAACAAAGCTGGGAACGGATGTCAGTTGGTGGATGGCCATCTCGTGATTACACTGGATGTCCATCAAAGACATTGTGGCATATTGTGGCTTTCATGACGCCATGGCCAGTGAAGTTGTTGGCACCTACTGTGTTTGTTTTTTTCCCATGTGAACACTGTAGTGACGCCATGTTTATGGGAAAATCGATCCACCATTGTTGTTGAGGTGTTGAAAGCGCTTTTTACTACAAACCTCAGCTACCCTCTACTAGGTATTTTTTTTTAATAATAGCTATGGGAAATATGGATGACACTGGCCGGCATGTGTTGATCTAGGTTGATCTCAGTGCCCCAGGAGCTGGTGGCAAGCATCAAGAGATATTTGTCGGAGGTGAACAAAGGCCTTGGCCTGGACCGAGCCAAGAAGCAAGACTTTGCCGCGAAGCTGGCGAAACATCCTTGGTTTCCACACACAGGCTATGAGGTGCCTGAAACGCTTGCTGAAATGTTTGCTGAAATGGGATCCGTGGGCTTCCTGGATCTTCCTATAGATGTTTGTTTTTCCAAGGCCTGTGGAAATCAGATCAAGTGATAGACACAAACGGAGAGATCAATCTGCACACCATGGGATCCTTGTGATGGATTTGGTTTGAATGTGTTGTTATGGATTGTTTGGATCATTCATTGATTGATGTGCGGTAACCATCCACTGCCACCACAAATCGACATTTTTTGGTTGGATTGATCCAGAATTGTACCAACCTCACCGCGACCTCACCTCACCACAAATGGCCAAATAGCCCACAAATTCACACAAAAATTCATCCGAAAAAATAGGAACCACCAAAACAGCCAAGCGATATACGGTTTTTTTCGGCAAAAACCTGGGAACATCTGGGAACTACTCTTTGGGCGGGCGCCCAAGAATAGATGAAGAAATTGGGTATTCTCGGTATTTTATATAGTATATATATATATCATGTTAAAAACATCCCTTGAATATCTTTCAGTTACAAGTTGAATCAGAAAATCAACATGTGTCCAGGTGCGCTATCGCCCTGCGGCCAACTCCGTGGAGATTGCGCTGAGTCCAGCAGCAAGGGCGCAGAAGCGCCAGAAAATCACGTAGATGGCGTCAGAGCTATGGAAAATCAGCATCTTTAGCTACAGAGTACTGTAAATCACGGTAAAACCCACTGATAAATATGATAAATGGGCCATGTTCATCAATTTTCCATAGCTGTTAGCTATGTTATAAATTCCTGGAGGGTATGGCTCGAAAAGATTCGAACATGAGGTTGAGATAGGTAGAGGGCCCCCTTTCATGATTTTTAATATATGATGTGAGGTGTAAAGAATTGGAAAGACCCGAAAGACTGATGATTTATTGATGTCAAACACTCCAGTTCTGGGCGGTAGAGCTGTTTAAGCCGCAACCAGTGAAGCCGCAACCAGTGGAGCCGAACAAAGATGATCTGTGGAGAGCAGGGCTTGGTCCGGTGGGCTTGCTTCCCCTATTGAGGCTGTTTTGCAAACCTTGGTTGGTTCGAGTAGAAGGATAATTTGGGGACAATTCTTTATTGGCCAAGAGGACTCACGAGCTAAACATCCAGGATCTTTGTTCAGGATAAACTCCGGTCGTCAACCGTGGCAATTGGAACTTTCTGAACTAAATGCAGCTTTGAGTGGGAAAATCATGGAACTCACAGGGGCGGGGGCTTCCAGCAGGCCATGGTATGATATTCCCTGAGGGTATATGGAGGTTTCCCAAAATGGGGGTACCCCCAAATGATCCAAGTCATCGCTTATTATCAATGGGAAAACCTACGTTTCCGATTGATTTAGGGCACCTATATCTTAGGAAACCTCCATATTAATCATATTATATAGGATATATTAGGGTATAGTCAATTTTTTTCACCCCAAGACTTTGATGGTGACATGTGAACACCAAGAACATCAAGAACAGAATAAAATCATATAAAATCTGTGGTTTATGTGGGTCATTGTGGGTCTGAAACTGTGACCTCCTCATGGTCCATACCCGGTACCCATGGGCCCAGGTACGGGGCAGTGGAACCAACGGCGGTGCGGCTTCCGATCGAGGCCTTAGAGGATCCGCCCAGCTTCGAAGTGGCCACCGTGGAACTCTTTGGACCGTTCCAGGCGGAAAAAATGGTGGAAATTGATGGACATTTGCCATTTAAGCATCAAGCCATTGGGGATTTGACCAATGAACAAATGAACAAATGATTTGGGTGTAAGGAGGACAACCAACCCCAAAAAAATGCAGTTTAATGCATTTACAAAAGGCGAACATGATGATTCATCACCGGATTTTGGGCATCTATTTCCAGGCAGACCCATTGTTCGAGTGGAAAAATATCCGATAGGTTCAGGGACAAAGATGGGATAAAATTCTCGGAGTGGAAATTCGGGATCTCCAACCTTCCAGAAGCCCTCAATGATTGGCCGCCATCCCACAGGTTTTAGTGGACTACAAGGATGGACAGCAAGGAAAAGTCATCGAGGCAATCAACCGGATGCCGAACCACCTCACCGCTGGAATTGTTTCCAACAATCCCATCTTCATCAATGAGGCGGGAACATGCTGAGCTTCAATGGAAAAGTGGGAAAATCACCATGGGATTTCCCCCGGGAAAACAGCTGAGTTACTGGGTACGGCTCTTGGCTTGGAAGGTGCTGGGCAACTCCATCACTGGCACCACCTATGCTGGAGCCACTGGGATTGTGGAGATTGTCCCATCGACGGTGCCAGTGCACAATCCACAAGCCACAGCATGTGCATTTATCTAGATCTGACAGATACCTCCATCCATCCATCCATCCATCCATCCATCCATCCTACATATCTATCTACCTACCCTACCCTACCCTACCCTACCCTACCCTACCCTACCCTACCCTACCCTACCTACCTACGTACACACGTATACACACGTATACACATACACACATATACACACAAATACACACAAATACACACATACATGCATAGCATGTGTTTGTGTGTGTCGTACAGTCACATAATTATATATATATACACATACAAATTAGTAGCTTTGCATAACTCAATGCATGCATTCCATACCTGCAACAATTCCCATGACACATGACCGAGGCGCGTGCGCGCACCACTGGCGCTCCTGTGCAGCACTGGTTTGGCCCCAGCGGTGATGTACGAGCTGGAGGCTACATATTTGCAGGAAATCTGTAACCGTTTTTGCTGGTAGATTTTTACTGTTCCGGGGGAGGCGGTCATATATGCTTCTGATATCTTCTGATGTTTCTCATGTCCATATTATTCAATATTTTTTTTCCCAGTTGACAGTGCTTTTGCCACTGCGTATTTTCCGAGTTCGCTCCAGGCATCCATACGAAGCATGCCATTCAGCTGTGCCACTTGGCGAAGAGAGAACGGAAGACATGGTGAGATTTTAAAATTTGACGCAGGTAGCATAGAGGGAAGTATGTATCTATTATTATCTATTTATGCCTCTGTATCTATATATAATTGAGAGAGGTTGAGAGAGTACATGCAACATACAGTAGGTATGTACTGCAATGTATGCGTACATATATACATAAACATGCGCATGCCTATGGTAATTAAATGTATTTATGTAATGCATGCAGTTTATTATTGCAAAACAAGGTAATGCAATATGCACATCTATACGCGCATTTTGGGGTATATTTAAGCCCTAATCTTCAAAACCCCGTAGATGGGCTTCAGACCATGCCCTCGGGCAAGTTTGTTGCGTGGACACCATCCCTGTGTCCAAATGTATCCTCCAGCGACTTAACAAAGCTATGGAAAATGAGCTCATGTAACATATGTATATAATATATAATATATTAATATATATTATAGATTATTATCGTATATAAATTGACTGATTTATTTTGAAAGATGTTGATTTTCCATAGCTATGAGCCTTTCTTTTACTGGACATGGGCAAAAAAGGGGCCCAAGGATGCCCCCCCTTGGGCATTTCTTGGGCATTTCTCTTGGAGATGTTTGGATGCCAAGGTTGGTCCTCACACCGCGAGGTTGTGTATGACTTTGGGCCTGTCACCAACATCCCCCAGCAGAGCTGAGTGCGCTGGCAGATGCTGGCAGTCATGGCTGCTCATGCTAAACTGGAAAGAGAATATGCTATATGCTGATAAGTGAAATTTGAAGTCAGGCGTTTGATTCTCGACTCGGCCTTCAGGTGATGTTCTTCCTGTTCTGATTTGTCACGATCCAAGGATATCAACATGTTTTGTGTTGTTTTTTTGTTCGTATGCTTGTCAGTGCTTCATGGAAGCGACAAAGCACAAGACTTTGGCTCAATTTCGTGCCCCCCATCACAAAGTATGGGTAAACACGATTTATCCGCGATGGAGTCCGTTTTGGAAAGGTGGGAAAGGCATTGGCGACCTTCCAAGGGCTTCCAAGTACGCACAGGTGGATTCTGGGTGCTTATCCTCATGGTTGGAGCTGCCAGTCAGGCATATCCCTGGAATGGAGATCGAACTGTGGACAGTATAGGTATTATAGGTATCCTTTGATCTAACAGTTTGCTACGGAACATCAATGACAATCACCAGTCCTACTATATAGGTGTAAAAATCATTGTAAATCATGGAACTAAATAAGCCAATTTCCATGGCTATGATAAATTACTGGAGGGTAATCTCTTGCAGTGCAGTTGCCTTTGGAATCAAGGCTCACTCTGGGGATGCACCCGTGAATTCGCGCGTTTCATGCGCGTACTTCGAACAGTAACGAAAGGCCTGCGCTTCGAAAAAAAAGGTTGCTTTGAGTGGTCCAATTAAGAATGCCATGATAAGTCTTGTTTGCACAGGTGATTCGCACCCGCCCAGCGAACATAGGCTTTGATGATGCATGATGCGGATTTTTAAGCGGGACAAGCCCAGCACCTTGCTGAGTGCTGTGCCGGGTTTCGGACCATCGCCCGGGCCCCGTGTGCCTTGATCTTCCGTGCGTTTCAGATGTTGGCCCATCGAGACACTTGGTACCTCTAGCAGCTTGGGAAAGCGCTGGAAGATCTTGCAACAAATATCAAGAGATTGTCTCTAATTAGTATGACTGGGCTGTTTTAATAGTTTCACGTATTATACCATCACACTGAATCATAGTGGTACACTTTTTCATCATTGGGGATGATCAATGTGTACTTAAAATCAACTGATTGATATCTTCGTGGATGGCCCAATCATCCCATGCAATCCAGTTACATAGCCGAGGACAAGGAGAGATACCTTGCCCACTTGGCTGCGCTGGCTGAGCGCTATGATGAGCCTTGGCTTTTTGGAAGTTTTTTGAGCTTTCAAAAAGATGGACCCTCAGCATATGAGGCCAGACAGTGTTTAACAACCCTCAACATGGATAGTTTGCGAGTAAGTTTTTGAACCAGCAATGGCTCACCAGCACCCCCACACACACACACACATATCAGTGTATATATATATATATATAATTAATTATAATTATATATACATATGCATATACACAAACACACGCATATATATAAAATATACTTTCCGCAAATATCCACATACACTTTGTGTCCACAAAATAGTGACATCCCTGACGCATCTCTTTTGGGGGTCCCCGGGTTCCGTAGCCACTGGTAGGGAGGATCGGCTGAGGAGGTGATCGAACACATGAAGCAAGTCATTCAAACTGGACCCCAGCTGAGCGTTGAAGAGCGCAACCTGCTCTCCGTGGCCTACAAGAACAAGGCTGCAGATACTTTTTTTGCAGTCTTTTTTGGCATTGTTTTTTTCATGGTGTTCCCCACTCATTGGCTGAAAATAGGGTAGGTCAATGATATTTTAAATCACACTGTTCCAAAATATGATGTGATATCTTGCAGCGTGCCTCCCAATCTTGCTGCCCAGCCTCGTTTGAGGGGAAGTTGCGCTCACAGGTTTCCTTGAGAATCTCAAGAACCAGTGTTTTCCCCATTGTCGAAAAAAACAGGGAAGACTTCTTAAGTAGAGGACTGTAGAGGTCCAAAATCAATTTGATTATTTAATATGCACGATAATGTCCCTTGTTTGATCAATGTTTATTTATAGACAACCACTTGGTGATTAAGAATTGAGAAAAAATAAACATCATTTCCTCACCCCCAGCTGTCAGATATGGCCAGTGGCGCCAGGTTGGCATGCTCCGAAGCGCCTTCCGTGCCAGCCAGGGTGTAGCAAAGACTGCCTCTAGCGACGAGGCTCAATATGCCGAAGAATATCTTCAGAAGGCCGGGTGAGCCATGCATGGTTTGGATCAGCGGAAACTGATCCATGTTTTTGGTGACACACTGATCCATAACACTCCCGGAGCTGTTCTCATTTTTGTTATCATGCTACATGGGTGGGGTGGGGCAACGTTTATTTTACTTGCGCACAAAGGATAGGCTACATTATGATATCTTCTCTTGCCCTTGCACACACACACACACCACTCCACTTGCTCTTACGTTGTGAGATCTTCTCTTGCACTTGCACACGGACAGGATGCTACGTTATGATATTTTCTTTTGCAATTGCACAATCTTGCACGCACACACACACACTTGATGCTATGTCATGATGTCTTTTCTGGGACAGAATCTACCAATGGATTGTTCAGGCAAATTTTGGCAAAGTGACAACTGACCGACAACATGAAAAAAGGATGGAAAACGTGCAGGTTTAACTATTTGTCATCAAATTATCCAAACACATCATTCGTGAGGCGTTTTTTGCAAGTTGAAGTGAGAAACACAGGGGTGCGAGGAACGGTGTTATTACGTTTTTCCCATCTCATTGTGCTGGTTGGTATGCCATAGTATGCCTATAAAACGGCGGGTGACCGGCAGAATCGCCGATAGACAAGTTTCAGCGGCTCGAGCGGCTCGGGTTTTGACGGGAACTGCTTATAGCAAAGATAGGCTTTCCAGTGAAGTTCCCCCTAAATAACCATTCCAGAATGGTTCAAAAGTCAATCATGTTTAAAATCAAACCAACAATAAAACAACAAGGAGAAAGTGACTCTCCAATTTAAAAATTCTGACTTGGCAACGAAAATAAAGTGATAAAATGCATGTTCAAGAGCTACATGCAGTTTATGTTATTTTATGTTCATGGCTAGATTTATGCCGGTGTTTGATTGCCAGAAGGGGTACTGCTTGGTGGCAGTTTCGTTGAATGATCCAGTAAAGACGGGTAAACATGGGGATACAACCAATAGGGATGTGCTTTCACATATGATTTGGTTGGTGGGATGATGCTGGGCAAAAATGTGACATGCTACCAGAAACAAACACTGGTTGCGGGCTCCTTGGAGTCAGGTGTCGTACAAATCCTCTAGGTATAAAATACGTCTTGCCTCAACATGGTTGCAATGTGTTCAGCGGTTAGGAGGGCAGCATCCCTTCTGGATGATTTGTCAAGATGAGTTTGTCCATGTGGCTCCGATGATGAGCCCAGTACTAAGCCAGTGAAGGCTGCAGGGTGCCATGATTGCAGGCGCAAGAAGAAGGAATTCGCTCCTGTGACACTTGGCAAAATGTGTTTGATGACAGATGCATTCCTTCAATTTCAGCAGGGCGAATTATGGAAGATCTTGGTGTCCAAAGAAAACAATGCCATGCCACGTCCCATCATGTCCCCAAAACGGAAGCCAAGGAGGACCTCATTGCTCTGCTGGAAGATCTCTTGCTGCCCAATGCCTTGGATCCTGAAATGAAGGTCTTCTTTCTGAAGAATCGGGCGGCCGCCTGTCCCAAGGATTGGGGGTGCGGGCACCAAAAAGGGCTAGAAGGAAGATGGTTTTGAGATGAGAGTTTTCAGGTCGTAGTTGTGGGCGATGATGCTTCATTCCTTTGCGTCAAGATTTGCTTCCAACACTTTGGACAGAGGAGCTCAAGAGAACTGCTTGTGCATGGTGAAAATGGCACAGAAGTTTGAGCTTCAACATGACCAGCTCAAGATACAAGCCCGGGTACAGCGCACCATATCCTACAGCCCAAGATTTTGGGTTTATTTTCTGATATCCCACAGCATCATAGCGCACTCAATCCCACTGGGCGGTTTCAAGTATTTCATGATATTTCTATACATATATATATATATCTTATAATTATATACTATATAATTATTACTCGCCTTTAGCTCTGCTGAACTCCTTGAGAAGGCGATGGAGAGATACTACACACATAGACAGACAGACAGACAGATAGATAGATAGATAGATAGATATTTACATATTTTTACTATACATATATATATATATTAAATAATATCATTAGTATGTACATGGAATATTGCTTATTTTCGATCCTATGTCAGATTATGATTCTAGGATTTGACTCATTGGCTGAGGATTACTATCGCTACACCGCCGAGTTCCGCGGGACTGACCGAGCTGCCGTTGCGCGGGCCAGCGAGGTCTACCAGGAAGCGATAGATGCAGTGCAGGACAGGTGGAGACCCTGCGGGAACCATTTGGGGATGATGTTTGCCATCCATTTTGGGATTGAATGGGTTTGTTTATCATTGGCTAGAACGTATACTAAGTATAACTACGTATATACAATATTACAATTCCTCCTGTAAGTTAACTATAGATATATGATATGGGAAACCCATGGTAAAACCCTCGGAAAATGATCTACAAATGGTGGGTTTCCATACATAGATACATAGATACATACATTACACTACATTACACTACATTACATTACATTACATTACACTACATTACATTACATTACATTACACTACATTACATTACATTACACTACATTACGTTACATTACATTACATTACACTACATTACATTACATTACACTACATTACATTACATTACATTACGCTACATTACATTACATTACACTACATTACATTACATTACACTACATTACATTACATTACATTACACTACATTACATTACATTACACTACATTACATTACATTACACTACATTACATTACATTACACTACATTACATTACACTACACTACATTACATTACACTACATTACATTACATTACACTACATTACATTACATTACACTACATTACATTACACTACATTACATTACATTACACTACATTACATTACATTACACTACATTACATTACATTACACTACATTACATTACATTACACTACATTACATTACATTACACTACATTACATTACACTACATTACATTACATTACACTACATTACATTACAGTACAGTACAGTACAGTACAGTACAGACAGACAACATACATACATACATACATACATACATACATACATACATACATACATACATACATACATACATACAAAGACAGGGAGACAGAGAGACAGAGAGACAGAGAGACAGAGAGACAGAGAGACAGAGAGACAGAGAGACAGAGAGACAGAGAGGCAGAGAGGCAGAGAGGCAGAGAGGCAGGCAGGCAGGCAGAGACAGACAGACAGACAGACAGACAGACAGACAGACAGACGCATGCATACAAACATACATGCATGCATACATACATACACACACACACATATATATATATATATATATACAGTATTTACAGTATATACACATGATGTATACAACTTACCGGAGGCTGCCAGACGATATTGCAACATGACAGACAGTCATACTGAGAATCTGTGAATATAGCCTTTATATTGTTTTATAAGTGGTCAAAGCACCGGCAAATCATTTTACACATGAGTATGTATGTTATGTAGTGTGATGTACTGATGTTATACAATGCAATGCAATTTTTCGTGTAAGGTAATGCAATGTAATGTAATGTAGGCAGACATACATACACATTCATGATATTCATGGTTTTATCATGTGTTTCGCTACTCTGAGTCACTTGTAGCTGTCACTGTCGCCTTAGCCGCAGCGTCAGGAGCACCTTGCAACAACTCATCCGATTCGCCTGGGTATGGCCTTGAGCCGAGCTGTTTTCAGCCACTCAGCACAGCACCCCAAGGATCCCCAAGGCTTATGGGGAAGGTCTAGGTCACCTTGCCCCAGGTGGCAAATGTGGCAACCTATTGGTCGGTTTGTTGGTATGTTTTCTTTCCAGATCCGAGGTTATGAGATCCTGAATTTAAAGCCAGAAGCCTGCAACATAGCTCGCAAGGCACGGCGCCAGACTCTGTGGTAGATGGCAACTTGTTGAATCTGCATATGAAATACCAGGACTGCATGCCGATCTATTGAGGCATTGTAGTTTGTGTGCCACTCTTGATGCAACGGCTCAATGGTTGTCCTTTTGATGAAGCACATGATGTTGTGTTTTCCGCGGAAGGCTTTTGATGATGGCCTGAAAGAATTAGATGCTGGGCAGGGGACACACGAAAGTCTTCGGTTTGCAGGTTGAGTCTTGAGACAAGGAAGGTAAGGCAAGCTCACGCGAGAGTGAGTACCTAGCAGTGTTGCAGTGGCAAGTACATGGTGTCATCTCTGATAACTGATTTTAGGAGGTTCGCAGTCGCAGACGATTTGATTTAATACTTCTCTAGACAATATAAAGTTATTCTATGTTATTCTATGTTATTCTATGTCTTTTCTGGGGTGTTCCTTTCAATTTCAATTTGGGCAGTCAGGATGAAATCCCAGAAGAGCACTACAAGGACTCCACGCAAATTCTTCAAATGCTCCGCGACCATTTGACACAGTGGACCAGCGCAGTGGAGTAGTTATGGGAATTTAGCCAGGAGTGGTCCGATTCCATAAAGTCTCATGCCACTTGAGTGCGCAATGATGATAGCAAAAAAAAACTTTCAGAGAACACAAACTCACAAAAAAAAAGAGTTCCTGTTCTCCAGAGCCGTGCTTCAAATCCAAAGTGGAAGTGGATCAGGTGGTTGAGAACTGAGAACTTCGAGTCTTCCCCGTGTTTTGAAGGCGTCGCTTATCCGACGAGGCACACAGTAGTACATGTATCATTTATCTCAACATTCTTTCAACTCCCAGCAAGTCAACGAGTTTGTTTTCAAAGAGAGATTCTATCCCCAGTGTTGCTTGGTCGAAGCAGTCTTCGCCTATATTTGCTTCCCGAGGGGGTTGGTCAAGTGATTCGCAGGTCGCCCCTTCAAAGTCCCACATTTCAATGGACTCGTGCACAGGGCAGTTGGTCCAAGTCTGTTCTCAAGGGCCGGGCCAAAACAAAGACTCCCCAAAGCACCCCAGCTGCCTTAGTTTCTTTGCAACACGTGCAGATGTGATGCTTAAAGAAGTTGTAGAACAAGATGAAAACGTCCTCACCCCACGAAGTTTGAAAGGGCGTCTCAGCTTTCTTGACTTAGTGATTCTGGTGAATCTTGGTGGTTTGGGCGCTAGTATGGCAGTGTGTTTTATGCCTGCCCCCCAAATGGCGTGTTGCCATGCAATGGCACTTGGTGATCCGCTCGTTGATATCCCATCTGGTTGGTGGTTTCAAAGAAATTCTTTGCTTCAGTTCCTAGCCTGTTTGGGATGATGATCGCCAAACTAGAAACCACCAACCAGCTATTCAATGCAGTAAATTTCGTACAGACTTCACCCCCAAAAGGGGTGCCAAAGGGCAGCAGGCAAGAGACGTGTCCCTGGAAGAGGGCAATTGTGTCATGTTCATTTCACGAGATAGTTGGCCTTGGAACTCTTGAGTATTGTTCTTTTGTATTTTAAATACGCTGTAGGTTGAGGTTTTTGGGGGCCAAGTGCGACTTCTCCCTTTTGTTCACTGTTGACTTTGCTGGGCAATTTCACTTGCCATGCGAGCTGTTTGTGGCGGCTAGATTTAGATCCAAGATCCAGACAATTGCCTGCAGAGGAGTGCAGAAAAATGTGCTGTGTGCTGCCAGGTATGTACTAACATATCCCACACTGTATTAACGTTATATAATGTTATATATATATAATGTACCTACGGACACGCATATCATACAAACAAGTATTTATTTATTTATTTATGTTTATTTATTTATTTTTAAATATTTATAAATATACATGATGTCATATGTGTGTGTACTATGCACTGGTTCGGATGTTCGCTCCGTGCTGCGCGCATTTCGTGCCATTGCCAGGAGGTTCAAGCAGAAGTTGAAGCATCACCAGCTGCTGGCGAAGATGAAGAGAAGATAGTCACAATTTGGGCAGGCAGGGTGAAGACAGGATAAGATCTGAGCCTTCAGAGGGATGTCGTGACTTCATATTTGGCCACTTACGTTGATTCGGTGGCGTATTTAGGAGCACTGATTGCATCACGACTGGGGTATGGTATGGTTGGATCAAGTGGCCAAAGCATTAGTTGAGCCACAGCAGAGCAAAAAGAGACAAAGCAGTCTTGAGCCAAACTGGCTTTTGATCGCTGCATCGGGGTCTGGCAACTTGTGGACAACAGTAGAAACCATGTGGGAGAAGCTTTACCTTGGCCTAAGAAAGCAGCAGGCTTGTAAACTTGAAGCACATTTGAAGCCAATGGAGCATTGAAGCCAATGCCTATGAATGTGGATTGAGATTGAAGGTTGATTATTTGATTGATAATCCCATAATCATAATAATGACCCCTCCGTCCCCAGCCGGCTGCCACCCTAAACCATGAAACCATGACGCGCAGCAAAAAGGAGTGTGGGAAAGGGAAAAAACATATAATATATATATATATATTAATATATATATATATTAATTTTAATATATATATATAATCAACATATAATCAACATTCCATCCATTTCCATCCCATATCATTATGTAAGCTTCATATCATCGGGATAGAGAACATCAGCCGGCAAATCGTCGCCGCTGACCGCGCGGCCTCGGTCGATGTCACAGGCAGCACTGGAAAGGCGCCGGCTCCAAGCGACAGGTGGGATCCATTGATATTTCAGTTGCATTCAATGGATGATTAGTTCTCATTATAATTATTGACTGGCTATTGTATTGGCATGTATTGGCTATTATTCATTAGTTATAACTACTGTAATGTTGATTTAGTGGCTCTGATTCATTGGCTATCATTACAATTTGTTACATATCTGTACTGGGTTTGGTTTGGTAATCCAACCGTTGATTATCACTGATGGTTTCGACTCTGTTGAATTCTCAACCCGATGATCCCAAAAAAGCTCTCAGCTAGTACGGGGTATTGACAGCGTCTTGCAAGCAGACGGGTGAAGTTCATTAGCCTGCAACAGCAGCTGATACCAATATATGGATATACATACATATACATACATACATACATATCCATATTTATACATATATATATATATATAGATACATACATACATACATACATACATAGAATATACATAGAATATACATAGAATATACATAGAATATACATATAATATACATATAATATACACATAATATACATATAATATACATATAATATACATATACATATACATATAATATACATATAATATACAAATAAAATACATATAATATACATATAATATACATATAATATACAAATAAAATACATATAATATACATATAAAATACATATAATATACATATAATATCAATATAATATACATATAATATACATATAATATACGTATTATTTACATATAATTTACATATAATATACATAATATATATATACATATAATATACGTATAATATACATAATATACATATATATACATATACAGATACATATACATTATATATATACATATACATATACATAATATATATATACATATACATATACACATAAATATATACACATTAATAAATATTTAAATATATATATACTAATATACATACATGGATAATGAATGATAATGATATACGTGGTACATTATCATACTAGTGTATTTTGAGCCAACAAAGTTTCGGAGAGCTGACCTGCTGTTCTGATTCTGGTTTCCTTTTTGTAATTTTTACCTGGACAAGTTTCACTAGGCACATCATTCCAACAGGGGGTGTTCCACTGCCATGTTTGATTGCAGGGTATGGATCAAAGTCTGAGATTCCCGCAGCCCCAGAGAATTTGGGAGAAATGTTGGTCATGCTGACTATGACTCATCCATTGTTCCCCTAGTACATCAAATGCAATTGAAAGGAGTTCAATGTGGGGAAACGAATTGCAGTCATGCAACACGTATAAAGTAGAATCGTACAACAGGTCCTGAAATCAAATGATAGTTTGATATTTTTTGATGCCACATAGCTATGGAAAATGGCCCATTTATTTAGCTGATGACCTACAGTACAAATTGTGCAGAATTGTAATCTCATTGATTCTCATTGATTTTCGTTGATGTTCATTGATTTTTATTGATGTTCCAATATTTTCCATATCCATGTTAAGTTACCAGATGGTTGTAGATAACAACTATAAAAGTAGCACTGGTGCTCATCCACTTCCAGCTTCCAGCCAGGAAAGTGGCCCCCGCTGGAACACAGCTGCAGATGCTACGACGACAACGAAGGTATCGCCTGGGGTGGATAAACCTTGATGACGGGCAAGATTCGCCGTTGGTTTCCTCATGTTTCCTTAACCAAAGATGTTGAATTTGGGAATGGGGTCCCCATGGCCCCATGGAATTTCATGGAATTTCCAAAACGCAAATGTTTGCCGGGTTACATCCGATGCTTGATAGCTAAGACGGCCCAATCAGGTTGTTTCCCATGCTTACATCCTTATTTTTGATATTTACCCTCCGGCAATTTAACACAGCTATGAAGAGTGGCCCCTTTCTAGATGATTGACCAATTCAAAATGATGGATCTCCATAGCTATGCTGGTTTGGAGTCCTTGGAGGGACTGGAGGGTCCATATATGATGCTTTCCATGGGAATACTGGAATACTCCAATAGCTGGATGGTTGACAATGGAAAATCCAAACATAAAATGGATGATACCCTCTGGGTAAATTAACATAGACCCTGAGAATCGCCAATTTTTAATGGAAAAACTAATCTTCCAACCCCTATCTGGCAGGGTCTATGTTAATTTACTGGAGGGTAACTAGGGGAAACCTTCATATAGTCCATGTCAATCCGCGGCTAGCCCAGGCTGATGAATCCCTTAGACGAGACGCTGCTGGACACCGCTGGGCTTCAACGACGAGTGGGGCAGCTGGTAGAGTCTCGGCTGTATGGCCATGGGGTTGTGGATATCCCAAATTGTGGATATTATAGGAATATTAGGGATATGGTATTCCAATAATATCATATAAAATCATGTCCCAAATAGGAATATCATATAGATCCCAAATTGAATATAATATTGGAATAGAATAATATACTGCACGAATTCGGAAATGGTATGATGCAATTGCCGCAATGGGATATTATATATATAGCGGCTATATATATATATATATGACTATGGGATATACGTATCGGATATGATTGGGATATATATACGCGGATGTAATATGCGGATGAATTATAATGACCTCACTGTGACGTCACTGGAAGGATACTGTAGCAACGGGAATCCGGGAATCCTCCCCAGATGGCCGTCAAACAATTCTGGGATATATTCGGGATGTATATGATTGTGGTGGGATAGAACTATGGGATATAATTGGGAAATATATACCCTCCGGATATCTCCGGGATCATTTTTGACAGGTTGCTGCAAGGAAGCCATGGGCCATAAAAAAAAGTTCGAAGATTTGCTGTTTTTGGAAATGGTGATTTGCCTGATTTGCATTGACTATGTTAAACGACCCGATATTATTTACAGTATGGATGTATGGGATATAATAGGCATATATAGGCAGGAAAACCCTGCGGACGTTTCGTTTGGGATGATTTATGAATCCGTTCACTATTCAATCCAGATGGTTTCTTGGGAAGTCCTGGGGCTGCACAGTTGAGGAAACACAACTAGCATAAATTCATGTAGGTTTTCCCATGCTTGATGAGTTGCTTGGTAAATTCACCGTCCTGAGAAGGTCGACCACGTCTCGGCCCAGCGGCCCCTGTGTCCCAGGATATGGCTGCCTCAGTCAGTGCCCTTGAGATCTTTGCAGATCGCCAGCCAGTGGACTTCGGCTTGACGGCGCGCCTGTCATGGCAGGGGACGGCTATGATGATCTTTGATGGCGAGTGGTTCCCCAATTTCTTTTGATTTGATGTTGTATTTGGAGTCTGCCAAGCGTGATTCAAGGCCTGATTGGGCCATTTTGTTTGGTAGCAGCTAGCGGTTTCAGTAAATTTCTATGGTTCACAGTTCATAGGCCGGCCCACGGGCGACACCACCCCACTCCATCAAGGGCTATGACTCCCCATGCTTGTATGGCATTGTATGGAGTGAATCCAGAAGGAGCAGCAAAAAACCCCACTGCAGATGAAATTGGACGAGAATTGGCGAGATTTGCATTTCATCCACCAGTATATAGATTATTTTCAGATATTTTCAGAATGAAGATCTGAGTCTCCCAACCAGAAACGGCCCGCAACTCCACGGTTCCCCCTCGGTCAAACCAGGCTGTGGTCGAACTTTGGCTCGGTCCAAACCAGACGTTGCCAGCCAAGAGTGGGGATGACCTGACGCGCTATGCTTGGACGAGTGGCTGGGATGCAACATTTGGACATCGTTTGGGTGTTCTTGGCGTTGATCCACATCCGTAACCCCCAAAAAGATGGAACATTTCATGCCAGGTATTAATAACCCCCCTCCTAATTAAAATAACTAGGGCTTGTCATACAGTAAAAATCATTAAAAAACAACCAACCTGCCTGGCAAAGGGTTGAGATTTCTCTTTTCAGTGGCAACCTCCCTCCCAATGGGGTGAGGTGGTGAGATTGGCATGGGACATCCCTTCAAAACACATTAGTTCTTTAACCAACAATTAAACCATTAAAAGACAATTACATCCTGTTTATTAATAGGGAGGGACCAACCCACAGTAGTATTGCCAGATTTTTTGTGGAACGTGGGTGTTGGTTAATTCGGGCTGCTTATCAATATGAACTTAACATTACATCATATTACATCCCATTGAAATAGTTATGTACCTACTTTTCCTATGATTTTGATCACTTCAAAAAGCATTCCGAGGTTTTTTGTCTGACTCTTGGTCTCCCGTGCTGTCAAATTGTGAGGGCCTCACCTGAGCCCGAAAAACCGGCCCACTGCTACAGGTGACCCATCCAGCCCGCAATGGCTTTCCGCTGTGCAAGTTTCCGAGCAGGAGGGCTGATGCTACCAATGATCTAAGTGGGACCAAATGCTCCATGTGTATCCAATGTGCGATGTGTTGGGAATAAACCCAAGACTTGAGGCAGTTTGATGGCAAATGTTGGTAAATATGTGTAAATATACTTTGCATTTTTGTTTGTACACATCACATAGCCATTTGTTACACATTTTACATATGTTATATATATATAGGATATATATATAGGATATATATATATAGGATATATATATATATAGGATATTAGCATACATATATATATAGGATATATATAGGATATATATATATATAGGATATATATATATATAGGATATATATATATAGTATATATATAGGATATATATATAGTATATATATAGGATATATATATATAGGATATATATATATATAGTATATATATATATAATAAGTGTATTTATACATATATAGAGAGAGAGAGAGAGTATATGTAGAATAAGGCATTCTGGCGTTCTGGCGTTCTGGTTGGCTTGCAGCTGTGCAGCTTCAATGAGGACCGGGCGGAGAAAGCCGTGTACGCTTGGCGACTCAAAGCCGGACACTTAAATCGGGGAACGCCGGGAACGCCCTGCAGCTGAGATGCTCCTGGGCCAAGCTCCCACGGTTGACCAGATGTCTTTCATTGTTTTTAGGGGTACCCCCGTGCCATTTTTGAACAAAGCCATGAACTGCCGCCACTGCCACCTCAAGCCGAAGCAAAATGCTGGCGTTATCTGTTTCATTATTCAGAGCCTTGGCTTGAAATAAGGCTGTGTCTGAAAATGGGGGATTTGATTTGCCTTCGAATTGCGCAGCTCAAAAGTGGAAGAATGATCATACTCCATTGGGTTTTGGGGGTACCCAATTTTTAGGCAAACCCAGTTCAGCAGATGGCATTCTTCAAGATTCAGCACGGGATGCTGGCCCAGCCAGAGACAGCTGAGATAGCTGAGGTGGACAGACCCTTGATGTGCAAATTCCTTCGGATGCATCCTTGAACCGCCTGAAGCGCTTGGTGCAGGCAGTGCTTGCGGATTTTTTGTGCGGTCAGTTTCAAAGCTGGGAGCTGGTGGCTGGGGGTTGGAGAGCTCAATCGACTTAAAGAGTTGGATTTTGAGGAGAGGGACTAAGCCAGAGCAGCTCCTGAACTGATTGGTTGATTCTCATGTCCATCGGTGCACACGGGCTGATGATGGCTGGTTGAAGCCATCAGCAAGTGTTTTATCCTGTTTTAATCCCTATAGGTTGCGCTACCCTTCAGAAACCGTTGTTTTTTAAACCTGGAACATCTTAAAGTCGTGGTTTTTTTTCAAGCCATCATAAGACTTGTATTGTGGTCCAAAACTCAACCATCCCCAACAGATTCAATAGAGGTTTATGATGGCTCACCACCAGCGCCTCATAGCGCCTCAGTCGAAGCTTCAGAAGCCCGTGGCCTCTCTCGCCCGACGCAGCGGACGGCCCTTGCCAGAGCTGGGCTCAGTGGCTGCAGATGCTCGGCGTTTCAACGGGTGCCGCTTGGGGATCGCGGTGGAAATCATGGGAACTGCAGGTGGAAATCATCATGTCTGCAGCTAAACTCCTAACCCCAGATTCATCATGATTCATCATGATTCTAAAATGATTCTAAAATCATCTAAAATCACTTGCATGGTTGAAACATGTTAAAACAGGCAAATGATTTCAGAATCTAGATGCTTTAGCTGTACGTAAGTTTTCCGAAATGCTTTGGGAATCATGGATGGGGGTCCGGATTGGGGAAAAGTGCAGGCGACCAACAGACATGTCAAAGGCATACATGCTGAAATGCTCGGAGGTCCTATGTCATTGGCATAGCCAATCAGAACCATGATAACCAATGATAAACGGTGATTCATGCTGTTCATCCCGACATTTGTTGCTGACAATCACAGCTATATCACCGTGTGATTTTTTTTTAAAGTATATTTGTTTTTAAAAAAAATCGTTGTAAAAACACACTTTCTTTGAATCACGAGTTCATAATAATGGTCCTTCTTCATAAAGGTGTGTACATGTTGATTCAGCCCCCTATTTGTTGCTGTTTAAAACGCGGTTGTTTTGTTGTTTTACAGTCACATTTTGCATCATTTTTCTTTGGATCAGTATGGGTTGATATAGTCATCCACAACTGTTAGTTACACCTCCACCTCCGCAGCGTGTTATATACAGATATACACATATGCCAGCTTGTGGGGGTTATTTCTGCCACAGTTGTTCCCATTGATCAAATCAATGGCCATTTCAGGTACCTAAATTGGAGATACTGTGCCATATAAGGCCGGATTTTGATATGTTTGGGGTGCATATAAGCTTACATAGTCCTTACAAACAATTATATTTGGTAGCTCCAATTTAGGATATTTAGGTTTCTGAAAATCATTGTTATTTGCTGCAATGTTATTTCTATATACAGTAGTTATATAGATGTAATTAGTGTCCATCGTTATTTATATAGATATATATTATATAGCCATTATTAGCACCATGCCTTTTTTCTAATCTCACCAAGCCGAGCTGCTCTCAGCAGGAAGGTTTGGAGGACGGCGAGGAGCTTACGGTGGTATTACAGCAGCATGATCGTTTGTGCTCCCATCCAGACGGTGCCTGAGCCACATGGAGACGTGGAGTTGGGGATCCCTATGGATCCCTATGGTTTATGGGAATATATACCCTCTGGTTATGTCAAAATAGCTATTGAAAATGGCCATTTATAGTGAGTTTTCCCATTAAAAATTGTGATTTTCCATAGTTATGTTAGTTTACCAGAGGGTAGCTATGGTATGCTATGGTTAATGATGGTGAATGATGTTTCATAAACCCAACAAACAAAAAGCGTTCGGGGGCGACTCTGGATCACTTCACCTTGTACTATTTTGATGCTGGATTGAGTGTGGTGTACTTTTCATTTGTGGATTGCGTTGCTTATTTAAATTTGTTGAGTCTATTTATTGTGGACCCCGACCAGTGGGTTTTTTTACCGGTGGATCTCTTCCTTTTTCCGCAAGCCCATTACTAATTACACGATGTTTTTCTGCAATCATCTCATTTTCGAGTCTGGCGCTAGATCCCGGTGTATGCGGAGGTTTATCGGGAGAAAACATAGCATTCACCTGCCATAACATGCCATAACTTCTAACGTCTTCTAAATCCAAGCCACAGGCGCCAGGGGATCAGTCATTCCAGCTGGACCAGCAACAGCCACGCGATAAGGCCTTTGCTTTTCAGCCATTCGAAGAAATGGCACCGTGAAGTTCTGGGGCAACGCCCTATGCGAAGTCTGCGGAGGGCCCCCAGACTTCCCCCCACGCACCGAGTTTCTCGTCAGCCGAGTTACGAAGTTACGATCCCCGCTGATCCCGCTGGCTGCACCGTTGCAGCATTCCCTGATATGGGTATGGATCAATACCTATTAATACCATTTTTAGGGGAATGAACATCCATTTACCAGCTATTTTGATGTTCACCAGGGGTACAAGGTTTTGACACACTGCCATATTCCCTGCTAAGGCTGTTTCACGTGCAAAAGATCGTGGCAGCACAAAATGCATTTGCCGCCATTCGGACAGATGGCCGCGTGGTGACCTGGGGAACCCTGGCTGAGATCGTTCGATGTGTTCTTTTGCAAATGGTCCAGTCCCATGCCAGTCCCATGCCAGCACGCTCAGTTTTTGACCATGTTTTAAGGATTTTCACTGAAGCTCTCAGCTTGTTGGTGACTGGCTTAGGTTAAAACCCGAAGCACAGACATGATAAGCCGGTGACGTTGCTGTTACATCCATACATCTTCAAATATGGTGTGTTTGTTCACGACAAACTGCGATTTTACCATCGTTATCTGCCATTATCATCCTACATCACCCATGATCTTCCTTTTTTATCATCTCCTGGTATCATCATTTATCACCCTTTATCATCCTTCGCTGGTGGCTGATGAAGATGGATAAGACGGAGACTGATCAAAGATGATATGCATCACTTCTCCAGGATGAGTTTGCCATTTGTTACCATCAGTTTACCATCAACCATCATCAACCTGCCTTCCTTGCAGAACTAAAAACCAAAATCATTCAAATCAAGATCATGAACCCTATGTTTCATGTCTATTGTTTAAATAAAGGTCCCTTCACCATCCTTCACCCGTTTATCATCTATTATCTATTTCTCATCCATATACTCGTTTATCATCACCCCCAGAATTGTTTAAGAATGTTTAAGATGTTTAAGGGAAGATTTAGGGTTGAAACCCCAATCTTTGGGGTTTGAACCTCCTATCATCCCCTATGTTTATCTATTTTTGGGCTTTGAAATCCCCTTTTGGGCGAAAAAAACCATGTCCAAGCCATGGAGTTCCAGGGGAATGTTGCGCGGGTGGCGAGACCAGCCCGGCCGTGGCTGAACAGTTGGTGGAGGTGCAGGAGATTTCTGCTACCTCCAAGGCGCGGATCCCATGGGATCTCCCCATGGGCTTCCATGGAGCCGGGGCAGCGTCGGAAACTAAGTCATGGTACACCTTGATTTGGTTTGATGATGATGATGATGATGATGATGATATTGTTATTAATTATTATTATTTGGGGCCCATGATGCATGCCCATGACTTCAGAAAGCGCCAATTTGATCATGCCATGGGGTTTCGCTGGAGACGAGGCCTAGGGATAGAATGGGGGTATACCTCCAAATGGGAATGTAACTTGGGGAGAATGATGCGAAACCATCAAATAAGGGGGAGGTATCCTATTTTCAGACAAACCCCTCATATGTGAATATATCATATATATATATATACACGTGTATGTATATATATATATATATGTGTGTGTGTGTGATTAATAATGGTCATTGCTGAGTATTATTACTGGAAGAAACCTGCATTCAGCCAACAACAATTATTTTCTTGGATTTGATAGGGTTTAGAGGGAATTAACCATCAACAATGAGAACAATGGGGCGGGCATATAATGTGGGCAAAAGTGCACCGACCTCACTGCAACGTCACTCCAAGTCGACGAATGATTAGACATTCCCAGATTAATGTGATATACGGACCATGTACTGTACATACGTTTTAATGCTGGAAAATCATGACAAAATATCCATTGATATTTTTCTTCGGTGCAAGTTCCGGCATGAACTTTAATACCCGTGCAACTGGATGATTTGATGCTAAACGTGAGCAACTTTATGAGTCAACAATGGCTGTCCATGTTTGAGCCATACCCAGATGGAGATTCATCAGTTCATGAAGGTTATCCCATCATGAAAATCCTGAAGAGGATGGTTCCAACCCAACTGACTAGTACCATCTGGTTATTTGACATAGCCATGGAAAATCACCATTTACAATAGGTAAACCATCTATAATAAATGGGCCATCTATACCATGGCTATGTTAGTCATAACCAGAGGGTACATGTCTGGAATGGGTTGCTCAACCGCTCAACCACCAATCAGATGACAGATGACTGGAAAATCACCTTTTGCGCCAAAAGAAGCTGTTCAGGCCTTCGCAGCCATCCGCTCAGATGGTTCTGTTGTTACGTGGGGCTTCGCATATCTCGGCCTGGGGGCTCAGAGGGGTCAACGACCCAATTTCCAAGGGAAGCAACACCTAAATTGCGCCTTGTCATTTTCATTCGGCAGGAAGGTACTTGCAGATCAAACTCCTTCAAAACTGGTAAGGAAAGTTCCTATGCAAATGTTGGTTGCGACATGTTGCATCAGGCCTCTTCATCCAGGTATACCAGTAGTATCAGCAGGAATCCCTGTGTTTTGCAGAGAAAAGGGTGGTGAACCCCCAACCTTTGGCAGGAGGCAACAGCAGCGCAGTGCAGTTGGAACTGGTGGATGTAAAGGACCCCGAAGCCGTATGGCAAGGCAGCGATTCTTAAAGCCAATATAGACCAATTGAAGTACGCAGGCATAGCTTCGCAAGGGATGTCGACCTTGTCAAACAACTTCAAAATAAATGGTGACCCAAACATTCCCAAACAAGAAACACATAGAAACACCAAACAGTGATATGATATGTCTCCATTTAGGATGAAATTGTTTGGCATGTGAGCAGCGAAGATCAGTCAAAGCACTGGAAAGTTCAGTGCGACGATGTTTGTTCCATTCTTTTGCAAATAGTTTGGCAACGCACGGAAACATGATGAAACATGGGTCCATTCCCCTCAATAATTTACAGCTAGCCTTTCAATGAACAGGGTGACCCGGGTGGAGGATGGTGGGCATGAAGCAGTGGTGCAATATGAGTCTTACCCTCTGGTAAACTAACATAGCTATGGAAAATCACTAGTTTTAATGGGTAAATCCACTATAAATGGCCAATTTTCAATAGCTATGTTAAATTACCAGAGGGTACCCAACAACTGCAGGAGATTGTGGGCTCTCCTTTTGCCTTCGCAGCAATCAGAGCTGATGGAGCCGTAGTAACCTGGGGTACCCCCAACCGAGGGGGCGACAGCAGCGCTGTGGCTGTGCCTATGGCAGCGCTTAAAGGGTGGGATGGGATTGGCATGTCTTTCACTTGCAGTGGAAAGACGAGTGGTTGGTGGAGGGCGGGACTTTTCGTAACTAGTACCTAGTGGAACTTTCAAATCTTGGCTCACCACAGACGCAAACGCAAGTTGACAAGTCCACACCAGAATTCTCAGTGATATCCGTATGTGTTCGATCTTTTCAGTTAGGAAAACGTGGAAAACCCATCAATGCCTTTACATCAAAACCATCAATGATGATTGCCACATATTGCCACCAAATTCCCGCCCTTCCGCCTAGGACCAGCTGAGAAAAGATGTGATCTCCGTGGTCGCGAGCAATTTGGCTTTCACTGCGCTGAAAGCCGACGGCACGGTGGTTTCTTGGGGCGACCCGCTGCGGGGCGGCAACAGAAACTTGTCTTGGCTGCCAGGGAGTGAGAAGCTGGCAGGTTGCTGGGAATGAAATCAAAGGTTTGTTTGGAATTGGCAAGGTGCTGGACTGGAGTTCTAGATATTTCCATGGTATTTCTAGATGTCACATGTTGACAGCCAGGGCCTTGACTTTTGTGCAAGTTGATGAGTCATGAAAGGTTTATCCGTTTATCCACAAGGAAACTTGGACTTAGAAAGATCATGAAAGATCCCTGGCCTCAGAAGCTCCCTGCACCCAGGCCAAGATGTCCAGAAGGACTTGAAGGGTGTGAAGATCCTTGGCAAAGGTTGGCGGGTGCCACGGAAAGTTTGCAAAATATCAGAGGATGTCAAAGGTAACCTTGCCCCACCGATCAGTGGCTGCTAAACTGCTAAACCCCTGTTGGTTGATGATATTGGGTTATAGTAACCCATGAGAAGATATAGAAAAGTAGAATCCCATTAAAATATATATTTAAATAGTGGCTTAAGTCACTTTTCTATCTTCTTAGGGTTTATTACATATCCCATAGGATCCATGTATGGTATATATGGTATATATGCTAACATTTGGGGTATATTGATGGTAAATGTTACCATATATAGCATACATGGATCCTATGGGTATTATTATAATCCAATCATGTCCTGTTTTCATCACCGCCCAGGCTCATCCGACCCTGCAACGCAGCATTTGCAGCCCTGCGGCATGACGGCCTCGTCGTTACGTGGGGAGATCCGGAACGCGGTGGCAACAGCAGCCCAGTGCCTTTCCATGCATTTGCTTATGTAGATCATTATAGACTGATTCTGAATCAATACAGATCATATATATTCTTATATTTACGTATACGTCCCTGTATGGGTAATCATAAGCAAGATACTTTTACGTGTGCATGTATGTGTGCATGTATATATATATATACGTAACAATGGTTATGTATGCATTTTTTGAAGTAGCAAAAAAACATGAAAGGCATAGAGGCAGATGTCCTCTCAAGTCGGAACTTAAACTGCTGGAAAATGTTGACAAAGTGGCATGGTTTTCATGGCATGTTTTGCTCAGGGTCCGCCGCAGGGAGTTTAAAACTGTCATTTACTGGTTGCTGACTGTTGAATTACTTGGTGCCATTGGAGGTTCAATGTCGGCTGCATGATGTAATAGACATTCAGGCGGGTTTCGCTGCAGGGAAGGCCAAATCGATCCCAGGCCAAGATGTCAATACATGTCGAATTGATTCGTTCCAGGATGTTCCAGTCATGGCGGTCCAATCATGGCTACGAGAACCTCATGAAAATCACCGGGTTTTTCCTCATGCAAGAACCCAGACTCTTAGATGAAGGGAAAAAACAACGTGTCTAGAATTATTCAGAAGTGTTCGCTCAATGCATTGCATTTTGGAGGCCAAATGAGAGATCATACCAACTTCTACCATTTGGGGGCCATTGAAACATCCAAAAATTGGGTGAATTCTTCGGTTTGCTGCACGATGATTCCAGGCAACAAAGGGTGCCTTCGCAGCCCTGCGGGCAGATGGTCGGGTGATTGCTTGGGGAGTCGCTTGCATCATTTCGATGGTGCCTTTTGAAGGGGGAAAATGACCCTCTTGCACTCGAAGAGTTTGCCATGAAAAACGACCATGTTTAGTTTAATACATTAAGTAGATAATGCTGAATTCCAGAGGGCATTTTTGTTGCCGTGAAAATGGGGAGGATCGAATGCCCAGAGGAAGCAAGTTACGTTTATCTTAGACTCAGCCCTTTCTCTACAAGAGGCATAGTGGCATGAAGTTCATCCGTTCATCCCCAAAAATGCCCAGGACAGCAGTTGTGGTGGCGACAGCTGCACGGTCAATGATGAACTATGGGCTGTGAGCCAAATCTGTTCCTCCAGCAAAGTCTTCTCTGCAATTCGTGAGAACGGATGCTGGGCTGAACAGATGCCATGATGTGCCATGATGCCATTTAATCATTATGTCAGGTTATTCAGATCCCATGTTTGGCGGTGAAATCACCATCAAAAGTGCTGAAGACCCGTCCATTCCTCTCTGGCTCAGGTGATGTGATCATTTGGGGCGATGGACCAGGGCCGATGATTATGCCTGGTAGATGCTTTCAGTTGGGTCTCAAAGTGCTTTGGCCAAGAAGCTGGGGGTCTGCAAAAGTTCATGGGCGCCTGGCGCATGAAGCAATAGGGAAGTTGAAGGGCGTCCCAATGGGCCTGTGCAAGGTGTCATGTGATATTTTGAAGTGCCATTCAAGCCTCCCCGCAAGACATACAGTATTTTGGTATGCCTGAAAATGAGGTATACCCCCAATTATAGCCATTTAGCCGGGATAATGATCAGCAAAACCATTGGGTAAAAAGGGGTACACGACATTTTCAGACAAACCCATTAGGCCTGCCTGCAGCCGCTGAACAATTTCCAGCCATACCAAGGATGTTCGACAGGTGGTTTCCTGCTCTGAAGCCTTTGCGGCCCTGCACAGCCATGGAAAGGTCACCACATGGTCAAGGTTGGACAATCCTTGGACTCTGTTTCTGCTATTTTCTGCTATTTTCTGCTTGGAAATCTTGAGACATTTGAGACCTCTGTGGCTTTGAGGCTACAAAGTGGTATCAACATGTTGGCCCAATGGCCCAAGAAGTCAGTGAGTTTGTACATCTTTGTAGCGCCCAAAAATTTGTGAAGCCATGTGCAACCCATCCGTTGCCGTGGCTCGTGGGCTCCGGGCGGCAGGATGGGCAAATTCCAGCTATCGGAACCTGAAGACATTGAGGAGATCAGAGCATCCAGTGGAGCATCTTGGCACCTGAAGGGCGGCAACTTGGTAAGTACAAAATTTACAAAAAAATCAAGCAGTTCATCGAGTTCTGTGAGCTTGTGACCCACAAACCACCGAAAAAAATATCAGGCAATTCCAAATCCACATGTATGGGTTTGGGTATTTAGGGGAGTCAAGTGAGTCAAGTATACTTAGACTTAGGTTCTATACCCGCAAATTGATGAATTGGGTCAAATCGGTACAGTTCTAGATGGTTTTAATTTGTTCTAGTGAGGGTTCATTTCTCCTGTCTCATCCTGCTGCTGGGGGCACTGAGGTGCCCCGCCAGTTGTGTTTGTTGCTTCAAAACCCCCATTTAATCCGAGCTACAGCTTAGATAATTCCACCATAAGTCCTAGTTAGCCAAGTTACAGTGTATACCAACTTACCAACTTACCTATCTAGGGGCCTTTTCTTGTGGCTGTTTTTTTTTTTTAATGGAAACATCTATCTAAAAAATCAAAAAAACACGATCAGACCCAACGATGGCTCCCAGCAATTGAAGGCTTTCGCCGCCATTTCCAGCGATGGTTCCCTGCATGCTTGGGGAGACCCTGCCGCAGGGGGCAGCCTGGATGTGGCATGGCTGAAGTATGTCACAGCTGTATGGTGCTGTAAGATGGTAGGAAGTCCAGATTATTCAAATCGTTTCTTAAATAAAGTGTCTTCTAAGAAAACCACATATGTATGTTGATATATGTTGAAGATATTTGAAGATAATAAGCAAATTGTTCCAGTCAGCTTTCCCATCAAGCCCGTGAAAAGCGTGGAACATCTGACTTATGCTTACTTTTTGGTGCGTACAGAAACTTGCTAGACACCTTTCAGGCCAGAAGTTCAGCTTCCCAATGGTTCCCAAGCTCAATCATCTCCATTGAAAGCATGAAAGCGATCCATTCCCAGCCGCCCAGGTGGTCACAAGTCTTGGACCCCGGACTTGGACGGCCCGTTTGAAGCGCCGGCGGGTGACGCGCGAATGACTGGCGCAGCAAATCCTGGACCGGAGGAAACAAAACGATGGAAAATCACCATTTTTAACGGGTAAAATCAACTAATTATAAATGGCCAGTTTCAATAGCTATGTTAGTTTACCAATGTTTACCAGAGGGTAGATCTATCTAGATCATCCGGTGAGGTTTGGATTTGCCCAGACCCGGGGGAAAAACTCCACGTCGGGTCGCCTGAAATGGTCCGGCAGGCGGACATTTCACCAGAAGGCCTGCTCCGGTTTCATTTTGGACTTTGTAAAGATCATTGTAGATTACAGGATGGGGCCCCCAAGATAGCGTTCAGTTGCCTTATAAGTGGCTGAATTCTATGGTTTATGATTGATATAACTATAGTTGATGGGGATTATTTAACTGGGGTGCCCCATCCTGTATAGATGCAGGTCGACTCAACGAGAAAAAGTTCCCTTGTCAAACAGATCATGCACAGAAACTGAAATGGGGATGAAAACATGTGAAATACATTGAAATATCATATTTGAGGGATGAACATTCATATGTATATATTATATATATATAGTCATATCATGACTACAAATCCCAGCTCTTTTGGTGTTCGCCGGGGCCCCTAAAAAGTTGCGAAGATCAAACAGTTCTCTCGGCGAGATGTAGAAGATTCACTGGAGCCGGGGCTCTTCAGATCCCGTAGGCTAGTTACTGAACATCACGCGGCTAGCTGCAAGTTGCTTGAAAAAAGAAGACGTCCCTCAGTGGGTGTTTGGATGTCCTGCGAAATGGCCTTACCAAACTGGGGGGAAGTTTGGTAATCCATTGGAATTGGGCATGCCATGGCATGCCTTATTTTCAGACAAACCCAGTAGATGGAAGATGTTCCATGCAACAGCCCGCTGGCTATATATGCGAACCAACCAGCGACCTCTAAAACAAGCCAAGCATAGCCTAGCCGCCATTCTGAGGTTGAAGTGAAGTCTTCGGTGGCTTGGGTTTTGTTCGGAGTTGGTGGGCAATGGAGTGGTGCTGTGACTAGGGTGTCCTGAAAGATGACCAAGCCATTGGAGATCATTGGAGGGTCAATTGAACTAAGGATGCCTCTCCGGCCGCACAGCTGCAAAGATGACAGGTGAAGCATTCCGGTGCGAAATGTGGTGAGAGGTTTTTCCTTGAAATGAGGGATGCATAGTTCATCACCCAAATATCGCCAAATACGGTTTTCTCTGAAATAAGCTTCCCCATTCCATCCATTAGTGCAGCATCATTTTTCTGTCAAATGGCATAAAATGGCCATAGCTATGATCACATGTCTTTGCCTTTCTCTTGTCCTCTCAGACAGCTGAACTCCTGAAGATGGCTAGAGAGAGAGAGGGAGCTCCATACGATATGCTTCGATCACAGTCAAATCAAGACTCAAATCCTCGAGTGGAACTCCTTGGTTTTATGCTTGTCGTTGAAGTTGGTAGTCAAGTGAGGTGAAGACCGCGGAAGACAACGCTAATGCTGACATGGACTGCCAGCTGGGGTTCGTCAATCACATGCAGGGATGAAGTTGAAGCTGGACCAGCCTTTGTTTGGTAGGTTCATGGGCTCATAGGCTTTGTTTTTTGCACTAAGTATAGCAACCCCTGAGGTAAGATAGATTCTAGTAACTTGAGATATAGAAAGTTATAATTACATTCAATATTTTCTATTTTTGGTGGTTTACTTAACTGGAAAAATACACGAAGCAGCATATACAGTGAAAATTATTCGTTTAAGTTTGTTTCAGGGTGTATAGAATGAGCTATGGAAGAACCATAATGGCCAAGCCCCCAAAATCATCCAAAATCCGACTCCCGGATGCCTTGGCAGGAGTTTTACAAAGATGAGTGGATTCCTGTCATCCTCCCACATGACCAGGATGCTACTGGGTTGAACATGTTGAACAGCGGTAGCCATGGGGTCCTCAATAGATCCATGATCCGAGGCGTCCACACCCTCACCGGTGGAGATTGCCAGGCTCTTTCAGGAGGCTGCCTTGGGATCAGGGAGGTGATCATGGATGCCGAAAACAAGTGGTACCCTCTGGTAATTTAACGTAGCTATTGAAAATGCCAATTTATAGTGGATTTTCCCATTGAAAATTGTGATTTTCCATAGTTATGTTAATTTACCAGAGGGTATACAGTCTACACGTGGTTTCAGGTTTCCTGAAGTGTTTCTTCAAGTGTCTTTCCCAGCTTTCCTCTAAGCATGCCATTTCTGAGGCAGTGATTTTAGTGGTGGTCTTGGTGCCAGCTTTTTTGATGCCATGCCCGGCCATGCCCTGACCTCAGGTGGACCACATCATTCGGGGCAAAAAGATCGGCCGCGATGTGGATCTGGCAAATCTGGCGGCTTGGCATCATGCGGTCGCTGAAACTTGTGGGGATGGGGGCATTCAGACATAGACCCCAACACACGGGAATCAAAAGATAATTCTGGCAAACTCAATGTAAACCCATTAGTTGTTCAAGGCTAAATCTCACCGCAATTGTGGTTCCATGTGTGTTCTGTGCCATATTTATTTTACAGAAACACTAGCGCGGTAGATTTCATTATATTTCATTGAATTTCATGAATAGATATGAGTTGTGAATCAATCATGATGTTAGTTCCTGTTCATAGGACTGGTGCACAATGGATGAATGACATGAACATCCATTATGGGTCAATCTTGTTGAGCCATTCCATGGGGGTTTCCATAAATGGGGGTTCCCAAGGTTTCCCAAACAGAAAGCCACCGGGTCCCCAGGAGAAGGCTGCGGCATCGTTGGGCACAGCACTCTGTGCGGATCTGGCTCGAGCATTAGAGGCCGACACCTGCGAGGCGATCCAGGTGCGGTCTTAGCATGGGGATCATCCATGATCATCCCACAGTGAGATTAAAACAGATGGGGGATGAATACTGACATGTGAATATATATATATATATGTACGTGTTTTTTATACGTATATATATATATATGTGTGTGTGTCTATATATATATATATACATTATACATTTATATATATACATGAAGATTGAAGCAAGACTCAGATTTTTTTCGAACAGATTTGGCCATGTGCTGGTCTTGGCCCAGAAGATTCGAGGGCCCTTTTGTCCAGGGTGTGATTTCCTCCACCTGGGCAGGGAGCGATCAAGCGGGGTCGCGGGGCGGATCTGCCCAAACGACTTGTGGCCATGAAGCGGCTCTGCGAGTTGCAGCCACCTGGCCGAGGTGATCAAAGATGAAAGATGATGAAAGTGAGAAAGCAGATTTTGGATAGCTCCAGTACCAATTCAAGATATAGATTATCAATGATTATAAGATTTGGGACGAGATTTTCATAACAATTATATAATCTATCTGGGTTTGTTATAATATCATGGTTAACAATATATCAGATAATCTATCTGGTTGTTGGGTATCTAACCATAAATATCATTTTAACAAACCCTGGGACTGACGACGCGCTGAAAAAAGATGGCCTTGGCCAAGGCTGCACCGTGCTTTAGCCACAGGGGATGAGGCGGATCTCACCATGGCCCTACGAGAGGTGCCGTGGCCTCGAAAACCATGGTGAAAAATTGTAAAAACCCATGGTTTTCTGTGGGATTTTTCTGGTTTGTGGATGGTTGTGGTAAAACCAGGGTTTTCTGTGATTTTTCCTCTTCTATCCCCAGGGAATTATCTCATGCCACCTGTGCCCCATAAGAATTTAACACATGAAAGACCCCCTAAATGGGACCCCAAAATGAATATATAGATGAATAGATCATAGAATCATAATAGATCCACTACTACACAGGGTTTCTTCTGAGCTTGTGTTTACCTCCACGCAGCGCAATTATATAATGATTTTGTATTCAAGCTTAGCATACCCACGCCTGTACGACATGTGTTTTGAGTCGTTTCAGTGGTTTCATGTGTTTTCGGTTACTTGAAATTTTGCTTGGCGCAGAATTAAAGCCGATCCTGTTGTTTGGGGTGAAGCTTCCTGCGCGAAAACAGCGGACTTGGATATCTTGGATTTGAAGCTACAATACCAATGCCAATGTAGATCAAGCAAACCTCACCTGGTTGTTATTTGACAAGAAGGACTTACTTAAAGTGTCCTAAAGTTAGTCAAGATTTTCCCTGGTGATGTGGAGCAGTGGAGCCATAATCTCTGTGGAGTTGCGTTAAAACCAAGGCCTCCCGCCTGGGTGGGGACGATGCGGCCAACTTCAAGAACTTCGCTGCAGTGAAGCAGAAACTCGCGCACCTGCGGGTGCGATCGCGATTTAAGCAGCTTCAATCAGCTTCAACTTGAGAAATTCGCTTGGCACTGGAGCACTAGAGCCACTTTAGGATTTTAGGAACCTTTTTTTGTGGGAGGGCCATGTTTGATCCGTGGTTTGTTGCTTTATGATGTCATGGTGGGGATCGACGATTAGCAGAATGCGTGCGACCTACCACAGCGCGCACACAAGATCCCATAGTTGAGGTAGATAGGCTAGCTAAGAGTTTCTTGGAATGTCGCTTTGACATGTTTTGAGGCTGTGCGCTGCCAGAGTTGTTCCCAAAAACATGTTCCATGTTGGAGTTCTCAATTTGCTCCCAGGGGTCTCTCCTGGGGAATGTTTGGCCAGATGAAGCGACTTCAACAGCAGTCCTTGGACGTGATCAAGGGCGATGGGAAGGAGCGCCAGGGGAATCCAAGCTAATCAGTTGTCAGGCATCTTAAGCGCTTTGAAACATGTGAAATATATGCGACATGACCTATATAGCATATATTATAATATAATTATTATATAATAATTAATTCTCATTGATTATTTATATGATTTTATATGCATGTATGTATGTATATCTATCTCAGTTGTTGCAGCCATCCTTCCAGAAAGTTTGTCACACCTTGTCACGGCAGGATTTGGATTCGGTGATGGCCGTGATCAGCAGCTTGATGGATCAACCGTGGCAGCGGACCATTCCCCATTTACCCTCTGGTAAACTAACATAGCTATGGAAAATCACCATTTTGTATGGGAAAATACACTATAAATGGCCATTTTCAATAGCTATTTTGACATAACCAGAGGGTAGATTCATTCAGGAAATGGGTTCACGGTCCGCTGTCCATTTAGAAACAGGAAATGGAGAGTCAAAAGAGTTGATCTTCCACGAAAAATTGGGGAATTGGGGATTCGGAATATCAACTCTTTTATGACTTTCAATGATTTTTTCAAGTGCCCTCCGGTAATCAGCCATGGCGGACAATTTCCCATTGAGTTCGATGATGTTCTCAAAAAGGGGGATGTTCTATTTCCAGCCAGGGTACTTTAGTTCGACTGTCCTGTCCTGTCAGACGTGGCCTTGCGTCGGAGTGATTGGGATCGCGACTGGGACCAGATTTGGCTGGAAGTCCTGCAAGAAGGTGGGGAGCACTGCTGACCTGCTACGGCTATGGCGAAGGATTATGGGGTCAAAAATGGTCAAAAAAAAAGGAGTTGTCATGCTTGTTTCAAGAGTCCAAACATGGTTAAAGATGGTTAAAGTATGTTAAGGTGTCACTTGTGCTGCTCATAGACACTCTGAATTCACAGCTGTGAAAGTGGATGGTGTGGATGATTTGATATCATGTTCATTTGGAACATGAATTCAGCCCTTGGCCCGCCCTTGGCAGGTCGTGCACAGGTGAAGAAAATGATCGACACTGCGAAAGCTTCAGGCGTGATCTAACCTGGCAGCCAGGGAAATCGCCGTTTATTATGGGCAAATCGAGGGAAATCGCCATGGGAAGTCACAACGACTATCATCGTGGCATCATCGTGGCCCAATAATGGGGGGACTTGAAGAGTTCATGTTGCCACTGCAAGGTCAGCATGAAAAGGTGGCACAGATTTTCCGCTTGGCAGACAAGTATGGCCTTCGAAACTTGGATGAAGTTCCAGAGGATTCACTGCAGATGGTGACAAGATGAGCTGAAAAACACACTAAAAAAAAACTTCACAAATCCCAAGGCTTCTTTGTTTGGGGGTTCATATGCCGACAGTAACGTTGACTGTTCAGCATGTCACCAGTGTAGTCCACTGGCGCTGGCTAAGGAGTGATTGCTGCCCATGCTGTGTCCGTTTGGGAGGATCTGTCGGACGGTAGGAGGTGTCCGAGAATCCTTTTACCATCTACAATCAGATCATATCAGTTCCATGGAATCGCCATGTAATTATGAACAACTTGGTGGGATTAAATCAGAAGCTCATTGCTCTCCTGTGAAAAAGTGCAAAATGTTTGGGCGTTGTCTTAAGATGATCGTTTTTTTGCTAGAACGATCCTGTTTTAATTCGTTTGAATTGATCCAATGTCGTTCTTTACTGTTGACCGCTGCTGCCAAAGGGCCCTCACCTTTGCAGGACACCATCCAAGCCCATCGGCAAGACATGAAGGTTTTGCTCCAATTGTGCAGGCAGATGGGGTCATTGGGGATGTGCCAAAGGTAGATATGAGGTAGATCAGGTAGGTTGCTGATTGCCAGGGTTCCTCCAACCAATGGGAAGGAACCATGATTAAGGCCGAGCTGGATTTGAAGTTGTAGGATCCAGCAACACCTGACCTTATCTACTTGAGTTGATGAAATCTGGCCCACTGGCAGTGGAAGGTTAGGTTTGAGTCGGTTTTTATCTGAACATCACCATTTTTACTGCTTGGCAATGCTTGGCATATCTTGGCATCGACCGCCGCAGTGCTGCGAACATGTGGGGCTGCAAGAGCTTCTTATCCGATGCACAAGAGCCTCTCCTGACACAGGTGGCCGAGTGTCACGGCTGTCACGGCTGGACTGGTGAAGCACCGCTGTTTACCAATCGATAGAGTGGGGCCAACATGTCAACGTATGTCAACGAAAACAGAGACTTTGACCAGCCAACATGGGGTGAACATCTCCATTTTTCACGGTTGATAGTGGGTGATATATGGTTGATTCCTATGGTGGGGGGGTTGCTGCGAGTGTCGTTGAAGGCTGTTGGTTGATATTTGTCATTTGTCAATTGTGTATGGTCGTTTGTTGTCTTGCGTGATAACTTGATGGGACAGGGAGGGGTGGGGAATCGTGGCGAAATTGTTTCCGCCATGAAACAGTTCTTCCAAGTAATCAACACCTGGTGCCCCGTGGTGTTTGGAGAACTTTGGCTATTTCCCCTGCAGTCTTTGGGTGCCACTTGGATTCACATGGTATACACCTTTGCACGTTTGCAGTTGAACGGTGAGGGAGCACTAGCAGTCACTAGCCAGGACGGTTTTCCTCCAACGGCACCCTGAGGTTGGAAAAGAAATGGGACAAAGGAGGCGCCCCGTTGGCCAGACAGCAGTTCAAGACCTTGGACAAGGAGCTGACCCAGAAATGGGGGAATGGAAAGGTCATGGATGGTAGGGGCCGGCGTTTCTGGCATGGTCTTTATTCTTTCCGTCTGTCTGCCTGTCTGCCTGCCTGCCTGCCTGGCTGTTTGTCTGTCTGTCTGTTTGTCTGTCTCTGCGCGCGTGTGTTTAGTCGAAAGTTGAACCAGAAGTGTCAAGTCTAAGTGGACGTGGAAGTGAACAATATAGGCCTGCCCCACCCACCCTCTCAGCGACATATACTGACTGATGTGACCGCCAATGACCCAATCGGATGATTTCCTTTTACAGGGAAAACGGACTTGAATCTGGCAGTTCTGCGTGTGGATTTTCAAGGGCCCAGCAGCAGCAAAAAAACAGGGAGCTGAACCCTTTCAAAGGATGGCTTTGCAGCAAACTCACGGGTATTCATGTCAATCAAAAAGAGCCTTTGCGAGCCAGAGTGTAGCACCCACCCGACCAGTTTGGGAATGGGTTGGTGTCAACCCCTCGTGAACCAACCCTGGTTGGTTAATAGGTTTAATATGGGCGCCCCGGCATTCCCCAAATGTGATAGTGATCTTTGCTACTCAAATGGTAGCCCCGCACTTCAACAGCTCAGCCGTAAGCGGAGGAGATCAGCAAACTTTTTGAAAAGGCGCAGTCTGGGTAGCGTCAGACGTGGAAATCAGAGGGGGAAGAGCCCACTCCAAGGCGATTGAGAATAGATTGAAAACAGATTTAAACAGATTGAAAATAGATAATAATAGATATAGATAGTACATTGAGTATGATTCAATAGCATCGCGATATGAAAATTCAACCGTGTGAAGCCTTCGAATGAAGAAACTCGTTGAGCAGTGCAGGTGGCACATGTGAAGGGCTGTCAGCACATTCATGGCGGATTTCCTCATGTTTGGTTGAAGCTGCCAGGATAGCCATGAATATGAGTTGTTAAGTCCGCGCGAGAGATGCGAGAGTCGGTCATTTGCGCATTTGACTCATTCAAGGATCTAGGTGTTTCATGCTGTTTCTATCTTTTCCTTTTTTCTAGGGCAGTTATCTCATGTTTATCCCATCCCATAACCATATGATAATCCAGGTATTCATTGCCGCAGTGCCAGCTATCCCTACACTACCAAGGTGCCAACTTCACTGAAGGACGCAGCTGATGTTCAGAATGCAAGGGATTGAGGCCATTCATTTCATACCTGCGGTATCTCAGGATGTGATACAAGTGATGCATCATCAAGATATAGTTGTAGTTACATTCCTGCGCAGATATACATATTATACCAAAAACATCCAATAAGAAGTCAGAGTCATGTTCACTTGGCGTCAAAAGTGAAATCCAGTTGCTATGCGGGCACGAGAATCACGAGAATAAGAATCCGTAGGCCTGAAACTTTGCTCATGTTTGCATGCCCTGCAAGATGTCAACTGTTCATAGGAACAATGCCCAGACTCCTGTGAGCTGATGGTTGATAGATCTACGTAGTATACATATAATATATGTGCATAGATATTTACATATCTATCTATTTCCTCTAAATTATATGATATTATCTATGTGTAGCCTGTACTTCTTTGACCCTTCTGTAATTTGATACAACTTTATAGATGGTGCATGTATGTGTATATATATATGATTATATATGCATTACAGACTATAGATGTAGATGTACGCATATACATATATATATATACATATACATACATTGATCTACATTCTAGATACATCGAGGGCACATTACGCTACATACTACATAGCATTGATCTTTAGCTGCTTAGAGTTGCGGATCCTTTTCAAATCCACCAACTGGAGATCCACCGTCACCCATTGACAGATGATTCTCACATTTTTACAGCTGGATGTTCGTAGACTTTCCATGTTCCAATTTTAGAAAAAAATATCAAAAGGTAGTCATCAACTCGTAAAATCCACTGCAGATTCATTATATATTCTATTATGTCATTGGTTTGGAGTGGGTTCTTACCACCATTTACAGAATGGTTTTCAACCGCAAGTGGTCCCACCAATCCAAGGAGAGATTTTCCTACACGAAGATGATGAAAAGAGTAGGCTTTCCTGTGGTGATTTCCCCATTTCCCCATATGCGTTTGTCTGAAAATAAGCTACCCTTTAGCCTGTGTTGCTTAGTCAATGTGAATCACCTGGTCACCATTTTCCCATTTTTTTAGGACATTTTGAGGTCCCATTTTCGGATCCCTAGAGATCCCCCGGCAGGACCAGATACAGGAGCGCCACGACAACGCAGAGGCGCGCGAGAAACGACTCCTGGACGAAGCGGGGAAGGTGATCCAGAGGGCCGAGTCGCTACAGGGCGTGGCTTGGTGAAGGGCGGCAGAAATGGGTGGTGTTTCAACAACAAATTGTTTATCATGGTTTATTATAGTTTAAAAAAGCATGTATCTGTATATAAATTATAAATATATGTTTTTGATTGTTTGCGGTTATGTGTTTATGTGTTCGTTCATATGTTTATTTGTTTCAACATGTCTTAACATGTCTACTTACAAGTATATACTTAACTCATATGTAAATCATTATAGTGTCTGTGTGTGTAAGAGATGACGCTGGGTATTCACATGGGAGACCTTTACGGTAGATCCCCGCCAGCATCCCAGGCCAAGCCGTCAAGGACGCCGGTGGCTTGACGGATCTTCAGTTTGGTGAAGCCGGTGGTCATGGGCTACCCCCCCCGGGTCATCAAACGTGGCTGGAAAATCCCTATGAAAAATGAAGTTGTGAATGGGAAAATCATCTTTCTATTTTATACTGTATCTATATCTATATCTATATCTATATCTATATCTATATCTATATCTATATATGGGGATGTTCCAGCAAATACTGCACTAGTAACTAGCTGGCACCACTTTTTTTGATGCCCGAGAAGGGCCCGGCAACGAAGCTGGAAGCTGGGAGAAGGGGCTGCCGGGATGTGAACATGTTGAAGTCCTGGTGCTAAAATGTCCATGTCTGAGCTCTCCACAAGACAGACCTTTCTCCTGAGTTCAAAAAAGACAAAAAGGCGAGCGAACTGGAGATGGAGGTCATCCAAAATGCACCTCGTCGCTAATGTGGAGCGGCATTGGTCACCGCTGAATTTGCTGGAAAGGGATGGATTTTTGCCGGTTCGTGGTTGCAAATATGTTCGGATTTTCCACCATATTTAGGGGGGATGATCTACTATTGAAAGTTGCCAGAATATGACAAGAGCGAAGATGGGGTGCCATTGCTGCAGGTGATGGGAGCCATGCACGAGGCCAAAGAGTGGGGATGGAAGAAAGTCATGCAGAAGGGAGAACGACTGCTTGTGAAGCAGGCTGGGGCGTCTGGCGTGCCACATGCAAAGACATTGGTGCCCTTCTGGAATCAAACATGGCAATGGGAAATACCTATCAAAAATGGAGGTTTGAAATGTTTTAACGCGGAAACCATCTATATATAGTTCAATGGGGAATTTTCCGGCAAGCCATGTTTGATTACCGGAGGGTAAATTTGAGGCTGAGGACATGATAGAATGGGCGACATGTGAGCTTGCAAGTGCCATATGATCCTCAGAAAACCAGGATATGCAAAATCTCTATCTTTGTGCTTTGGGGGTGTACACCCTGCATCTGCTAGCTTGACTTGCCAAGGTCAATTCTCAATGTTTGATTCATCGCATTTCGGGAATGACCACTCCCATGGACAGAAGTTACCCAGGATCAAGAAACATCATTGTGCAATATGCACGGCACGTGGAACCAGTTAGGGAAAAACCATATAGTGCAAGTGAAGGCAAGGGATGTTTATATGTCTCAGTATTTCTGAGGTCGAACAGAGTATTTTTGAAAAAAAAAACACCCTCGAAATTTAAGGCACAGAATCCTCAACCTGGGATCCCTTTTCAAAGGTTTTCGGGTGGGTGTATAAATTTATACCGTATACCCTATAGGATCCTATAGGCCTATAGGATCCTATAGGCTAACTGGGAATTATATGTGATGATATAGCAATATACCTACAGTTGGATGGGTTAACAACCGCTGCAGCTGGGGCCATCCTGGGTTGGATCTGTGAGGTACAGACCGTCCTGGAGGAGCACGAACTGCCACTAGGCACATATAGGAACTAATGGAATTTGATCAACGAACATAGCTATGGTATAGATGGCCCTAATCGAAATAGATGGTTTACCGTTTTTAAAAATGGGTGGATTTTCTATGGCGATGTTAAATAACCAGATGGTAATGGAATTTGATTGGGCATGACATCGGGTGGGCATGAAATACCGACAATTCATTGCAGCACTAAGGAACAAATACCCGACCGCATTTTTGCACTGGCCATTCTGAAGCAGGATCCCAAAAGGAAGGCACCGTTTGCCATTATTTGCCATGCTAATATTGTCGATGACCCACACCCACATGAAAGTTGGATTTCAGCTTGTGATTGCGGAGCATTGCGCAGATGATGCCCTTGAATTGCCATTTGGATCCATTTGGCTTCTAACATTTCAACCAGAGGTTCAAATTTGTTTTTCATAGGTATCACCTCATGTACATACATTTCACCTTCTTTACTATCGTGCTTATGGCTCAAGAAACAAGCGTCTACTTGTTGTGCATTTCGGGTTGTTTAACCTGTAAAACAGGTTATCAGCCGTAAGCTAACTTCTCCTTTGGTAGAATGTCTGCCCCCTCGGGTTCTTCCACCGAGGGCACCGGGCGCGTAGATTCCTCTGACGTTGCCATGGCTAACCCGGGGACACTACCAATCAGTAACTCGCCATTCTCAGTCGACATCAGCACCCCACCTGGATCCGATAAGTCTCGAAGCTTAAGGGAACGACGCCACTTTCCATATTTGAGTAACGCAGTTGTGCCTTCTCATATTGGATTCAGTCACCGTGGTTTTGTCCCCCAAGCCGCTCGGGAGGGTGGGCCACCGACTCGCCAATTGAACCAGATGAATGTCCATAATACGTTCCAACACAATGTTCATGTTGACAATCCTCAAGTGAATTTTGTCGAGCAGAATTTGCACCTTCATGCACATGATCCTGCTGTGACAAGCCTTGTGGAAACAACGGCCGAACTCCGTCATCGTGAAGTATTGGCCCAGGCCGAAGCTCACGCTGAGGCCGTCCACACGGCAAAGACTGAGGAATTGGTGGAAGCATTGCGAGTCCGTGAGGGCATTGAAAGTCAGAGGGCCTTAGAGGCAATGATGTCCAAAGAACAAGAAGTATTGAGAATGGGAGCACAGTATAGGGAGAATTTACAGCATGAGGCGCACGAACATGTAAGGTTCCGAGAAGCTCAAATGAATGAGAAAATTCAGGCCTACCAACGTGTCATTGATGCTAACCATCGTCAATCGCTATCAAGTAAGGAGCAAGAGATCCTTGAATTAAGAAGAGCAGCTGAGGAAGAGAGAAGGGTTCAGAATGAGCGCATTACACAGCTTGAACACATGGTACAAGTACAGATGCAGCACAATCTGAAACTGCAAAGTATGCTCGATTCCCAGTTTGCTCAGGTTCGTCCAAGTCCTATTGTCGAAACTGCCGCCATGACTATGACAGCCGGAACCCATGAATCAACGGAGATCCCAAATTTCGAATTTGTTCCACCGACCCGCAAGGCTGCACCCGCAGCACCTCCGACCAATGTAGCCCGACCTCCAATTGCAAGAACGCCGATCAACTTTACTTCACCTGATGCCAAGACTTATGAAAAGGATGGTATTGAAATCATTTATCATGACCCATCATATCGAGCCCCAGTCCAAGTGAAGAAGGAGTCGGATGTTGCAAGGTCTTCCGTTGAGGAACGCCCTTCGGGAGGAGAGGCCAATAATCGTCGCCGAGATAATCATCCCATGGATAATGTTAATTCCCCTGCACCGACCAATCAATATGCCCCGACCGAACTAGGCCCAGATGAAATGGAGCACTTCGAACCGGGGGGCGATGATGCGCCTGATGGGGACGATCCAGGGGATGGAGGAGATGGCAACGGAGGGAACGGGGGAGGTGGACCACCATCACCACCTGATCCTATTGGTAAACCTGAAGGGGATAGGAACCGTAAGGCACCCAGAAAAGGTAGGGCTGGTCCCAATCCTCCTGACGGCGGTGATGACGGTGATGATGATCCCGATGATGATGATGATGATGAGAAGTTCAGGCGAAGAATGATCAAGTTTCTAGGTGGCTACATCGATCCAAGGCACGATGACAAACCCAAGGTCAAGGAAGCCGACACAATCAAGATCCCAGCATTCCCATTGGCAGAAACCTATCGCAATTGGAGAATTAAGACCAGAGAAGCAGTTGTAGCAGCATCAACCGATCCCGACAGTGCTTTCAAGTGGGTTAGTGATTCTTGGAAAGAAGATCAGACTCTTGAAGCGCTCCGGAAGGTTGCGCCGTTTGCGACACTTGATGCAAAGTTACTTTCTGCACTCACCAACATTATCACTGGTGACTTCGCCCGCAAGGTAGATACCTTCAAGGAGACTGAAGCCACCGCTGGACGGATTGTAAGAGGGAGACAAGTGTTGTTCATGTTGCATGACCACTTTAGTACCAACATCAAGCACGGAGCAACCTATGCCCTTCAAGATTTGTTCAGTGTCCAATTGCGCGGGGAGAATTTGAAGTCTTTCATTTCAAACTGGGATCAAGTGTTGGCTGGTATCGTCCAGACTCCCGAAGTAAGTGTATTGGAGACACTCTTCTACAAACAAGTGAAGAATTGTAAGGCCATCCAACATGACATGAATGAGTATCATAGAGCTGATGAAGGAACCGAAAAACGGAACTACAGTTTTCTTGTTTCTGCCGTGCGACGCCACCTTGACCGTGAGAGGTTGGAGGCAAATCGTGATCGAGTTGCCAAAGGTCTTTCGGGTTCCGGTCGTCCCTCCGCTCCCGCAGTCGAGGGCAAGACAGGATTTCATTCCCAAGGGGTATTGTGTGGCATGGAATAAGGGAGGCTGTAGCAAGGACAACTGTACTTACAAGCATGAAGTCCCCAAGCCACGTGATAGAAGTCGCAAACCCAGCAAAACCAGAGGTCGCTCAAATGAACGTTCTGGTTCTCCCAGACCAAAGGGGAAAGGTAAGAAGATTTGCAAGTTTTGGAAACAGGGACGTTGCGATAGAGGAGCTGATTGCAAATTCCTTCATGAGGGTTCAGTGGGAAAGCCAAGACAAGCTACTCCTGCCCGTTCGGCCAGTAGCGAAAACAAAAATAAAAAGAGAAATCCCAAGAACCCGAAAAGGAAGGGATCCCGAAGCTCTAGCCGCTCTAAGAGCCCCAAGAGCCCGAAATCCCCGAAGTCTAAAGGATCCGGGGCCAGTTCATCTAAGCCGTCTCCTGCCGCAGTTTGTCTTGTTGCATCCATGCTTGCATCCGTGTCTCAGGCATTTTGTATCCCTCAACCAAGAGTATTTTGTCCATCGATTCGTTTTGATGATTCACCGACGTATCTCATGTTAAAGTCCGAGGGAACTTGAGGCCAATTGGAAACGCAGTCACCAGGGATAAGGTTACCTTTCCATGGGGACATCAGTTTGAAGTTGATCAACTTGCTGTGAATGATGCCGCTTTGACCGGTACCATGTTGGCAGGATCTGTTTCCAATTGTCTTCGGGGAATAGAATGCAAATGTGCCTATTTATGTGACACAGATTTTGGTTGCAACGAATGTATCCCAAAGGGAATCAAAGCCACCCCTGCGGAATGTAGAGAAGACGTGAAGGGAGCGATCAACCTCGAACTTGACTGGATTGCAGATACGGGGAGTGCTCAAGATCTTGTCAATGATAGTGAATTGCCAGATGACTATGGATATTACTCCAACAATCCCATTCGCATGATTACTGCCAATGGTGAAAGTTCGTCATCGAAACAAGGGAAAGTATTTGTTCCAAAGTTAGGCAAGACCATTGACCCATATCTTGTTCGAAGCTCACCTCCTGTCATTTCAGTCGGGATGAGATGCATTGATGATGGTTACGACTTCATATGGAGAGGATCCAAAGGTGAGCCTCCTTACATGGTCAAACCAAATGGGGAACGCATTGAGTTAGTTGTCAGAGATTACGTACCCTACTTTGCAAATAATTCAAAGACGATTTCCACTCCATCAACTCAGCCTAGACCAAGTATTGCCACCCCGGCATCAGATGAAGCTCAACAATCTCCGGAGCCCGATGGGGACATTGAAATCATTGGTGATGACCCCATGGGTATCAATGTTGATTTACCGGAGCCCCAGCCATCGGAGGCTGAGGAGGTTGATGTTCCTGATGCCGACCGGGAGGTTGAGCCGCCTGTGGAAGGATCCAAGGGTAGCAGTAGTAACGTCCATGATGATGGTGCTCACAAAAGGTCAATTGGGGAAAAGGAATTGAAAGAAGAAGCTAAGTCTATCCGACATATGCTGACTCACATCCCTAAGAACCCCTTTTGCGACATATGTACCAGAGCTAAGATGTTCAAGCCACCCTCAAGAGCTGTAGGCGGATCAACCAAAGTTAAAGCTGAGAAATTTGGTGACCACATCACCGCTGATTTTATTGTCACCAGAGATGAAGATGAGTTGGGAATTGATGAAGAGAAAAGTGCACTCGTGGTAAAAGACATAGCAACAGGATTTATGTATGTCTACCCCAATGCCAGACGAACCACCAATGCTGCTATCTTGGCAATCAAACATTTTGTTGGACATGAAGATAAGATAGGAGTTTTCTACAGTGACAATGCACCCGAGTTGATCTCAGCAATGAAGATCCTTCAGTGCCGTCATGTTTTAAGTAGGGACTACATATCCAAGTCCAACGCCCAAGCCGAGAGAGCGGTCCGGTCAGTTCTTGAAGGCACTCGTGTCAATCTGCTCCAAGCAGGTCTGAATCATTGGCACTGGCCACATGCTGCCCGACATTGGTGTTTCATGCAGAATGTCATTGCAACGGGGGGAGACAAATCACCATGGGAATTACGTTTTGGATCGAGATTTGATGGTCCCCTCATTCCTTTTGGTTGTCTTATCGACTATTGGAATGGACCGAGAAAGAAGAACAAAGATGGACTTCGTTT